CCCGGCGTGGTGGACTGTGCACGACAGACTCTGAAGGCTGCCTGCATGCCGGCCGCTGCGACGCATCCATGCCTCACGGGCCATTCAAGGCGCGCCGGGATAGGTCGGATGGTCGAAAATCGCGCTCTCGTCGCGGCTCTCAACGTGATAGCGCTGCGACGACAGGGGAGCTTACCCCAGCCGATCCAAGCTCCACCGCCGGAGCTATCGACGCCTGCTGGTCCAGCACCCCCTGCGACGCACCCGTTGCCCCAGCAGCCTGCGTCGCGCGCACAGCGAGGAGTGGGCGCCAGACCCGCTGCGAGTGGGCCGCGGCCCTGCGAAAAACCAGCACCCAGCGCGGCGTGCCTGGAGTCTCCCATAGAAAATCACGCATTCGAGCGCTTTCCACGGTGCAGCACGTCTGCAATTGACCAATCGCCGCGGGCCCGTTCCCTGAGGTAAGCGCGGCATCGATCAGCAGCTGGGCGCCGCTGAGGGCTCCATCACAGCACAATGACGTGGGCACGGCTCGGCCGGATCAACTACGAGATTTGTGTCCCCCGTGTGTCACGCCTTGCCATTGCCGCCTCAAGCTTTGATTCACGCCCGTTCAAGCTTCGGCCGGACTTGGCGCGTTTGTTTGACAAGTGTTTCCAGTTCACGATGCGATGGCTAGCCATGAGGCCAGGCGCTGACCGCCTCCGCCGCTGGGCTGGCATTTTCACAGAGCCTCTGCCAGACGCTAGCCGAGCACCCCAAATTCGCAATTTTCGGAGACCCGCAGCCACACGCACCGGCAGCCCCTCCAGCGCGCGAGCCTCGCCCGCTCTCGCTCTCTCTCGCCCTGCTGCGGCGCTCAACAGCAACCAGCAATCTCAGCGTGCGATGCAGGGAGCTGGGCTGGAGGGAAACCAGCCCCGACAGTCGTGCCGTTTGCTGTTGCTGCTCCCCAGACGAGGCCGGGCCACACGCCTGTTCCTGCTGGCTCGCGCCCCGCCCGACGGCGCCCAATCCCGCCGCGCTGCTGCACCAGCCTGAATAAGCCATGCCAGCCGCGCGCTGATTCGGCGTCGTGCTCACCTTGCGACGCCCGCCCACGCTCTTCACGGCACCAGCCTCTGCACGTCTGGGCACCCGATTCACAGTGCAGCCGTTTCGTGCATGCGGTATCTCCCACAGATCCTCCGGCCGCGTCTCGTCTCCCTCGAGCTGCCGGCACAGCACTCCGGAGTCGCGTGCCGAGGCAGGCCCCCAGACACTGCTCGAGTCAAACAGCTGGCTCAACCGAGATGAGCCACGTGACCTGTCCCACACCTGCACCGCATCCAGCAATGGACCAGCAGCAATAACAACACACAATAAAACCTTGGACCCCGACAGCCTGCGGCCGATGGCTGGCCGAACCACTCACCCCCACAGGCTCCGTTCGCGGAAATAACCAGCCATGTTGTCGCCATTGGTGATTTGCCTGCCGCTCCAGATAACGCCCCTGGAACGCGCCCGAGACGCACAAACAAACAACTGCATTGGAACAGAGCCGCAATGAGGCTCTCGGCCTCTCGCCGCCCCTTCGGTCCTTGAAAAAGGCCTCGCTGCCACGTCTCCAAACCCCAAATGCCTCGCTTCTTGCCGGCTCTAGATACGGCCCTGCGCGATTTTCACACTCGCCATCCATGTCGGAAGCCGCCTCGTGGCGACGCGCCGACTTTGGCCCGCAAGCGTCGCTTTGCGCTCTGCGATGGAGGACTGCCGATGACTACACATTCTTCGTCTCCAAACCACCGCCGTTTGCTCGTGGCGACTCACGATCCTCCCAGCCACCCGGCCGGCCCGTTCCAAACACCTGCGTGGTGTTGCAGATGCGTTTTCTTTCCAACGCCGATCCCGCTCCCCAAAATGCCCGATGCAGCGCCATCACATCCTGAGGTTTCCAACTCCGGTGCCAACCCTTTTGAAGTGCTCGCTTCACTTTGCACGTCTCGTCTCGTCCTGTGAATTAACCGACCTGTCCATTCATTGCGCAATTCTTGTGTCGTCGATCTGTCGGCCCGTCGCCTTCATCTATGGATTGAACCGGTATAGACCGTCTTGCTACCTCGTGCCAATGTTCCCTTCGTATCTTCGCGCATCGCATCGCATTACATAAGTAGCCACACGAGACGAGTTTTCGCAACTCTTACCTTACTCACGCACCCTCAGGCCGCCACTAGCTCATCGCGTGGGATTTACCTGCCTCGTACGAACGCAGCGTTCGCCTGAAAGGAGTAGTCTATCCGACGCCGACTGGCCAAGGGCCACCGAGTCTGTTCACCGCGGTGCTGCTCATCATACCGGTACCCTATGCCACAGTAGACTACCTATGACGAATTAAATTCTTCCAGCCTCACCCATCTCACTGATAAAACTCCGATGCTTGCCAAGTGCCCATCGCTGGCATCGCCCAGCCCGATGAGAACCCAAAGCCAAAGTGCCAATCCGCGCGCCGAGCCAAACTAATCGCAAAACGGCCTTGGTATCCCACAGCACTCTTCTCCAAGGTACCTTAACTTACTCCACGTTACGCGCGCGGCTTGCGCAGGGCAAGGCTTCGGGGTCGCGGAGAAAGTGAGATGGACAGTGGAGTGGGTGCGTGGGTGCGCGATTTTCGTCTACACCGACCGACCGCCGGGTGAGGATGTATAAGTGCCACGAGGGCAGGTCGGTCTGACAGAAATGCCGCTGTATCCTAGCGCTGGGCTCGCGAGCGCTCGCGACGAGACCGAGTTTTCAAAAGCTCACCGACTGTGAAGATGGTAGCGTGTGGCGCGTGTTGCGCTTATGAGGGTATGCGCGTGTATGAGAACCTGTGGCAGCTGGCATGGACTATCTACTGTTCTTGACGATTATCTATCTATCTTGAAGATGTACAATTGTGCGCGATTTTCTTTTCTTCTATATATTGGGAGGAAGATATGCACAAGTGTATATTGAGGTCTGACTTCAATGCCGTTGTATCCTAGCGCTGAGTTTTTTTGGCTCACCGACTGGGGCGCGTGTTGCGCTTCTACGAAGCCTTGCGCGTGTATAGGTACGAGTGGCAGCTGGCACACGCTCCTGTTCCTGATGATTGTCTATTGACTACCTCAACGACGTATAGTATAGTTGTGCGCGATTTAGAGATATACAAGTGCACCATGAGATGAGGTCTGACATAAATGCCGCTGTATCCTAGCGCTCCCCCCAATAAGACCAGTATGTCCCGTTTTGCTCACCGACTCTTTTGAGCGTTTTTCGTGAATTTCTACGCAGTTATCTTTGGAAGATGGGTCTACAGTACATTGCGAGCGGCATCCTCTCGTGGACTGACTTGACCGACTTTAGCAGTCCTTTACATCCGTTGAAGATCGCTTTTCCCTTTTCCCTTTTTTCTTTTCTTTCTTTCTTTCCACATGTCCACGGCTATGCTACCTTTGGACGTCTACATTGCGCCGTCTTCCTGTGGACTGTACCTGCCCTGCCCTGCCCTCCGGTGAGGCTCGCTCGCTTTTCCGTCTAATTCCAAAACTGGAAATTCAGCACGTGATCGACCAACACTTACCCCTCTGAGCCTAGCCTTTCTTTTTTTCGACGCGTCGACTCGGGGAGGGCACTTCCATCAGCGAGAGCGCCGCGGTGTCGATGCGTGGGCTGCTATTTCTGTGCTGTGAACTGTCTTTTTTGGGCTTTTAGATTGGCTGCCGGCAACGTTGTACGAGGTCGCTGCGCCACTGTGTAGTACATGTAGGCCTGTAGTCAAAGTTTCGCGGATGAAGCAGCACGTCTGGGGATGGCTATAAGTAACCCTGGGCTCACATAGCGAGGATGCTTGGTTGGTAATGGACTGGATGGGATATACTCTGCTCGAAGCTGATACCGGTCTTTGACATTTGCTACCAGCGACGGCAGACGGGGTCGCTGCTCCACTGCGTAACTGGCCGTAATTAAGTTTCGCGCTGCTTCACCCGCGATCACACCCAGGGACGGCGACGTCAATCTGCCTGATTTGGAAGGGGGTTTCGGTTTGTTTGGTGTTGGACTTGAGGGACATGTTCTGCTCGAAGCTGATGTCGATGAACATACCAAGCTACGGTATGGCGCAATATGTCCGTGGAGAAGGCTGATGGCTTTACTGTGTAGTGTAGTAGCTGCGGATGAAACACTCGCTCAGAGCAGTAACTTATGAGGAAGCTCGTAGATCTCCACTGCGAACCTTGTGAAAGATGGCTGCATGTTAATCCAATGGCGCTATTGGAAGCGGCGGTCTCTGTCTCTGGCTCGCTAAGCTCGAAGAGGAACTCGAAGAAAACCTTTACTTCTAAAGCAGCATCTCAAACGAGTCCGCCGGGGGATACTACAGTAGGTAGGCTCAGAGTCGGCCCTGCGACCGGGACAAGAAAGAACAAAACTAATCCCCATATCCTAAGAAAGGCCCGGTGTCGCGTTGTATACTGCATTTGTAATACTATTTCACGTCCTCAGTTCTCGCGAAGATGGGATTGTTGTTATGTTTCGTAATATGGAGATGTAGGATTATTGTCTACTATCGGTTGAATTGAGCACTCGAGGTGGTGAGCGTTGCATTCGGAATTTGGGGTTTACCGGATGACAGGGAACATGGCATTATTGGCGCTTTGCGATTGTACATGTACAAGTCTCCTTTCCCTTATTGTCAGAAGACGGATTAGCGACGCGCATTGAAGCGAGCGAATGTTATACCCGGCCCAGCGGCTGAATAACTGGGGTTGTTGAAGTCTTAATCTGGGAAAACAGAAGAGGATACGCCCGACGGTCATCTACCTCTCCACTTCGTACATGCTGTATGGGCACTCAGCACCCATAGGGCTGAGAAAGGAACCATCATACCGGCTTTCCAACTTCTCGGCAATTGCTCGCCTCCGCATCTCATCTACGGCTTACCCTAACATCAGTGTTATACATAAGCATGCATACCTGGACAGCCCTTGATGCTAAGTGCTGTTCAAACTGCCATAATCGCCAGAATGCTCCTCTCCATTCTCACCTTCGTCCTTGCCGGACAGGCAGCCGCGGAGAGGCCTCCAAAGCCCATCGTGCTATCGAGCTCAGGTGGTTTTCAAATCGGCGGCACAATAATCCACAGTCCTTTCCAACCGAATATCACGCTTTCCTGCGACCATGGCTACATGGAATACTTCCTCCCCTACCGACCACGCAAGACCTCTTTAGTAATGTGGCATTCCTCCTCCACCCAAGTCTGGCAAAACCGCTGGGACGGCGGCCCCGGCTTCAAAGACCTCTTCCTCCGCCGCAACTACCCCGTCTACCTCTGGGACGGCCCTCGCGTCGGCCGCGCAAACTGGGCCTGCGAGCCTACCATCTACATCCCCTCTTACATGGACACCGCGAACTTCGCCGCCTGGAACTTCGGGCCCAGATACAAGCAATGGTGGCCGGACGTGCAGTTCCCAACTGCGAGTGAGGACGCGTGGCAGCAAGCTACCTCCGCGCGGTACGTCGAGTACGACACTAAAGCAAATGTGGGATTACACGCGCGCGCCGCGGCTGTAGCTGCGGACTCTGGTCGCGTGGGGAAGGATATCGTATACCTTACTAATTCCGCGGGCGGGCTGCGCGCACAGCTAACTGCTACACTGTCTAACACAACGAATATCAAAGGCATCGTAACCTACGAGTCTATAGGGTACGTCTTCCCCGATAACATCAACGTCACCGCGGGCAAGGGAGGGTTTGGACCGTACGTCGTGCCGGTGGAGCAGTTTAAGAAGTTGGCGAGATTATTGGCTGTTCAGTTCGTTTGGGGGGATCACAGGGCGGAGAATATGAGTAGTGTGGTGGAGAGTAGGCTGGTGGCGAAGTTGATTAATCAGTATGGGGGGAATGCGAAGGTGCTCAAGCTGGGGAATGCGGGATTGAAGGGGAGTACGCATATTCCGTTTGCGGATTTGGATAATGAGGAGGTGGCGGGGTTGCTTGAGGAGTTTCTTGGGGAAAATGGATTGGATGGGTATGTGGATGAGGGGGATGATGATGGAGAGGATTATGAAGACGAAGACGAGAATGAGGAACAGTGAGATATGTTGTACACAAGCAGACCCAAAGTTTGGTAGTAATACTGGACTCCTCATCCGTGTTCAGGAGAATCTTCCGCAGAACTCAGTGTGAGCAAAAGCGCGGTTAATTAACACGACAGTTACACATAAGCTATAAGTGCTAACGTCTACACTAGGTGTGCGTAAGAGCGGGGTCAATAAACACGGTAGTCGCACAAGACCTATAAGCATTGACATTCACACTAGGCTCTTCATCCGTGTTCGTCGACCTAAGAGTTCCTCTTCCAATTTCCGTCGCTCTGTGTACCCTTTTTGCATTCTTTCAGCCAGCCTAGAACAAATCGCCAGATATTGGTCTACTTATCTTAGTAAGCTAATTTTACCAACTTAGTGCCCTTTTTCAACGTCTACTAGGCCTAAGAAAAATAAATTAACAGAACTCAGCTAATAATCAGCCTCCCACCGTACGAAAATAGGTACTTGCAGGTATCAAAAGGTGGGAAGGGACTTTTGTAAAGCACCGATAATTATTGGTATAAGCAAGTGCGTGGTTATTCGATAATCAACACAACTGTCGCACACAAGCTATTGATATCCCCACCTGCCGAGCGCCTCCATCGTCTCTACAATACACCTTACTTCAATAAACTTTACCCACGAGTACGACGCGCGGTTGTAGCTTTTAACTCGCTACGATCCGTCGCTGTTTTCACTGATCGCATGGATATCCTGGCGTACCTCCCGCATCGATCCAATCACCTAGTCATCCACCACGCTGAGCCACGCCAACGTCAGAGCGGTGGAAGAGTGAAGCCACGTTGTCATCAAGGGCGCATACATGATCTGTGGCGGTATAACGAGACTTTTATAGTCATATCCTGGCTGATCAATGCAGATCCGGAGCGCGGACGTATATGTAACAGGAGGACCCAATGCGCCCCAGAAGAACACCCCGCTGCTACCCAATATCTCGCTGATCTCCAAATACCAAGCACTGATTTACTTGAAAGTGTCCTATCTGAAAGACCCCGAGAGTAATCAAGCTCATCGCTCCTCATCATCGCTCCTCTTTCATCTGGTGCTTATTTGGCCATATGCCGGAGGCTTCAAACTTGTCACACCTCGTGCGTCGAGTCAGGTCCCAAGAACTCATTATCTATCGAAGTTATGATGCTGGGAGACGGGATCCCGCCTTCAGAGTGGTTTTTCCAACACCGCTGATTACTGAAGTACGCCAAGCCAGCAGATGATGGGCTCCAGAATTGCCTTTCAGAGTCATCGCGGATCATCTTTCGATAGGCTCGATCGTCACCATGACCCGCGATAGAGTCAACTCAGGCGGATTTCAAGGTACTGAGTCTACAACATCGCACTGTGGAACTGGGATCGAGTCATAGTGAAGGCATATATAAGTTTGTCGCAATGTTCTTTATCACCTTCCTAAAACACTACCATCAGTCTTTACAAACCTCTTCACAGTATTAAAATCTGTCAAACCAAGTCCAATTGCTCCCTTTCCACGAAAGCTCTCTGATCTAGATATTGCATTATCATGGATAACCACAACACCAACGTACAAAACCGACCCCTATGGATCACCTCCCCTCTCGCTCGACTCCGTATCCCCATCATCCCCATCACTGACCACAGTCACTATGCACCCTGCACAGACCCCGATCACCCCTGGACCGAAACCATCGTACGCGCTGATGAACCTTCCATGAGGCAGGACCTTCTCGACTATGCACTTTTGAACTCGGACGAAGAAGTGACAGATACACACCTCAAGCAATGCGCGGAGAACCAATTCAGGGCGTTGTTAACAACGCTTGGAATCGACCAAGATCCAGGAAACCCTTTCCGCGCATGGGAGGTAACTGTCGACGCGGCCTTCAAGCCAGATCCGAAGCTATGCACCACAGGCTTCATCTCGCAGGTGACTTCTAAAGGAACCAAGGGTACGCCTCATAAAAACAACCGCTGGATTCTGTACACACTTCTGTGTCTATCAGTCGAAGTGGGGATTCAACTGGTGTGGCCGGTGGATGAGGTGAACATCGAGGCGAAGGAGCGCGAGGCAGAGGGCTGGAATAAAGATTTGCAAGTGGACTTGAAGTGTAGGTCAAAATTCTCTATCTCTATTTGCGCGAGTTGAGAGACGCTAACGGAAGTGCAGTCAGGAGGATATACCAAGCTGTCGTGACCTACTACCTGATCAAGAAGGATGGTAAAGACGCTATCAAGACTGAGTTTATCGTTCCTCTTCTCTTGCCGCCTAAGCCCCCAGTCGATAAGATCCGAAAGTGCGAGCTGAGAGAGGTGGACACGAAGCCTTGGTTGGTGGAGGACCCGTATAGTTTATGAGGATCTGGGCGATCCAAGACTTAGGCGGGAATTCTTTTCTCGTAGTGTTGTCTCCTTTTACGAGTCCACGGCCTGCTTCCTATATATGCTTTGATCAAAGCTGTATTATACTCAGAGATACCAAAAGGCTTTGCCTGCATCAATCATTTCCATTCACTCTCAACCAACCATGCTATAGCGATCCATCAGGCATGACTTCACCCTCGATGTGCACCAATAAACCCGACTAACTCTCGGAGCTGCACGCACCGCAATAACTGCATCATTCTACTCAATAAAACCCAAACGACCCATCCTCCCTAACATCCCACTCCCCCTCAAACCTCGGCTTCGCCAACGAACTTGGCTCCCTCTTGATGAACTTCCCGTATCCTTTCTCACCGAGCAGTCCACCATTCTCTCTATCCCACACAACCTTGCCCCTCAGAATCGTATACCTTGGCCACTGCTTCAGCGTCCGTCCTTCAAAAGGCGTGTAATCCACGTTATGGTGTAGCATTGAGTTTGTAAGTGTAAACAGTGGCATCTTGCCCGGCGGATACCAGATATTGATATCCGCATCAGACTTGCCTTCTACCAGTCCACCTTTCAGCGGGTACAGTCCGTACAGCTTCGCAGGGTTTGTAGAGGTCAACTCGACGAACTTCTTGACATCTAGCCGGTCTTCTCCCAGTGCTAGTGACAGTCGCGTTTCAATCCCTGCGATGCCGTTGGGGATGTACTTGAAGTGGCCGTCGGGGTACTCCTCGTTAATACATGTCTTCTTCCCATCGACATTGTCGTCGTAGCGGAACGGGCAATGGTCGGAAGAGAGAATGGTGAAAGTGCCGTCCGCGAGACCGGTCCAGATGGCGTCGCAATCTGCCTCGCTCTCGCGTGGCGGGGGTGAACACACGCATTTTGCGCCTTCGAAGCCGGGTTTATCGAGGTCGTTCTTGGTCAGGAAAAGATACTGAGGGCAGGTCTCTGCATAGATGGGGATGCCACGGTTTTGAGCGGCCTTGATGTACGCTGTTGCTTGGGGCGTGGAAACGTGCACGATTAAGATGGGACTGTCCATGAATTCTGAGAGGCAGATCGCGCGGTGCGTGGCTTCTATTTCTGCCATGGGGGGATGGCTCGGTCCATGGAACTTCGGCGCGAACATCTTGCGCTTTTCGAGCTGCTTGGTCATCCAGTCTATCAGTTCGCCGTTTTCGGCGTGGATCATGGTGGTGATTTGGTTTTTCCGTGCTTCTAAAAGGACGTCTAGGATCTCGCCATCGTTCAGCTTCAAGGCTTCGTACGTCATGTAGATTTTGAGGGATGTGATGCCTTCTTCGCGCAGCGTTTTGAATTCTGAAAGAGCTCTTTCGGAGGGGTTGCCGACGAGAAGGTGAAATGAATAGTCGATATAGCAGTTGTCTTGAGCTTTGGCGTGGGTGGCGTGGAGGGTGTCGAGGAGGGTGTCTTCGCTCTTCTTTTGGGGCGCAAAGGGCACCATGGTGGTTGTGCCACCGCATACTGCGGATCTACTTCCTACACAACTTAGCTTGATTACACTCAGCTTCTTGAGAACATTCCTTCTTACCGGTCTCGAAATTGTCCGCCGATGATCCTTTGCCGAATAGTGGCGGCTCTTGTAGATGGACATGCCCGTCAACGCCGCCAGGCTGCGTATCTTCAGTGCTCGACCTTTTGATGGCATTCTGGAGAACCAACCATTACATAGCCCCCTTCTGCATCAATTGTTCTTGTCGCCTTTGCATCCTTCAGCTCCCCTCTCTTGACCACTTTCGCTATCTTCTCATCCTTGATTGCGACGTCATACTCGCCAGCCTCGGTGTCTGTCACCACGACACCGTTCACGATCAGGAGGTCAAAATCAGCGAACATTTTCGCAATCAGCTCCAGGATGCGTACGAGAAATATCCCAGGTATACATAGTAGCCCTCACTGCCGACGGCGAACGCATGGCGGCGAAGAGATCCAATCAATGTGGTAGGAGAAGCGCTAGCCAGAAGTGTCAGGTCTATCGCAGCCCCCTCATTTGCGCCCCGCGCCGAGGAACTGCAACACCCATCATCGTCTTCCTCCGCCTGTCTTATCGCCCTGCGTGATGCACCTAACGGCTCCTACGACGCAGTCGTTCCGGCAGTCATTGGCTAGACATTTGCCCGACGGAGAACGTTCGTGTGTGTGATTCGCTACTAGAGATACCATCTACAACTTCCGGATCGGCGAAAGTGCAGGACACGCTTCAAAACATGGCGTTTTCAGCGCTGGAAAAGTGCAGATTTGTCTGAAGAGGACGATATGGCGAACACACGCGAGTTGAAGATCAATGCGCAGAGACTCAACGATACGCTGCAGAGTACGTGTACGTCGTGGGGCGCGTTTGCCGCTCCATCCACGGGCATGTGTCGCTTGACACTCAGCCAGGAAGACAAGCAAGTACGAGACTGGCTCGTCGCAGAGTGTAAGAGCTTAGGATGCGAGGTCAAAGTTGATCAGATTGGTAACATCTTCGCGACTCGGCCCGGGAGCGTGAAGGGTGTGAAGCCGATTGCGATGGGGAGTCACATGGATACGCAGCCAGCAGGTATGAAATGATTCGCTGTACTGACGTGAAGGCAATACTGATTGCAACTTAGGAGGCAGATACGATGGTATCCTTGGAGTTCAATCCGCTCTCGAGGTCCTTCGCACTCTGCACGACAACGATATTACCACACACCTGCCAATTGCCCTGGTCAACTGGACGAACGAAGAAGGCGCGCGCTTCCCAGGCGCAATGATGGCTTCTGGCGTCTGGTCGACGCATTCTTCAACTTCTCTGGAGGCTTGCTGGGATCTGCAAGATAAAGAAGGCATACGCATGAAGCAAGCACTCGAAGACATTGGCTATTTAGGCGACACAAAGGCCGACTACAAAGACAACGGGCTGGAATGCCATTTCGAGCTGCACATCGAGCAAGGCCCATTATTAGAAAAAGAAGGAAAAACCGTGGGAATCGTGACGAGCGTGCAAGGCATGAAGTGGTTCGCTGTCAGGGTTGAAGGGGTGGAAGGCCATGCTGGAGCGACGCCGATGCCTGGCCGTGCGGATGCGATTGTGACCGCTTCGAGGCTGATCACTGCGGTGCGGGATGCGGCGCTCAAGACGGAGCTGGGCGTGGCTACCGTGGGAGTCATCAAGAGCGATACTTCGAGTCAAGCAACGATATCCGCGGGTGTGGATTTCATCATCGATGTTCGCTGCACGACCGACGATATGGTTGATGAGCTCGCGTCTGCGGTCTTCAAAGCCTTCGATAAGATCATCGCCGAGGAAGGTAATAGCACGTCCTACGCCATTGCAAGATCCTGGGGCATGCCGCAATCAGTGTTTCACCCAAGGTGCATCGATGCTTGTAGAAGTGCGGCAATCAAGACCGCTGGCGAGGATCAGATCATGGAAATGAAGAGCAGGGCTGGCCATGACACTGCTTGGACATCTCGCGTATGTCCTTCGAGTATGATATTTGTACCCAGTAAGGATGGGCTCAGTCATAATCCGAATGAATATACGAGTCCGGAGCATTGTGCGATTGGGGCGCAGGTTCTGCTGGATGCTGTACTGGAGTATGATGAAAAGGCGAGGACTGGCCAGTATCAGAGTAGTTAAGGAGCGGTAATACTAGCATGAATTATAAGTTCTGATCTTGTGAATTCAGTGCCGATGCTACAAATATCATCTCGTCGGCGTGCTACGAGACCATCTGAAGGATGGTCGGATATACGCACCGTATCCCCGCCCTCTTATCGATCGCTCCCCCATCTTTGCGTCGCGCATCTCCCACGCGTCGAGCTGCATACACCCCAACCGCGCAGTTGCGCGCCCTCGCTACCCGCATCCTGTCACGCCTGCTTCATTTGGCGCCATGCGCTTATCGTACGACCGGGGTTGACCTCATTCCGACGGAAACCCTCGATTCGACGATTACCATGTCGATAAAATGCGGTGTCGTGCAGCTGCAGTGTCAACTGGGGCTCAACTGCAAGGGCCATAATTCGTGAATCGAACATGACTGAGCCCACAGTTGAATATGTGGATGTGCTCGTAGTTGGAGGAGGACCCGTTGGTACGCGCCGCGCTCGCATCATAGGGTAGCTCTAACAGCCATCAGGTCTCATAACCGCGTTGCAGCTTGCGCGCAACCTTCCAAAGTCCTCGCACGCGGTCAAGATCATCGAGAAACATCCCAAGTCTTCGCAAGACCAATATGGCCGCGCCATCACCTTGTTTCCTCGGTCGTCCGAGATGCTCGATCAGCTGGGTCTTGCTGAAACGCTGGCCCAGCAGTGCTTCGCATGCCGGGAAACGGTCAATTACGATAAAAATGGGAAGGAGTTCCCGGGACGAGGGTGGAGCTTCATGGAGAACATGAAGGATACGAAGTGGGACTTTGCACTTGTTTTGCGGCAGAAGTATCAGGAGGAGATATTTCGACAAGCGCTGAGGAAGGAAGGGGTTGAGTTGGAGGCGCCTTGGGAGTTAAAGAGTATTGAAGTGTTGGAGGGCGTCGTTACGGGAGGTCACAAGGTGCTTGCAAGCATAACGAACCCTGAGACAGGTGTGAAGAGGGCTGTGAAGTGCAGGTACCTCATCGGCGCAGATGGCGGACGGTCCTCTGTTCGGAGAATGATGGATATACCTTTCGATGGCTCCTCGAGCGAAGACCAATGGGTGCGTGTGGATGGTGTGATTGAGACCGACCTTCCAAAACCACGGACATACTGCGCCATCGAGTCCCCCACTCACGGCAACGTTCTCTGGGCCGCGCTAGACCACGGCGCAACTCGGATAGGCTATGCATTCACGCCAGAGCGAAGGAAGGCCTACGACGTTTTCGACGAGGAGGCAGCAGTCAAGGAAGCCATTGCATCCGTCAAGCCATTCTCACTCAAGTTCAAGCAGGTGGATTGGTGGACCGTTTACGTCGTCGGTCAACGCATAGCGCGCAATTTCTTCGTCAAAGACTGCGTTTTCCTCGCCGGGGATGCGTGCCACACACATTCATCGGGTGCCGCTCAGGGTATGAATACGGGCATGCACGATGCTGTCAACCTTGGGTGGAAGCTTTCCCTTGTCCTCCAGGGGCTCGCCAATCCAGACATCCTTGACACGTACGAGGCAGAACGACTGCCAAACGTCCAGAAGCTGATCAACTACGATAAGGACATCTCACGGCTGATGACCATGCAGCTGCCCGAGAACTGGCAGGGCGATCCAGACGCCGATGTGAACGAGGTACTGGGTCAAGTCATGACCGAAGCGGCAACGTTCAGTAGCGGGCTAGGCATCTACTACGAGCCAGACACATACCTGAACCTCACCCAGTCTTCTGACGTGTCGACCGTGCAGCCGGGGCAGCGCGCGCCAGACGTAGCGCTTCAGAAACCTGCGACATTCGAAGCTACGCGCTTACAGACTGTAACGCCCAACACCGCACGCTTCTACATCGTTCTTTTCGCAGGCGACGTCGCGATTACAAGGCACCACCTCTCTGCTTTCACCAGCTCCTTTCCCCAATCGCATTGGCTATTTGATCCAAAGTACCCCGTTTCCTGGATCACTATATTTGATGGCCCTGGCGGACCCTCAACATACGAGTCTCTAGGTGGCATGCCATTCGGGAGCGTCTTTTACGACGCGGACCACAGCGCGCATGAGCGGTATGGCGTGTGCGCTAATAAGGGGGCGATTATCGTGTTGAGGCCGGATGGATGGGCGGGTACTGTCACCGAGCTTGGTTCAGCGGGGAAGGCAGCGCTGGAGAGGTACTTTAGAAGGTTTTTGGTGAGTCGCTCGGGGACGAAAACGCCAAGGGAGCAAGTACTGATTACAGTCTAGGTAATTGAGGCAGGATCGAAGCTGTGAGTGGTGCCTGAAAGGACTTGATGTATGATGCAGTCGACATACGTGCGAGCTGTTTAAGTTTGGGACGCCGTCGTGGGCCTCTATTCCTAGACTCTCAACGAATAACCGAGATGCCCCTTCTGGAGAAATCAAGACATCGCTAGCAATCAGCTGTTTGGATCCATTGGAGAACCCAGCGCACTTTTGTGCCGGCGTTTAAAACCCCACTCCTCTCCTGTTCTGTACCTTGTGTCTTTCTCTCGCTTCATCACTTTCGCTTTCTGACACTCGCTTTCCACACTTCCTTCGGAGCCCACTTGGCTCTTCAGACATGATGAAGTACCTTTCACTCTTCCTCACCGCTGCGTCTGCAGCCACAATCTCTCTTATTCCTCGGCAACTCCCTCCCTCGCAAGATTTGCCTAGCGGCTGGGCATATACTGGTTGCTATGTTGACAACCAAAGCAATCGCGCCTTGAGGTACGGGTTTATGAGAAGCAATGACCAGAGCGGAGCGAACTGTATCAATTATTGCCAGCGTATGGGATTTAATATTGCTGGTACTGGTATGTTTTCCCTGTTCCTTTGGTGACACATCCGGCTTCTCTGGCTTGGACACTTGCAGCTGAATCGACGCTAACAAAGGACAGAATGGGGCCGCGAATGCTTCTGCGACTTCGAGAACAATGCTGTACAGGTTGACGACGAGGACTGTGATTATGCCTGCACGGGCAACGAAGACGAAGCTTGCGGCGGCGCTCTTAGAATTTCCGTCTACCAGTACGTCCTTCCGTCTTCGATCCCAGTACTCTCAGCTACGCAGGCTAACCGCTCTAAGGGGCCCAGATAATCTCCCCCCCGTCACCAACCCAGGCGACGGCTCCACCTTCATTTACGAGGGCTGCTACGCTGACTCGGTGCAAAACCGCCTTCTGCGGTATGCGGCATTTTCTGGACGGGGTGTGACGGTCGGTCGATGTGTCCAGGTATGCCGCCGTGCTGGGTTCGTTTCGCGTGGCAATACTGTTGCGTATGCAGGTGTCGAGTATGGCCAGGGTACGTTATCACCCTCTTCTTCTCTACAAGCTTGTCAAGTGCGTCGTCAAACGTTCGCTACCCTGTGTTCACCAAGCGTGAGCAATGGGGACTTAGCTTTTGGCCCATAATTATGTTTGTGCCCGAACAAGTGTATGGCTAATGTCCTTGCTAGAGTGCTTCTGCGGCCGCAATACCCAGCTGGGGACTGCGTTCACCGGGAATCCGCATGAAACTGGATGTGACATGCCGTGCATTAGCAACGGTACTGAATACTGCGGCGGTAGCAACAGGCTGAACGTCTATATGGTCAACTCGAATACGCCTACTACCACTTCGACTAGTTCTACTTCCTCTTTACCCACGGTTTCGACGACGTATACTATCTCTTACACGTCATCTACTAGCACAACCACTATTACAACCACGAGTACAACCACGCTCACGTATCCTGCGACTTCGACGACATCGACCAGCACCACTTCGTCTTCGTCCAGCAGCCTTTTGCCAACAACAACATCGTCGACATCGACATCGACATCGTCTAGTACATCATCGACGACGTCACCGACATCAACGTCGACTTCAACTTTGACATCAACTAGTACATCGACATTGATATCGACATCGACATCGACTAGTACGACACCGACATCAACTAGCACGTCGACATCGTCGTCCACTTCGTCGCCTAGCTCAACTACCACAACTACCAGCACGAGCACGGGAACTAGTACGAGCACATCTACCAGCACGAGCACAACTTCCACCACGAGCACCGGTACGAGCACGAGCACAGTTACCAGCTCAAGCCCAACTACCAGCACGAGCACGGTTACCAGCACAAGCACGGGAACTAGCACTAGCACAACTTCCAGCACGAGCACGGGAACTAGCACAAGCACGTCTACCATTACGAGCACGGGAGCTTCAACTACAGCTACCAGCACGAGCACGGGAACTAGTACAAGCACTGTGACTACCTCAAGCACAGCTACCAGCACGAGCACAGTTACCAGTTCGAGCACGGGAACTAGTACGAGCCTCACCACTAGCACGAGCACCGGCACCAGCACGAGCACAATTACCAGCTCAAGCACAACTACCAGCACTGGCACCAGCACCAGCACGAGTACTGTGACTACTTCATCAACGAGCACGGTTTGAATGGATTGGGTGCGCCGGATATGGGGTTGGTTGACAATGTAGGTGTCGTTGGGTCGTATCAGGGTGGATATTTCAAAATGGGTAATGGGGTGGAAAGTCAGGGCATTGTGGCGTAAGGCTTTGGGTTTCTGGGTTTCATTCCTTCGTTCTACCAGGGCTGCTTGTGACTTTGGAGAGGACACTGGGTCGGCGTTCGGACCTGGGTAATGGAAACGGCGCAAAGGATAGACTCATAGGTTCGGACAGTCAGACTCTTTCGGTGTTAATCCAAATTTTGGTCTTTCTTCACTGCACTACAGTCATACTCTGTCGCTTACCAGCCCGCCAACCCTCAGCTCCCACGCATCCCTCACGACAACTTCGGAACCGTCCAATCAACCCACCTCCCCTCATCAATCGTAAACTTCCCATCCGTCTTCCAAATATCCGTACTAACCTCCTGCTTCAGCAGAAATCTATTGATGAATGCAGTCAACGGCGCCTGGCTCGCACTCGGAAAACCACAATGATCCGAGTGGCTAACCTGCGTCAACCCAAACCGATCCTTCACCCCTAACGCCTCATGCACCATCCGCCCCGCAGTCGCACAATGGTAATTACTCGTCGGACCCAGATACTCAATCGCCGAGTTCTCGATAACCAAAAGCCCCCGCGGCGGATCCGCATACAGCGCGTGCATCATGTGGTTATCCCACGGCAGCGTGGGCACCGCATCGACGTACTTCGAAAAGTCGGTGCTGAACCACGAGTCGCCGTTGACGATCTGGTGCGCGGTTTCTACTTTCGTGCCGTTCTTTTGGATCTCGTCGGCGATGCGCCAGCAGCCTGCGGCGGATTGGCCGCCTTCTTGGGGGAGGGCGAGGGCGAGGCGGTCGACGAAGGCGCCGGCGATGATGGAGCCTTTGCCGTTGCGGGAGCAGCCTGTTACGCCGACGCGCTTGGGGTCGATCTTAGCAGTCGGTGTCATTTCGAGGGCGTCCATGATGCGGTCGACGCCCCAGGCTGCGGCGATGAGGCCGCCCGCGTTGTGCGAGCTGCCGTAGAGGTCGTAGAATTTGCCTTTTCCGCGCCCGTTGTCGGCGGCCATGTCGAAGTTCTGGTACGTGATTGTGGCTACGGTGTTGGGGATCGGGATGCTGGCACCTCCGTAGGCGATGATGGCTGGGTAGGGTGCTGTGCCTGAGGTTGGGAGCTTGATGGTTACGGAGAAGCTCATTGATTTGCCTCCGTCGGCGACCTTGATGGTGAGCGTTGTGCCCGACATCGTTGTCGTGACAGTTGGCTTTGTTGTAGGCAAGACACCATAGGAATAGCGCTGCAGCAGCTGACGGATCTCTTCTTTGCGGCAAGGCCATTGCGCTTTGCTAGTGATGCGACTGCCACTCAGAGGCAGGAACGGATCAGGAAGCTTAGGATTCGCAGCATAATTGATTGTAGTTGGGAGACTTGGGCAAGTCGTATTCTGCCCAAGAGCTGCCGTGGCAGTCAAAATTAAGGTGTAGAGGAGCGAGAGCATGATGAAACTGACAAGTCCGGTATCAGCAGACTCGAGGCGGCTATGAAGAGCTCACTTATACAACGTGATAGTCCTTCCCGATGTTCATATTCGTATTCAGTTCCTCTTGGTTTCTATTTCAGTCCACCAACGACAATTTGTGCAGTTGAGACGGGTATATCCATCCTTTTATCCATATGGTAGTTGGCTTGGATGATGTTCATATCAATCAACAGCGCAGAGAAGCCATCACCCGTGATCAACATGTTCGTGCCTTGAAGACTGCAATGCTTTCTGGTATAGAAAAGCAACTACGTGATTGCTGGAAAATTGAAATCCTTTGAAATGTATGAGTGATGGAAGGTTAATCTGTTGATGGAAACACTTTATCGGTTGGCGGAGATATCTCGGTCGAACCCCACATAGATGGCTAGGTACGACGCTAGCACTGATTACCTTCGTACAACACTGTGAACTCATAGCTGGAAGCCTTCTGCGTCTTCGCCATAACGTGGCGACTTGAACAACAAGCCGTGGACACGATACCGTGCATGCCAGGATGCAATGAAGTATGTCCACCGTTGCAGAACCTAGCTAAACTACGAGCATCTGGACGACTGACCCGTTGAAGAAAACCTCTACTATCTTCCATACTCCCCTCGCTCGTCATACACATTTTATCACCCGTGGTGGATCCATGTATCTCATCTCCCGTTGCTACGACGTTCCAGGACACCATCTATCAAGGAGGAATGACGCGTGATCCCATAATAAACGAAAACCTGCATATCCATTATTCGACCGCAAGTTAACTTGCATCTCCACCCAAAGACACACATCCCCAAGCCCCGTCTCGGTCACGTGCTTCTCAATACGCTTCTGCAACAACGAACCTAACTCCCCGCGTCGACCATCAGTATCATAATAAACAAAGTCTGGAAAATGCTCTTCCACCGCTGGCACGGGCTGGTCTTCGCCGATGGGTAGCGGTATCCAAACCATTTCTCGCATGAGATATACCTCCTTCGCTGAGAACGATTTGACTGCTGAAGCCCATTCTGCATCGGGTAGTCGTAAGAGACTCCATAGCTGGTAATATGTGCGGAAGAAGCGGCGACGCTCAGTCGGAGTGAGGTGCTCTGGACGACGTCCCTCGTGGTCGCCGTAGAAGTTTCGCCAGCCGACCGCTTGATGACTGGTGTGAGTTTACAGTGCAAAGCCTCTTATCGAATACATACCATTGAAATTCTTGACCACCTTCTGTTCGAACTGCTCGGCGATAGAGCTGGCGAATTCTGCGCGGCGGCATACGCGCGCAGCATCTTCGGCGCTGATTCGAGAGCGTCCCGACAGCTGCAGAGCGCGCGCATACTTCTCCCCCTCGATGCATCTCGGTGCGAGTTCGTGGTAGATCTTGTCTGCATGCGCCAGCCATACGTTACGGAAACTACACGAGGTCGCCGAAAGAGCAAGAGCGTCGGATAGAGAGTCCAGATTAGAGTAGATCTGAATAGTAAGTTCCGCAGGAAGAGGTATATGCGAAGCCATCGTTGTGAATATTTTGTTACCTCAAACGTCGAAGAGCAAGACGCAATGAAATCTGGCTTGAAGTAATGACGTAGAGTGTTGGTGACGTGTTGGTGTTGTGGTTTCTAGGGTTTATCTCGGCTACGTGGTCTCTAGTCTTATCCAACGTCCTGCGGCGTAGTCGTGCAACTTCGTAAGCTGACAATCCCTATCTGTAACTCCTTAGCAAGGCTTTTTCGAGACAAGCTTCAAATAACAGGTCTACACCCACTACGCCACACGCCCTTCAAAAGGTTGGCATCGTGATTTCTAGGGTTTGTTTTAGCAACGTGGCCTCTAGTCCAATCTAACGTTCCACGCCGTAGTTGTGTACGCGCAGGAGCTAGTAGTCTGTATTTACCTCCCTTAGCAAGGCCTTTTCAAAGACAGCTATAAAGAGTAGGTCTACACTCACTGCGTCATACACCCTTCAAAAGGTATGAATGATCAATATTATTGATCATCGAGTGCAGAATATTCATAACTAAACCTGTACAATAGCTGTCTGCTACACTCGTACGCGAAGGCGCACAGAACGTCGATGCGTACGGGATCCGACTCGGAGAATAAGCATTTGTGATTGTTGGGGTCAAAGGTGCCAGGGCAAACGTGGTAAGAATACCTGGGCTGGGACTTTGCCGCACACCGGGCCCAACAGGCGCTGGCTTGAACCGCCTGCCGCCCAGCGCCTGAGTCTCGACGAGCATTTCTTTGGCTGCTTTAGAAACTTAGCTGACAGTCTGCATGGACTTTACTTACTGTGCCCATTTCTTCAGCATCAGGTATCCACCATGGCCAAGCCACGATTCCTACGAGGGCGAAATGTTCGTTCATGTCTCTGCATTTTGGTGATCGTATGAGATCATACACAGAAACTTGGATCTAGAGATGGTCTGGGTATCGGACGAGTCAGATGGACACTTGTATGGTGAAGCCTAGTCATAATATATAAAGGGTTATTTTGAAGCTCATCACAAAGCAGACAGCTTAGCATCTCATTTCTTCCTCTGATCTCTTCACGCATTGAGCAAAGATGCATTCACAGGCATCTCTCCTACGGCTTTCCCCGCTATTTCTCTTCCTCGTCAGTTCCATGCCACGTAATGTTGCATTGGCTGGACAGTGTTGCTCCGGAGAAGACAATGGCACCCCTGAGTGCACCACCGACGGCATCAATGATAACGGTGATCAGACGCCGGCGAACAACGCCGCTAAGATTGGGTATGAGCTCGAAGCAGGGCGTATCAGGCTGGCGCTTGAGAAAGATGGATGTACCGAGGCCCAGACAGATCAGGCGAAAGGACACCTCCTCGCCGGACGTAAAGGGAAAAATTGGATGTTAACAGCCGACAATATTGTAAATGCGTGGGCCTATCAGAAGGTAGATCCGGAGTACATCCTGGATGGCCAGAATATCAAGCTTGGCGCATCGGATCTTCAGAACGCAGCCAACGCTGCGGCTGCTGATTTTGTAAGTTCCATTTCCAGTAGGAAGCAACACCTGGGAAATCCTTCTGACAGCCTATAGATAGCCTGGAACCCATGGATGGGAATGGATTCGAACTCGTTCGAAATCGAAGGCAATGATTGCAACAACTGGAAAGTTGTACGGCCATTCCAACCCGAGGTAGATGAGATTCGATTTAATGCCCAAGCCACGGCCCCACTGCCTCTCGAAGCCGTTCAAGACTTATTCAGAATCTACAAAACAAAAATTCAATCACCGTTGGTACCCGCGTCGGGCGATGCGTTGGAAGCAGTGTACGTGACCAAGGACTTTTTCCAGGCCTCTCCTGGTGGAGTTACATCAGATTCACTGAAGGATGACACGCTGGCTTTCTTCTCAATCGTCATGTCCTACGCCAAGACTTCAACAGATTTCAGCTCGGAGCCGGGTAGAAGTATCAAGAGTATCATTCCGATAATGCCACGCAACGATTTCACCACGATCTATAAGAGATTGAAGGAGGATAATGCCATACCCACCATCGACGGATCACTGTGGGACCTAGTCAGCAAGCTTTCATGCTACAAGAATGAAGGCGATGATGGCACCACTATAGCGTATGTTGAACGCATCCCAGCTGCACTGCGATGCTAATATTTGCAGCTACGACACTGAATATTGTGACGGGGCTGATCTCAAAGATCCAAAACCAAAGGACGGGAAATTGGAGGGTATGATCTACCACGCGAAATCGAGTAGTGGCGAAGACCAGTGCACGATGAAAGAGTGGATTGAAGCAGTGGAAGCTGAGAAAGACGATCCCATCACAAGAGTCGACAAGAAGATTGATGGTTCGGTTGGAAAGTTCGGAAATCACTACGAAGTGGTTCTGGACACCAACCGCGAAGTCCCTGTCTTCGAATTTCGAGACCTCTTTGCTCCTCGGGCAGACGAATTCGGCCAGGCCGTCAAGAAAGTCGAAGACGCCATCGTAGGATACCACAGAAAGTTCGCTAATGGCCCACGAAAGTTCCGCAGGCGGCAAGACGCAAAGTACTCACACATCCGCCGCAACGCTCCTAGAGACGACTGCGCAGCGCCCACACCCGCTGACGTCACGACTACAACCGCTCCATCAACAACGCCCCCACCCACGATCTCCTGCGAGCTGCAGCACGAAGATCCTGACCAAGGGATCAATCAGATGGGCTGCATCTGCGGGTCTACGACTCTGCCTCTCCTCACCGTGACTGACGCAACAATTGACTGGCAATCCTGCGACTACACCGTGCTCCCCACGTCCAGCATCGCGAACCCCATCTCCATCGAGCACCAGACATACATGGCTAACTGCTACCTCTGCACGCTCATCGGTGGCATCGCTGACACGCCATCCTGCGCCACTCAGCCTGTCGACGGCTGCACCCCAACCACACCCGCGGTCCCAACAGCAACAGTCTTTCTCTCGAACAACAGCGTACCCATCGGCGATGAGAACAACAAGAACAACGGTGCCGATCTCCGAACGGATTTGTTCAACAAGTTGAAAGCTCTATGTCCTGATAATGCCAGTACTTGCGACTCAAAGACGCCCGCCGAATTCGACAATATCGAGACCGTCACCGGCGACGAGCCCGTCGAAGAAACGATCAAGTTTGTTATTCAGGACAGCCATTACGATAGCGGACAGGAACGCGACCAGATGATTGCAGCCGCGGTCGCATCGTGGCAGCAGGGCGTCGCCAAATCGTGCAAAGAGGTCGAGTACGAGGACACTGAAGATCTGACGGCGAGTGGATGCGGGACTGGTATCGTCAAGCGTGGCAGTGTCTTAAGAGCGCTTATGACGCCTGAAGAGAGGAGGGCAACGCCGTGGGGCACACCTTGGAAGAAAAGGAGCGCGATTCCGGAGCCGATATGCGATAATTGCGATCCGCCCCCCGCACCTGAGTGTCATTATAAAGCGACCATTTGTTCGGGGCCGGATCATATCGGTGGGTTCTCCTGGTGTATCACCTTCCTTGCCTCCCCCTCCATCTGTTCTGACTCCGCATACTATCTGCTTGCTGACACTCTGCTCCCTAGCCCCCGTTTCAGGCAACGCGCGCAATGGCCCATACGCAAACCACATGGACATCCAACTCGACTACAGCATTGGCCACGGCGACTCGGCCTTGAACGGATTTATTTGTGAGATCGTTGTCGACGGGCTCACCGCACTAGCTTTGGTAGGTACTCCCCTTGCCCTTTCCTTACCCTCTCCTATTCCCTCAGAACAGTTATTCGAGATTGGTCTTTGTGAAAAACGACAATCCATTTACGTGAGCATTGGTCCTTGAGTGTAAGATACTAACAGGAATACAGGCTCTTGCCCCAGAACTAGCAGGCGCAGAGGTCTGGGAGGACATAGAATTGCAAGCGCTGTGTGCCGATCTAGCGGAGCATATTGGGTCGAGGGATATGAATAGTACTATGACGAATGGTATGCTGATTGGAGCTTAGGTCGCAATAGTTATGGCTCTGCAGGTAAGTAGTCTCCTTTGTTAGTGTAGATGCGTGTTATGTTTTGCGTACTGAAATTTTACGGCGTGTGCTTTCATACTATATTCACGGGCATAGATAGATTTTGAGCGTTTTGGATAGATGGACAGGTGTATATTGAATCATTATTCTAGACAGTCTTAAAAAAGTGTGTACTTTCTCTTCTCTAAGCATCAACAGTAGGCTCGGAGGTCGAGGTTCGAGATGGGGTGCGACCACCGTCGATGGAGCCCATCTCTGTCCCTTCAGGCTCTTCAGCAGTGGGATCGTGGCGATGCTCTGTTTGATGAGTCGGATGCGCGATGCGGAGAGTTGCACCCGCAATGATAACCCCGATAATTGTGAGCAACGTGGCGATTGTACCGAAGATGATGGCGTTCCGTGCCTTAGTGTCAGGCACATATAGTGTAGGAGCATTTGGAGGCTGCGGAGTGGTCGACGGCATTGTGAGCAGAGACGTTGCCGTGGATGTGAGGACGAATGATGGAAGGACGGACAACGGTGCCATGGCCAAGCAGTACCGAGGAGTGACGAGATAAGTTTCAAGAGAGAAGTCTGAGAGTTTGATATCCGAGATAGATCTGAAATGTTTGTCAGATTAAAGAACGGCTAAGCGGATTGAGTGATGGTCTCTGAAAGCTGGTCGTTGTCAAGAGAGGTGGAGGGTCCGGCAGGATTTACGTCCCAGATCGCCCATAATCCTAGGCACACAAGTCTCCTGGAGAAGAAATCTTCAGATGCGAGGAGCAATCCGCTGCAAGTTGGGGAGGCTATTCCTCGCCGTGAGGCGAAAGAAGCGCACCTAAGAGTGCGTAGCCAATCGAGTGTTCTTGTGCCCAATAGGGCAGCTGTGGCTGATCATCACTGCCCCACACTGCGCTTATAGCACTCTACAATTCTCTAAGCCTGAGCCTTCAACTGCGCTTGCCACTTGAGTACGAAGGTGCGGAGCCTATGGGGAACTGTCTCGAAAAGAACGTTGGTGTGGCTAGGCCCATTGGAGTAACGCTGGACAAACGAGCCACAGTGAAAATATCAAGCAGCTTGTCTTGCATCCGTATTGGACCAAGATCCGATGACGGTTTCCTATAATCTGTCGCACAGTCAACCAGGAATTAAGGTTGATCCATATGTGCGCAGGTGCGTGGCCACTGAGAGTGCTGCACCGCTGAGGCTCCGGCTGACCTGCAGATATGCGAAGGTGCGAGACCAGTCATCTGTATGCGAGCCATCATGGATTTCGAAGGTCGGTAAATACGAAATACGCCACATGCGCAATATAGACTACTGACCGGATCTTGTCGAACCTGGAATTGTGAAGTGCGAAGGTGCGCAACCAATGAGGAGCAGGACCGGCACAGCCCCCACGAATGTTACAAAACTCACGCGCGCCACGACAGCCTGGTTATCTATGACCAGCGCACTTTGGCGCACTTTCTTCATCTCAAACTACTCGCTAAACTTACACTCATCCGACAGCGCTTACGTATACATTCCTCCATCGACGATAAGTCACTTACTACCAGGTACCTTGGTTGTGAGTCAAGATGAAGGCAAAACAGAGTCTATCTCATACTGTGCAGGTGCTTTTAGCCTGGACACAATTCCATGGCGTCGCCCATGCCAATACCTCGCGCAGAGGTCGCCAAAGTGTCGAAAAGAGTGACTCGCGACAGGGGCTCACTAAGCATGGTGCGCTGCACTCATTGTCGTGAAGCAAAGCAGAAGGTGGTGTATACTCGATCTAAGCAAGGTAGTATCAAATCTGATTGTCAAGTGTTTACCGATTGTTCGAAAATGGCCTTTGAAATGTGATCGATGTATGAAGAGAGGGCTGCCATGCTCGGAACCTACAAGGGCAATCAAAAGACAACGAAAAGACACGACTATCGAGACTGGTACATTGGAGTCCTCATTGGGTCCCACGAATGATCTCAAAGTCTGGCGCACAAGCCCAGATATGTACTTAAAGCTGAGAGATCTGTACGTTCCATGCAAAACTCACCTCGTATGCCATGACTGACAGAGCGCTAGGATTGACATAACGCTTCTCTACAAGAACATCGAATTAGCTTTGGTCTGGCTCTCAGAGAGAGGTCACGATTTGTCCAAGTTGTTCCCAACTTGCCACGAGGAATTCATCACGAACACCCCAAAGATTGAAGGAAATTTGAAGGAGGTTCTGCTGAAAACTGGTTCACTAATTGACGTTAAGCTACGAGAGCTCGGTGCGCTGGCCGACTCACTTGGAGGAGGCCAATTCTCTGCCAAACTCCAACTGTGGCGAGCGTTCCAACTCGGAAGGAGGGAGTGTGAGGTGTGTGAAACGATGACTGGAGTCTACCTGCTCGACCCAGGGTTGGAAGAAAACATTGTGGAACTCATGGAAGCAGAGATATTCTTTCTTGCAACACTTGCAAGTCGTCGCCTCTGTGGACGACATAAACAAGAATACGAGTTCAATATGCCGTTGGAACGCAACAGAGGCATTTACTATGAATGCATGAAATCCCACGGCATCTTGTATCTGCTTCCTCCCATGGCTAGGACGACCCCTAGCTATTTTCCAGACACGCTCATAGAGTGTACATACTCGGATCTCTTTGGCTTGACAGTAGAAGACCTGCTTTCGCGATGCGACCTGCTAGGAAGAACTTTGCTTCATCAACTTCTCGATTCACACAACGCACGCTACGAGACAACCTTGGCAAGAATCATAAAAGCCGGAACAGGAGAGCAATACAAGTATGATCACCAAGATTGTCTTGGTAGGACTCCATTACAAGTTGCATGTCAGAAAGGCAGCATTTCTGTGGTGGAGCACTTGCTGCAGAAAGGAGCTGACCCCACAATCGCGTCGCATGCTGGAGTTCTACCGATACATATTGCCGCAGCAAGAGGGTCTGTGGAGATCTGTCAAATGATAAGGAGTCATCCAGACGCAAGCATCCACGTCTGTGGTCCTGACGGAAGAGTTGCAAGGGACTATGCCATACTGAACAACAACTTCGCTACTGCCACGATCGTGTCCGCTGAGTACGATCCAATTCAAACCGGCCGGTCGATTGAAATGAGTTATTGTTTGCTTCGAGCGATCATGCAAAAGTCAGCCACTGCCGAAGCCTTGATAGCTGGCGCCAATCCGAACGCTTTATTTGATCCCACGTTCTCTGGAGGGAGGCAGTCGGAGAGCGCTTTGATAATAGCTTTGCATCAGGATGGAGGTCTGCTAATAGCTGGGATACTTCGACGGGCTGGTGCTGATCTAGATGCAAGAACGGAAAAGGGCGAAACTGCTCTACATGTATGTGTGCGAAGACTCAATAGAGATGGAGCACGTTGGTTACTCGAGAACGGTGCTGATGTTCTGGCCGGCGATGGTAAAGGCCAGACTGCAGTTATGTTAGCTGTGAAGAAAGGGTGGGAAAGTATTCTAGAGATGCTCATCGAGTTCGCGAGGAAAGCATCGAAGTTGTCTGAGATGGTGTACGCTACGGACAGAGAAGGACGCACTGTACTAGAGTATACTCTTTGGCACAAGAATATGTATGGTTCCAGGCTGATTGAGATGGCCAAAGGGTATGAGCCGGACTGAGACAATTGTCTGACAACTCGGCTCGCAAGCGTTTAAGCTTGATGAGACAAACATTCTACCAGAGTCTATATGCGATTGATAGAGGGTTCCCTTGTCTGCAAATTCAAAATACAACTTGAGCATAGATCTAAAGCTCTGTCTTTCATAGCCTTTCTAAAGAATCATTGCATACATTATTTCCGAGCCACTCTGCAAATTTGTCCAACGATATCATGTCGACCAACAACGACGCCCAGCAGATTATGATACACAATACTACTACCTCGACCTCGAACACGAACAATTCAATGAATTTTCTCTATCAATGGCCACTGCGTAAGATCCATCGAGCATGTCGCTCCGGAACCCAACCCCTGGCCATCTCACCCAAACACGACTCTATCAACACAGCGACCAAGCCTAAGGTTCTTCCACAGTAAGTCTATCTCCAGTACGCACTCGTGCCGAGATACATGCTCATCTCGACAGGACCTACAGCACGTCTCCAGTGACCCGTCGGGGCAAAGGAACCTTCAAGTACCACACCGCTATCATCAACGGCTTCGAGGATTCTGACGGTGAGAATGTCAATGCACAGGAGAGCCATGACTGCCAGGTCAATGGTGCGAAGAAGAAAGATCAGCACAGCATTCAAGTGCGCAATGGGAATGGATGGTTGGAGGTGGAGGAGATGCAGTCATCGAGGTCAAATGAGTGCCGCAGTGGTAGACACTGAGACTTGAACTTCTGGTCTGAAATTTACTTCTTATGTAAGGTGGTACAGTGGTTTGTGGAGACTTCTGGGAGGTATGATAGCTCGAGTTGACATAGATTACACTGTTAGGGTCTGATTTATAAGCACTTTATTCAGCATGCTATGAGAGCTTGACTGGGTACCGTCATTGTGATTCGCGACTAGGAAGGTCATTGTGATGACTTTTTCTCAAGGTGCTTGTAGCGATGATCGCTCTTATTGCAAATGTCCTTAGTTGTGATCGACTAGCGAGCCGCGAGCCACTTCGATTGCGATCGAGATCGAAACCAAGCGTGGGTGTCTCCTAGATATTGTTCTTGAGTTTTCAGATGAGAACTTGAGCTGCGACGTCTACAAGACGCATATGGTAAAGGTCCCAGGAGTAGTACATTACCCTATCAGTGTAAACATACACCTTCTAGAACACTGCCTCTGCATCTGACCATGACGACCTTGAGCTTATGCAGGAGTTTATTTAAGGCTTAGTTGATCTCAATGTCGCCGAGTTGCGCTGACTGAACACTAGTCAGACGACCTCGTGCGAGGCCGGTGTAGACATGCTTAAGCGAAAAGCGGAGGATAGTCGCGTACTTCGGCTGTATGGAGTCAAATAGTGTAGGTTCCAGATCACTTGGTCACTCGGCATTTCGAAAAGTCTGCCAGCTTAGCTGCACAAACATGACCAGATTTTAGCGACAAGTACACACATGCAATCTGTTTGTAAGGGAGGATCTGCACATTTAGCTGCAATGCAACCAGTGTGGCCTTTGTCGCTTCAATGTAGACATAAAAAGGTGCTTTCAAACACTCACACTCACCATTAATTAAAGTTTTTAGGCTGGCTGACGACTGCCACGAACATACGTGTACCTGCAGAACAATATCAATCTAGACGAGGCTGAACTAGAACACAGCTGAATGGGGTGGACCCTTTCAGGGGTCCTGGGGACTTAGCGCCAGTGAGTACGACCGATCTGTCCTTCCTAGTCTCAAACCATCCTAGACGACACCCACAACTCGCCAAATCGGGCAACGGACGAGCTGGATCACATTCACTCGCTCCGCTACACCAATTTTGTTCAGGATGGCGTCGCGGAGAGACCGTCGCGGGCGCTCGACCAGCATCGCGACATGAGAGTTTTAATGTAGGTTTTCAGCCTCGTCCAGAACTAAGTGGGGAGAAGCGAAGCCATGTGCCATAGCATCGGGCTCGCCGCCCATCTCTGGATGTTTATCAGGGTATAAAGACGACGGCATCGCGTTGTTGGAGAAGAACCTCAGGAGCAATTGACCGCTAGACAAGCACACATCCCACCTTTGATTTCAATCGTTGTCAGCACCAAACATGCGTGGATCCATTGCACTTCTTCTGCCCGTGGCGGTCTCTGCAGCCCCAACCATCAACCCGAAGTTGATCAATTCTCTCTTCTGCAAGGCCAACAACCTTGTCCTCACTGTACTAGAGAAGGATGCAGCGGCCACCCAGTACTGCTCTAGCTTTCTGTCCATCCCAACCTCAACCTTGTAAGTAGACCCAGGCTACTATTAATCTATTTCTCCTAATGATTGCAGCTCGACGACTGCTACCATTACGCCCGCCAGTGTGACCACGACAACTCCTCTCACGATCACGGCAGACACGGTCACTTCAACGCAGACGCAGACGGCCACTATCACGGAGACGAATACCATCACATCCACCAGCACAAGCGTAAGCCATCTTCCCAACCCCATCAAAAGTCATACTGATCATCGTAGACTGACTACGCCACGATTACCTCCACGACTTCAACCTCTACAATCACCTGCTTAAACAGTGCTTACACCTATACCGCACCTGTCGGTGTAGTACCTTCAGATGGAGAAGATTCTTCTGCTCCAGCCCCGGAAGGAAAGCGTGGAGCCGCCACCTACGGCAAGCCGAGTGCCATTCCTAACAACTGGTCAAATCAGTACATCTCTAGCGCCTGCTCTTGCCTTTCCATTCCCACACCTTCTGTCACCAGCACTGCCACCACAACCTTGGTTCCGGGTACCGTCACGGAGACTAGCACTATTAACGAGACCCCCAGTGCTACAGCGTGAGTGCACATCGAAACGCTGATACAAATCACGACTGACAGATCCACAGCACGACCACCGAGACCGAGACCGCAACCGAGACTTCGACCGCCACGGCGATTGAAACGACCACTTCCACTATCACCGCTTACGCAGTCGCAACCACGATCGCCTCCAACGGCGTCCAATACCGCAAGTACACCCACACCTTCAACGCCAACAACGGAGATGGAGGCTTCACATCCACCTACTTCAAAAGCCGCACCGCCGACTTCAGCGGCGCCCTAACCTCCCTCTCCTTCTCCACCCCCAACTGGCCAAGCGGCAGCTCGACCCTCACCCTCTCCGACGGCCGCTCCTTCGTCTCCGACCAGGCCGCGCTCCTCCTGCAGGGCTTCTTCATCGCCAAAGAAACGGGCACTTACACGTTCTCATCCTCCGGCAACGACGTCGATAACTACGGGTATGCGTGGTCGGGCGATAGTGCGTATAGCGCGTGGGATGATACCAACGCGGGGTTTAAGTCTTCGCGGACGGCTGCTGCGTATATCTCTGGAACGACCTCTCTGGTTATGAATGCGGGTGATGCAGTTCCGTTCACGTATTTGTGGGCGAACGGTGGGGGCGTTGGACAGAGTAAGGTGTACATCAGGAGTCCGAGTGGGCAGACGACGACGAACTCTGCGGGATACTTTGTTCAGGCTTGTAGTAGCGAGGTGTTTGTGTAGGAGGAGGTGATACCCCGTGTGATGAGGTCGAGATAGGATGATCAATAGATTAGTGAATGTTTAATGCTCTGGTTTGAAAGCTTGTTGGTTAATAAGTAAAGCCGCTCTTGCTGTTCTAAGCCGCGCTCGTAGGATTGATACCGCTTTCATCTTCTTGTGCCCCGTGTTGATGCTGGTCGCAGATGAAGTGCTGGCATTATTCCAACCAGACTCCAACAGATCTATGTATACTAACGACTCTTCGAAGACTTTCTTATCTACACATTCTCCACTATGCGTATGCGTTGTGTGGTGTCGTCTATATCCGTCCACCTGCATGTGAGTCACTTTGCACCTGCAGTCGAGCAGAAAAAGCGGGCCAACACGACACGCGACATGCACACAAACACTGCTGGAATCGCAGCCAAACGCCTGAACAACTGCAAAGACAGGTCTCTCCAAGATTTATCGCAATAGTGACGTTTACCGCGGGTCTTTGCCGAACTCGAAGGGCCTCGCACTGGCCAGGTAGCAGATGACTGTGATCTTCGGCCCCTCAGTGAGCTTGAGCCATGTGACGTCGGTTATTGAGAACCGTCATCCGGGTCTTCCCCGCTGTCAAACGCGCTGGAACTCTCACTTCATAGAGGACTTACCGCGAGCTGTTATCTGCTGCATTTCCTACATGGTGCTGCAGGCGCCGCGTGACTCTTCGCAGTGAGCTGGCGCATCGTTAGCGTTCTGGCCTTCGCGCCCCGCCTCGTACGTCAACCCGAAACGCCGCCCCTGCCAGGGATCACGCCGACTAGCTCACCGCATCCCCAGCCTATAAATCCCCGCCTACCCGTCCTCCCCTCCTCCTCCCCACCACCACCGTCGAAGCACGAATCCCGCCCTACGCCCGCCGTCCCCGTCTCCCCGAGCGATGCCGTTCCTCCCTGTCCTGTTAGGAAAGGCCGTCTGAAGATGAGGACTCTCCTCCGCCGCCGGGTCCATGTGCACACTGAGCCCTGTGGTCGCCCTCCTGCCCGGAGGCTGGTCGCAAGGGAATCGTGGCGTGGTGGGCCCGGCGGAAGATGCCACAGATGTGCGACTGCAAAGTCGCGATAGGCCGAAAGGTCCTGGCACATGAAGCTTCAGACGCACCCTTCCTCCTTTCCCCGCCGTTGACGCGCCTGTCTCCACGGCTGTCCCGCTTTTTGCAGGGCAGCCGTGTCGCAGGCGCACCTGCGGACCGCGTGGATGTCCTCCATGCGGTGTGCATGCTAACTGTGCACGAGCAGATCGTCTGTTCGTAGCGTGAGGCGCCCGCGCGCGCGACACAAAGCACAGTGGGTACAGTGTTGTCGTACGTGGTACGCTTCCTGTCTCCGCCGAGGGCATTGGATGCCATGCCTTCGGGAAACCTGGCCTTGGCCGAGATCACTGGGACTGCCTGCGTGCGTCCAGTGATGACGGCAAGTGCGCAACGTGACGCTCCGCCGTCAAAAAGAGACCTTGAAACAGAACTGCTTTTGAGCAACTACTGAGTTTTACAGTTGGTGTATCGCGAGCGCGGACAGCCGTCGAGCTGATGGCGTAGGCCTACCCAACGAGAGTCCTGAGAGGGTGTCACCTGTGTGCACCCTAATGGTCCAACACCACGCGTGTCGGAACCTACCCTTTGTCATGTCAAGAAAGAAAGAGGTCACCGACCCAACCTTTCAGATTTCAAAATGATTTCAAACAATGATAACTTTTTTGGTTTTGGATCTCTCGGAAAGCTCCCATCTTGGAAACTTTCCGAGAGATCCAGTCTTTGCGAAGGCCGTTTGAGTAGGGGCTTTCCCCCCCCGCCGCTGGGAGCCGACAACGTTTGTTCCATCCGTATACGCTCCCAGAGGAAGATGCCTACAGATATGGAGTCCTTGACTCTGACAGGCCGCAAGGCCCTTGGCAATGCTCGCTCTTGCGCACCCTCGCACCTGCAGCCATCTACAGATGGGCATGCAGTGGCCATCATCCGCTTTGTCCTATGATGGTCAGCGCGGCGGTAAAGTACCGCAGGGAGGCGTAGCTAACGTCCCGCGCACCACCGACCTCGACCCCGTTCGTCCGTCGCGTGCTCCCTCCTTTTTGGTTCCGCAGCTAGCTCTGCACCTTTGATGAATACACCTTTCATTTAAGTTATCTCCGCATGAATTTCATGTGGAGATGGAAAAAAGTGTTCCCTCCTGGGTTCACTGGGCACAAGAGCAACGGAGGACAGGACATTGGAAGACATCTGCTGGGGGTGGATCGAAACGGTGTGTGTAGCGGGGTGGTCCGGACGTGTCGACAATTCGTGCTCGGGTGAAATGGGTCGCGGCCTGCGGGCGGGCGGGCTGGGCGGCGGCAAGAGGGGGCGGGAGATAGAAGTCGGATTCTTGCGCCTCCTCGTGGTGTCTCCTGGATGTAGTCTCGCTGAGACGAACCAAATGCAAGAAACGCACGTGCTGGGGGTGGCGAGCAGGTGGTGGCGGCTACTACCTGTGACTCGCGCCTCCGCTGTAGATGTTGGACTCTGAGGTTGAGAAGGGGGTGGTTCGCGCGTGGTGGTAATCACGTGCGTTACCTTCCCTCATTGTCTACTGTGAAGGACAACCTCAGATCCTGGGGAAAGAATTGCGCGGTGTGGACAGATATCCGCATCAGTTCTTCCTGTATACAGTAGAACTCGGGGTGCTGTTCCATCATCGCATTGTCTCTAAATTGGCGTTCGGTGTGCCTCCTGCAACTTCCGGTAGTGACCATCGTATCAGCTCAATAGTATCACTATGCCCTTGGCTTCACCTCGTTTTCGCTGCGTGCATTGATCAGCCGAAATGGGAGGCACCTTCCGCTTGCTATTAATGACATGACGTGCGTCTCGCCTCCATTCTTAAAGCTCTTGTTCCTAGCATATAGTACGTCTTGAAGGTGGAATAGCTTCATCCATTATGCCTAGCCACGCAGTCTCAGTGGGTGCTCCTGGTTGATCCATGGTAGATATTCTAGGTTCAGTGGCGAAACTACCCTGTGAATATATGTCCGGGTTACGTATCCGCGCACGACGCACGACGCACGACGAACGACGAACGACGAACGATGAACGATGAACAAACTAATAACGGTAGTTCAGAAAACGTGCCAGAGAGCTTGCACTCAGCACCTCGTTACAACTCTGTATGCGAGGCTAGCACTATATCTAAAATCCACCCCTTTGGCATGCTTGCACCCGATGCAGAATATATATCGATAGTTTCGTCCAGGGTCATAAAAACCATCAAGAGGAGCCCCTGAATCCTTGATTTGAGAGAAGAGAAACGACGCAAGGGCGTGGTCCTAGCAAAGGCTTACCCTACCATACGTACAGGAGACTTGACTTGTTTTCAATCCAGTGAGATATACCTACCGCTTCGCTTGACGCTCTATCTACGGAACTAAAACACCAAAGAGCCTGTCTTGACCTTCGTCGGGATACCTGCGCCCTTCATGCCTTTCTCTACTAGCTGGCACAGGAGGAGATCTGTGCCTGCGTGGGGTCTATTCAGCTTGTGCATACTGTGGTAGGTCATGATGACGTATACAACGTACCTGGGGCACCTATGAGGGACGCAGCAATGGGGAGACGTTCTTCTCGTTGCGTGACGAGGGATTGGTAGGGGATGTCGCCGACTGGGTTTTATCCGTCAGGTGCTTTTTTGAAAGCACGGGGATACGTACCTGGGGCGGTGACTTCTGGGGCTTGCATTATGGGGGATATGTGCAGCGGGTTGAAGCCGCTTGATAGGGAGTTGGGGCTGGGAGGCTGTTAGCTCATGGGGGTCCGCTGGTGGGTGAAGGGTACGCACGGGATCGGGGCATCACGGTAATTGGGATGTCCGGTCTCGATGGGGAGGAGCATGACGGATATGGAATGTGGGGATGAGGCCTTGAAGATTCTGGAAAGGAGCCAGGCTCGGTACAGGTTGCAGCGGCGGAGGCATTCATTGCGTTCTTCCCTGGTTATTGTTTTGGCGATGTTCCTAGATAGACCGTCAGCATCATAATGAGGGGTTTATAATATCGTAAAGTAACCATTTACCATTGCCAGTGAAGCGCCCTATGAACAAACGGCGGTTTCCCGTGTTCTTCCTCGTATCTGCTTCTGAAATCCTCTAGATTGTGATATTGGTCGTAATAGAAAGGATAGATCCCAGCCTGCCGGTCAAAGGTCAGGTCAGAATGAGATACTGAAACCTAGGATAGCAGATTCCATACAGTCTCAAGATACTTCGCGATGTTTTCGTGCTCCTTACCGTCTGGACAGTCTTTCTTCCAAAGCCCGGCAAGAGATATCTTGGTCCGCTGGGTGCCCAGAGCAGATTCAAGTCCACATATGAACTTCTTAAGTAATGCAGACTGGTTAGGATCTGTAGTGGGAAGATAGTCTAGAGGATAGAGTATCTTCACAGAAGACTAAGACATGATGTAGGCCTCAGATGGGTAATAGCGAGAGGGTTAATAAGACCTTAGATGGCATCCGGAGCAAGGGAGATACCCCATACCAGACGGAGATGACATCGGGGAACCTTGAGATATCGCTGCCGAACAAGGCGGGCATGTCGAACTCCCTGTGATGAGTAGATGATTAATAACGCTCTATGTGAACGAAGCTGGGAGTGCACTCACGGAAAGAACGCAACCAAGCCCTTAGTGTCCAAGATACCAGTTGACGGCCGAATGGAAAAGCAACCGTTATATGACGCGGGCTTGCGACAACTCCCGTTCGCTACGGTAATGTTACCACAATCAAACAAGCTATAGGAACTTACTGTCCGAGCCTATTGAAAAGTCAAGCCACTCATATGAGCATATACCAGCGGCGCTGCCATGGCTACTTCCAGAAGGCACCTGATACCCATCGCCCCGCGGATTGAACGGAGCTGTGAACTCAACGCATTCTAATGGCTCTTCTCGCATAATCATTGCTTGCAACTTCACTTTACCCACAATGACTGCTCCCGCATCTACAAGAGCCTGGACGCAGGCAGCATTCTCGTCCCTAGGAGGATATAAATCCATCCAAGCACGATTGCATAGCGTATTTTTGTGACCTTTGATGTCGATGCTGTCTTTCACGCTAATACGCACGCCATCTAGAGGGCATGAAACAGAGCCTGGGTTGAAGTAACAACGAGATGGGACCATAATTCTTCCATTCAGACCAGCTTGTGAGCTCTCAATGGCGACAAGGGTAAGCAGCCGTCAGTATGACGTGCGCTTAGATTAGGAACCAAATACTTATCTTCCGCCGGGCTTCCGCGCAGGTTTAAATGCTTTCATAAAGCATGCGTTGAAATCGTGATATATTCTCCACGGCTGCCAGGTCTTTCCCTCCGCAATGACATATGGACCGGATGGCACTTTCTCGGCCGAGTGACCGGCGAGAAATGTTTGGATTTTGACGCCCCAGGTGTGAAGCTCTTTCTGTGCATCAGGTATGATGTGTACGTCTTCTTGTTTTGCCCCATAGAATACCATATGCTCAAAGAAAGTACGCTGAAAGACGTCGTCACGCTCGAGGCGTGCGGACCGAAAGTCGAGCAGGTCAGCTTTGGTGATAGACTGACCTGGGGCTACGCTGTGGACCAAGACTAGGGTCGTGCATTCTTTGTTGCGCGGAACGGCTTGGAGAAAGTTCTAGATGTTTGTGGTGAGTTAGGTATGCGAAACTGAATGTACTGAGCTTGGCGACAATGATGAGTGATGGTTGGGTTAAGATGCTGAGACTTGGGTTTAGGGATAAGGTACAACCTCTTCATTCGGGATCAGGTAGTATTCGATTTCGCCAACAGATAGCTGGAGATCTGCACGACGATGGAAGTCTGAATTCGAGGATAAATTGGAAGACATGGTCGTCGCTTGTGGCGTGACCTTCTTGAGCGTCATCTTTTGCTTGCTTGGGATCGGTGCTATGATATTGTAAGAGAACAACTGCAAGAAGACGTGCAGTGTGGCAAAATTGTCAAGCTGTTTGACGAGCTGTTAGCACCATTTCGCGGCCGGTGCACCTGGTGTCACGGCAGAGCGTAAGGCAGCAATATCCCGCGTTTCTATTGCACGGTCGTTCAAACAAAGGAACAGCGTGCTCAGGCCGCTGTCTTCACCGTTCCTGCATTGCTATGGATGCGGCCATGTCCGAACCGCCTACCCCGCTTCTGCTGTGAATTGCCAAACACAAATGGGCCAATGCTTTATGTAGCTCGGGCCAGCTAAGCTCGGCACGGCACGTTTTTGGTCCACTAAGTAGTGAAGTGAATGCTGATAATTCTAGAGGAAATTGCTAACTCGACTAAACGTGGCTAAGGATGCGAACTTGATATTTCTGTGCGAGTGGTCGGACCTGTTGGTAAGACCGATCCACGAACAATGTACATCTATTGATGTAGTGACCATAGCTAGAACACCGAACCAATGCTGGTCCCCGTATATACGGTCTTTACTTTTAGAACCCCTTTTCGCTACCAACACACATACGGCAGCTGAACACGCCCTTGGGGTCAACAGCCTTTTTGATCTTCAAAAGACGTTCGTAGTTGGTGCCAAAGAAGGTTTCTTGCCAGTTGTCCTCGTGGTAGCCCTCGTTGTAGTAGGCGGCTTCTCCGAATACCTCGGTCATGTTTGCAACAAGGGCAGTGGAGGAAGCGTTCTGCGCAGCGGTAGGCCCTGCCCAAGTACCAAAGTTCCTGCTTCGATGTCAGTACTGGAGCATGGATAGCAGAGTGGGTGGGGTGAGGCTTACACGACATCGATGAAGGCGAAGGCGTTGCGCCAGGCTGGGTGAACCGAGGTCTAGGTACTGTGTTAGTAACACGCGCTGGACAGGGTAGGTATTTATGACGGGATCACTTACCGCATCAGTAGGAACCGACTTAGTCACTCCTCCAACATCTGTTTAATTATCAGCCAGATCGTCCCAGTTCAGACTCGGTGCACGTACAGTTCTGCCAGATGAATGGGATCGACGCAGGCAAGCCCACAAGGTAGTCCTTGATTTTCTGCAAGCTAGCTTCATCATCGACAAGCTCTTGCGAAACAATACGAGAGAAGTCCTGGATATTGATGCCCACGATCGAGCCACCCTCGGCTGCGGGCCAGTATACTGCCTGATAAGCATCGTTCCAGGAAGAGGATCCCGTGAACTGGCGCGCTTCGAGCGTTGAAGTGCATCCTTCGGTCTGTACGAGAGGGTCATATGCGGCGAAGTCTTCAGCCGCGCTCTTCACTGTCTCGTTGGCTTCGTACTTTACTATTGAGGCGAGACTCAATAGATAAGAAGATCCAACGACCTCCCATAAACCCTGGTTTCGGAATGTTAGATGAGCGCAACATTATAATCGCCTGAGTTGGACACTTACCGTGTATCCTGCTTCGCGGAGCGGCTTTTGCAGATCTACGAGCGTGCTGATCATGTTCTCATAGGATTCTCGATCCTTGCAAATCACAGCGCCTGTTGCAGTATTGACTGCTTTCAGAGCCGGGTATGTCTGGAGCCAGACCCGAGTGTTAACTCCAAATGCTCCTCCACCTCCTCGCATAGCCCAGAAAAGGTCTGCATTTTTGCACTTGTTGGCAATTTTGATCGCGCCGTCAGCGGTGACGACCTCGTATTGCATAACATCTAGAGCATCATGTTGGTCATTATTCGTCAATGGTTGCGGAAAGGTCACTCACTGTCAACACCCATGCCATAGTAAGGTACGAGCGGTCCAAGTCCTCCACCGAGGATGTAGCCGCCGGTGGCGCCCACAGTGGTCGTGGTACCGCCGATAGTCACTCTTCCGTTCTCGCCACCCCACTTGTATAATGCTTCGACATCAACACCAGGGCCAGCTTTGACGACATAGGTCGCGTCACTGTCGCATCCTTCGGGGACGAACTCAGGCACCGCCTCGGTTGAATTCAGGAAGTGAGTCCAGATCGAAAGGGCACCGGCTCCCGTTGAGCGTCCACTATAATCATGGCCAGTCTGCATCAAGCCGAATTAGCTTCTCTTTTGTTGGTGGCGTTTGGGAAGACCGTACGTTCTTGATCCGCAGACGGAGATTGTGCTTTGCAGCGAACTTTACAGCTTTCGAAACATCTTGCGCGGAAGTTGCTTTGACAACATAAGACGCCATGTTACCGAGCGTGCATTCGCTCTCGACCGCCGCAGGAGCGCTCCCGTTAGTTAGGGCGTCGGGAACTGGGCAACCGACGTTTCCATATTGCTCAGAGTCTGTGTACATAGTACCGGCTGTTCATTGTCAGTCTTACCAAGATTACGAAAGCTTGGAATATCAGTGCTCGCCTACCTGGGAGCTCAATTCTGTACTCAGGATCGCGCTTCTTTGCGGCCAGAGCGGCGCAAGCCTCTGCGTTGTACGTGGAACCGTAGCACTCGGCACCGTACGGCGTTGCCTTGATCAGATTACCCCCAATGGTGCTGTTAAATTTCGTGAGGACTTGTTGAGATGGAAAACAGTTATTGCCAGGAAGGCAGTACGGTGCCGCCCCATTGACCGGAAGGACGGCAGCAGCAAGGGCAACTAAGCCTGCAGTAAAAGAAGCCATATTGAAAGCAACGAAAAGACTCTCAAATGAAGGTATTGATGCTCGACTCCATACTATTCTACTAAGTATTTATCGACTTCACTGTACAGGCCGCTCATCGCATATTTTCTACAAGTAGTAATCGGCGTGGCCGCGTCGACTTCTAGGGACGGTGTTGTGAATAGTGGAGCTGTTACACCATCGAACTTCTCCTTGCCTGTTTGAACGTACGTTTTCTTGCGGTGTAAGTTGCTAGCGCTCCGAAGACGGCACTCTTCCGCTAGCTTTTTGTTTCCGCCCCCGAAGGACTGCAAACTAGCCTATCCTGTCTACGAAAACGAATTTCCGTGTCCCACAATATTCCCTACTCCATCATCCGACATTCTAGCTCCCTTACAATTGTAGACCATACTTATTCTGGCACCTTTCCCTAGGATTCTGGAATGTCACTCCCCAGTCGCCTAGTCGGTTATACCATAGTAGCAAGGAAATGTAGAGCGCTCATTTCCGAGGCTTGAACTAGCGCAACGGTTTGTGATGTGTGGTGAGGCTCTGCTAGAGCTGTACTGTGATACGCGTATTGGAGATGGTATAAAGATGTGCGGTCGTTCCGATCAAGGTCCACATCACTCAGTGAAAACCAACACACACACTTCTCGAAGAATCTTCAGTACGCACACTCCTTCAAACAGAATGCGGAATCTCGCTCTACTTCTCGCCACGGCGGTTACTTCCCTCGCTGCTACAGTCACCGTCACAGAGGTTGCAAACCTTACACTAGCCGCAAATGCCAGTACCGAGGTCTTCGACAAGGCTGCCAAGGTCTTCCTTGCGCAACCTGGCGCAGTAAAATTCCGCAGCTCTCGACTCGTCGAGAATAGCGACAGCTTCCGTCTGTTCGTCGACTGGGAAACGATTGAGGCAAGCCACGCTTTCGCCAAAACGAAGGCATACAAGCACCTCCAGAAGGAAATTCAGCATGTCCTAGCGAAAGACCCTGTGTACTACCACGTTGCATTCGAGCCCTCGCCACCGGTTGTCTTCGATAACTATGAAGGCAAGGGCGAGTCACCTTTCACCGAGTTCCTGAACTTCTTCTTTCCCGGCGGTGATGGCTACAACAGCACGCGGGAAGCCAACGTAACGGAGACTATGACTGCCATCCTAGAGAAGTACGCTCCTACTGCGGACGGCTTCACAGGACACACCGCTCTGGGCTGGGGTCTCGACGAGATCGCGTACATGGGGGCGCAGCGCCGTGTCTTCGCAATTGGTGTGGGTTGGGAATCGGTGGAGGCTCACGAAACGTGGGAGAAAACTCCGGCGTACGCGGAATTCCTTCCTCAGCTGTTAGGCTTGGACAGCCTTATTGGTATTGAGATGCGCCATGTGAGCAACAAGATCGTGAAGAAAGCCGAGGCCTAGAGTTAGGTGGTGACATACAAGCACGCGTAGACTTGGCACAGGGATGTGAATCCACAGGAAAAAGCAGAGGACGTGGTAACCAGCAAATGAATACGATGGCCAGCTTTTGCACAGATTAGCAGTATGCTTAGAGAGTGAACAATCATGTGTAAAGAGCCGTTGACCTGAGAGTATATGTGCGATTGAGGGAAGCAGTTTGTCTACTAGTACTGAAGCAAAATTGATTCTGTAATATCCTCGAGTAGGGTCAATTGTTTCATAAACAGGCCCGGGCGTTATATGTCTAGTACAGAAGACGTTTAGATCCCGAGGTAATTTCGAGTCCCCAACCAAAAACCTGGCGCGTCGAGCTACCTGGCTCGGTGTAACCGCTGTCCCGCTTCGATTCCTCGTCATGGGACCCACTCATCGCTTGCTGTCATCCGTAGGCAGGATAGCGTACTCCTTTTGAGAGATGACCTCGTATCGAGTGACAACCTCATTCTGATCAATTTCCTCGTTCAAGTAGCAGCACTGTCCAGGTAGGTTGAAGAGTCTCACGGTAAGTGTGACGTGAGTATCAGCTTTGGAGATACTCCACGCCATGGAAAAGCAAGCCTCAAACAGCGACTAGGTAACTCCGTGCCACGATGAACTGACTCGCGCTATAGTACAGTACACGGTAGCATCAAACACGTTTGCAGCACAGTATCCTGTGAACAACGCGAAGAGAGTAGTGGCAACAGTATAGAAGAGTTTGTCTCGCATTTCTAGGCCACAGACAGCGGCGTTTAAATCGAAACAACCACCATTGGAACCTCTCGATATCAGGCGAGTCTGCGCACTTGCTTCTTCTACCTTTCTCTAACGCATGATCTCACCTACAAGTCTGGACTGTCGAGATTACAGACGTGCTAGGTGAGACTCTATATACACGAGGGCAGCACTGCATCTAAGACACGCCCCTCGTGATGCCCTCGCGCTCGATCCATATTACCCGACCAGAAATCTGGGGTGCGTTTGATAACTTCCGCGGCATATAGCCTGGGGTGCATTGCGCTACGAAGAAACCGACTGGGCGGCTGATTCGGCAAATAAGTAGGCGCCGAGCCGCAATTGAGTGCTCTGTAAATTGGGGCGCGCGATCTTACCAACCACCATCGAGATGGCTTACTTGGCGGATAGTAGTCCGGGTTTGGATAGATGAGGGCGTGTGGAGTGGGTTCCTTATATCGAGGATTCAATTTGGGTGGTGCGGTATGACGATCGTAGGCAAACCGGGCCGGGTGGAATCGAGTAGGTAGGACAGCGACTTTAATCAAAGTGAATGGTCTTGGAGGAGTATAAATTGGCTGCGGTGTTAGGGAGGAGCGTGTTCGTTGTGGCGCTTCTGTTCAGCTCTTCGGTCGATATACTTTCGCTTTACTCTTCGCTTTACGATTAAGCCGTTTGTCAATATGAAGTCTGCTATCGTGCTCCTCGCTGCGGCGACTGTTGCCTCTGCGCACTCAACATGGCAGGATCTGTGGGTTGGGACTACGGACAAGGCGACCAGCTGCACGCGTACCGTCAAGGACAACAACCCGATCGACTCCCTCACCTCGAAGGACATGTTCTGCGGTCGTGGACCTGCCACCCAGTCCGGAGTTTGCGAAGTCGCTGGTACGTCTCCCAGCTTGTCCTGATCTCTGAATGGGATGACTGACAAAAGTACGATACAGCTGGCACTGCCCTCACCGTCGAGATGCACGCTCAACCCGGTGAGCGCAGCTGCTCCCAGCCCGCCATCGGCGGCAACCATTACGGTCCCGTCTACGTCTACATGGCGAAGGTTTCCGATGCGACGACCGCCCAGACTGCGTCTTTCTTCAAGGTCGCAGAAGATGGCTACACTGGCACCACTGCCTCGTGGGGCACTGAGATCCTCAACGCAAACTGCGGAAAAAGGGCATTCACCGTCCCCAAGAGCCTGGCTTCTGGCGACTACCTCGTCCGCGCGGAGGCTATTGCGCTGCATGCCGGTGCGCAGAACCCGCAGCCGTACGTGTCGTGCATGCAGGTCAAGGTTACTGGCGGCGGTAGCGCAAACCCGGCTGGTGTCAGCTTCCCTGGTGCCTACAAGTTGAGGTGAGTTAGAGGTTGATGTATGATGCGGTACGTTATGCTAATGAGTTGCAGCGACGCACTGTTCACCAAGGCCATCTACGACTCGTCTTTCAAGTACACCAGCGTTGGACCGGCGGTCTGGACCGGTTAGAAGGTATGTAGGATAAAGTGGCGCGCGCAGCTCACAAGACGCTTTCTTCTTCATGTGTTTATTCAATAGCATTGTCGAATCTCGCTCGTAGTAAATAAATCATTGCATTTGGAAGAACACCCTATGCTCTTGCTCATGATGCGCGCTCATAAAGGTGTATCATCCATGCTGTGGAGAGTCCAGAACGCCAATCCATGCACCCAAACCCAGTTTCGAACGACTTTTTAGAGTCCATCTACGGTTCACTCACGGCGCCGCGCAAGTACCAAAACATGCCCAATCGGTACAATGCCTCCCGAGCCTCCACGAACTCCGTACGATCGCTCTTGACGATTGCCAACGCCTGTTCCAGCGCCATTTTGTATGATTGTTGCGTCTCTTGGTCGTTTAATCTTGCAGTGAAGTCTCCGTAGGGCAACCAGACGCGTCCTTCTCCGTCAATGCCTTCGAACATCTGTCCATAGATGCCTTCATAGCAGACTTGGTAAAACAATTCTGTTTCGGGAGTGACGGGTTTGGTCACTCGGCCCGCGAGCTCCATCAGGTCGAACTCAAATGCTTCTCGCTGGTTGGTGTCGTCGAGAATGTGTTGAATGATGGTGTCTTGTGGAAAGTAGTTTCTCGGCGCTCCGAGCGTCTCAGAGTATTCGTATGCAGATTGAATCATGGTAGCGATTGTGTAGCGCAGTGCTACTGATCTTGATAAAGTTTTGGAGAATCGAATATCGTGGTAATCGTAATTCGTCGTAGTTCTTCAATGCGCGAGTCGCAAGAGTGCAAGATTTCTGATGCGCACGTTTAACTCCGGAAGATCTGAGATTGAACCCAAAAAAATTGCAGCCGATGATCGGTGTAGCAGATGCATCTAGTGAGATTTATAGATGGTGGTGTTGTTGCCTCTCAAGCTGTCGTGTCGTAGTCACGCCGTCACGCGAGATTCTCCGACGTTGCCACGCGACTTTTCCCGATCACGCCAGAAATTTTCGAAACCTCAACGAAAACGTGTCGCCTCACCGTAGCATCGAATCCACTTCACCGCATCTTGAATTGACGTGGACTATGACGCTTTGACGAAATAATTTGCCAACGTGTTCGACTGTGTGGGTTTCTTCTTCTCGGCGGTGTCTGCTTCCGTTTTCTTCCGTATGTTCTCACCGACTCCCATTAGCTTCTTGAATTCTTCCCACTCTTGGGTGTTGATAATACCACCAGATGCCTCTTTGTGACCCCTAGCAAAGCTTTCGCCAAGCCGGGCTCGAAGGTCTGGATCGTCTGCTACAATACTTTCTAGCGTCTTGATGATGTCGACCTTCGCGTCACCTTCTCGCGCTCGCGCGTGCTTTGCAATCCTGCATGAGAAATTGACCTTGCCTGGAAGATAGCCCTCGTTCGCACACATAACAATCTCTAATTTATCCGACTTCAGAAAGCCAGCCCAACGTGTAGCGACGACGGGATGTACTTGGGCGGCCGATTTGATTGTCAGCACAGCAATGGTCGCGTCGCGAGAGAACTTTGGAGGCACGTGTGACCACCGCTCCGTTTCTTGCTTGACTTCAAACTGTGCGTCGCGAAGTTTTCCATTGCCAAGTAAGGGCTGTGGTCCGTCAACGGAAATCACAGCATCCCATGCCGCGTCGACATTGTATGCTGCTGACCGCCTTGGCGCGTTTACGAGGCCAACTGCGTCGTTGATTGACTTCTTCGGATACTTTTTGAATGTCGCTGTCATATCGGGGAATGGTGGTTGCCACTTCAGGGTGTTGCCTAAATCGCCGTGTGTTCCTAGAGCTGCAAGCCATGAAATTTTGGTTTCCAAATCGGGATGTAATGGTAGACAGATGTTGTAGGTTAGAAGCGCGCTTGTTGCGACCGGCGGACAGTCATGAGCCGTCACATAATCTGCGCCTTCAGGAAAGCCACCTTCTTCTGCAAAGTGATGATCGATGATGAGCCCCGTATGCTGGCTGTCGTAAAGCGGTCCAGTCTTCCGGCTTCCCTGATCCAGAACGAAGACATATGCCGGAGACTTCTCAGCGATGGCACTGCGTGTGTCTTCGTCATGTACATTGCTTCCTTTTGGTGGAAAGTATACTGATATCAGGTCTGGTGAGAGACCGAGAGTTGTAAGCGTATGGTGAAGGATGGCTCCGGAAGATAGACCATCTGCATCCTTATCTGGAAGAACAAGTGTGGGCTTATGGGTGTTCGCACACTCTTTGATGATTTCTCTCGCCCGCTCTATCTGCGCTTTTGGTGCTGGCCACACAATCTCTCCATCCTCATCCCGCCTCGATGGTGTGAGATGATATTCCGGTATCTTCGTCTTTGGTTTCTTCGCCTTCGTCGGGGTTGCTTGCTTTTCTGCTTTGCGCTTGGCAGGGCTGGCCATTGTGGAAGTGGTGTCAATGGTGCGCTTTGTAAAGGGGAACGGAGGGCAAGCAATTGGTGAGTAGGCCTTGGGCTTTGAAACACATGAAATCGTCAATCTTCGAAAGGCGCGAAACATGCTCTCATGTAGTACATGATCTGGCGTAGAGGAGGGTAAGGGACATATCGTCGGCCAGCCAATGAATCGATGACGTCTTCCCACATCCAGGCCAAGCTAGTCCGCTTTTGCCCAACATCACCAAACCTCTAAGACGGCCCGATCAAGCGCACTGCCTCGATACGAACGATTCTGGTACATTAACACTACCTCCTGATATAACTCTATGCTTTTCACTGCTGCAAAGTTCTCGTGGAATTGCTGCGCTTGGTATGTACAGAGATATCCATGACGTCACCAGTGCGGCCATCTTCAACCTCGGCTCAATGTCTCGCGAGCTATACTCAGACACGTTTGCTACATAGCAAAGAGCGAGTACAACAGGATATGTCTGAGCACACTAGGTCTGCTAACATGGAGAACAATCCAGTGTGTGGCGATCGTTCAAGCGGCCCCACTCGAAGCCGTGCCTTTGCCCCGTCTAACTGGCAACCTCAGAGCGGGGCGACATCGCATCTATCACATAAAACTGCGGGGTAGCCGAGCCCTTCGCACAAAGCATCACTTCTCCTTTGACATAAGCCTACTTGTATATTTCTGTGCTGTCCCTGACGCCAATCTCATTCCCCGTGTGATCAAGTGTGATCCCAAACACCAGGCTTAGTGTACAGCAAACGTGCAAGAATGACAGAGCAAAAGACAACAGCAAGCCAGCGCCTCACACAGATCAAAGACTTCCTCACCATGAACAAGACCACGACAACAATCCCCTGGGATCCAAACAGCACGAAGTTCCCGACGAGAAAGGAGTTGCCAAAAATCGAGGGTGCTCCAGACGATGCTGCATGGGTTTGGGGTGCCGATGATAACGTTAGTATATGCGTTTTGGAGATGTGCTCTTGCTGACGAAAGTAGATCGGCCGATTGAATCTCCTGACGCCGTCGCGCGTAGCTGCTGCTGCGAAAGAGATCCGAACTGGCGAGATCGTTCCGGTGAAGTATGGACACTTTTCGTAGACAGCGATGGATCACGGAATAAGGGAGGCCCTAGAACCATAGTACTGATGCGGGACAGTCTACCACTCGATGTACCAACTCAACCGGCGTTTGGTCGGGAGACATTCAAACATGAGATCAAGGTCCTCCATGAGAACCTTGCATACGATGATACTTATCATCTGAACACGCAAAGCGTATGACCTCCGCTAAAACTGCATGGAGTATCACTGAACGCACGCAGGGCACGCAATGGGATGGCTTCAGACACGTACGCTTACTCAGGATCATAATCCGGCCCTATCTAACATATCCCACAGTTCGCCCACATCGCCACAGGAAACTTCTACAACGGCACCAAAGGCTCCGACATCATCGGCCCCTCAGCCAACAACAAATGCTCCATCCACCACTGGGCCGAAAACGGCATCGCCGGACGCGCCGTCCTCCTCGACTACCGAGCCTACGCCCACAGCAAAGGAATTGTTTACGACTCTTTCGAACGCCACGCTATCACCTACGCAGAGCTTGCCGCGTGCGGTAAAGCTCAGGGCATAGACATCCGCCCTGCCGCCCAGGGAGGCGACATCCAAATCGGCGACATCCTCCTCATCCGCAGCGGCTGGAAAGAAACTTACGACAGCAAGACGCCTGAGCAACGTAGCGCGGCGGGGCTCCGCCACGGGGACGGCAACGACGGGCAGAGGTGGACGGGCGTAGCGCAAGAGGAAGAGATCCTAGACTGGCTGCACGACAGCTATTTTGCGGCCGTGGGGGGCGACGCGCCTGCATTTGAGGCGTGGCCAACGCAAAAGACGTGGCATGTACACGAGTATATTCTTGCGCTTTGGGGCATGCCGTTAGGGGAGATGCTTGATCTGGAGAAGTTGGCGCAAAAGTGTAGGGAGAGGGGGAGGTGGACCTTTTTCTTTACGAGTGCGCCGGCGAATTGTCCTGGTAAGTGGTCCGCCTGGGCTAGGCAGGGGAGTAATTGCTAATGAGTGTGAATATAGGTGGTGTTAGTTCGCATGTCAACGGCACTGCGATATTTTGAGATGCGCTTAGTTATTGTATCGGTAGGCGCGGGCGCGTGCTACGTCGTGACTTTTTAAAATGCTATGGAGAGATACAAATATCATTTAATGCAGATATCCTTCTTATCGTCCTGCTATAACATGCCATTCCAGCTCGTAACATCATTTCGTCTTCATCTCGTTTATTTTCCGTCCAACCACGGGAAAGCGGTGCAAGCGGTGAACCTGCCGTGGTCGCTGCAGCAAGTCCGGTAGAGGTTGAATTGATCCAATGTGGTAACGTCGCAGTTTCCGCCGCCGAGGTAAGGAGCACCCGACTTGGTGCAGCACTCAACCTCGTAGTTAGGGCAGTTGCAGTATGCCGAAGCTAGGCCAGCGGAGGCCGCGAGTGTGGCGATGAGGGTGAAGAAGCGCATGGTTGTAAGAGGTGGACGGGACGGTGACTGATTGGTCCGTTGATTGGGAGCTAAGGCGGTCGAAAAGTTTCAGGGTAGAATGAATTGCGTGCTTGCCCTAAATTTTGATGAGTATATTTACTACGCTTTATACTTGTAAGATGGTTCACACCGACTGTTTACCCAAGTAGGCTCATCTGTCGCAAGGTCACGACGAAAGAGGCTTGCCGAGAGGGCGTACGAGAAGGATGTAGTAACATGATGCCTCCTTCCCTGTCAGAGGAAGTCCGATATGGCAACTAGACTAAGCGGGGCTAACATAATCCTGCCGGGGGCCCGAAAGGAATCTGTCTCTCTGGGTGGGCGAGTTGAGCGAACGCTAGCAGAAAGCTACCCAGGATTCCATAATACGAAGCGCTATCCTTCTTGTAAGTCGAAAAGTCAGAAGGTGGTATGGTGCTAATGCCGGGACCCGAGTTGGGTTTTTCCGCGCACACCTCTAGCTTCTATGTCGTTCGCGCGAGTGAACGAACGGCGGTCGAACGAGTAGCACAATGTGAGTGATACGAGGCGAAGGCGTTGCGGCTGGTCGGTCAAAAGCGCAGCCGATGTAAAAGCTGGGTCTCTCGGTATGAAGACGTAACGCTCTTTGATGAGCTTTAACGAACGAGGTGAGCTTTAACGAGGCTAGCTACTTCTTGACCCCCAAGCCAGCCTGCGCCCAACGCCTCGCTGAGCTATTCTCGTCAGCTTATTGTATGAATGACGTCTCGAAGAGGTGTGCGCAATGTTCAGGAATGAGTCAACGTATTATGTGGGCTGGGATGACTCGATTTTCCATATATCTCTAGAATGGCGGTGCAATACCGCAACGTCCATTAACACATGTAGTAGTCCGCACCCGCAACTACTGCCTAGGAGCTTCCGGATGCTGTCCAGAGGTACCGTGTTCATTTGAGAATGGGCAACGTTCTTCACACCGCGGCTCACCGTGTTTGATAATCGCGGCTCACCTGCTCTCGGTGGACGGACTATAACAACTTCACGTTATTACACTGCTCCTGCTGTTTGACGTTCAAGATTCAAAGAACCTTCTCGAATGTTTCCGTAGCAATTGAGTCCGGAGTCATTAGGAGCGGGGACAAGGACGATGAGACCGTATCCCAAACCGTCTCCAAGTCGTGCAAGGTGAACCTGAGTATGTTATAGTTACCGGTGGACTCGTTATTGAAGTCATCACAGTACTGGACACCGACGTTCGACCTTGGTACTAGCATCATAGTCTAGCGAATGGTATGCAAATCCTCGCACCATCTCACCCCAGCTTCGGTTGTTTGTTGAGAGGGAATCCTAGCCCATGACAACGAACAATATACGGAGCTGTGGCCATTCCCTGGGCGGTGGTGAGATAGTTGTGCACGACTGGCGCCAGCTGGCTGCACAGCGTTGATTGGGACGAGATGTCTGAATTTTCTGTCCAGATAAGACTATGCCAAAGCTCAAGGGAGACTTCGAGGTGCACGGTTGACTCTTTGAGAGAGGTGTTGAAAGGTCAGAGATAACAAGTTGTATCCTGGATTGACTCAACGGTTGATGCGTCTTCATAATTGTGTTGCGATGCTGTAGGCTCGGTCTCCATACATGATGTTTCGCGTGAAGGGACCGAACACACATGTGCAGGTTGGCTGGCAGTAGTATGAGCCGGTCATAGAATAGATGTATCGTTGCTGGATCTATTGGACCCAAGAAAAGCATGTCGTAAGCGAAGTTCCGTGACTGCAAAGCAGGTCCTGGGTCAACTCAGTTCTCAATGTGCCTCTAAGATCGTCATGCGATACTATAACTTCAGCAACGACAGGTACTGATGTTTGGATTGGGAGGACAAAAAGTTCCAACTGTAGGAGGCAGCGCGGTGGAGTCATTTCCACATGGTGGTGCGACTGTCGGTCGTATATACTGGCTATCTCTGACTGACATATATGATCGTACTTAGAATTATCGCCTTGAGCTATCCGAAAGCGATAGTTTGGAAGTAATTCAGTCGTGCATTTGCTCGTCCAAAGTGGTGTCGAGATCACGGACATACCGAGTGGTGTCCTTGGGTCAACTCAACGCGCAATGCGTTTCCACGAAGGCGGCGTGATACTGATGCTCGGCTCTCCCATGCATTAGATGTTGGCATGCACCCGACATTGCGTTGCTGTATGCGCGGCGGTAAGAGATGTCATTTCTAATTAGATGGCGTAGGTGGTGGAGTGAACGCGTCTGGGGCGGCTCATGTCGCGAAGCACGTTTTCTTGGCACAGCCAATCAGGGGTCGCTGGTGCCTTCCGCACGTGCAGTCTCATTCGTCACATTCCCCGCTCCATCTCTGCACCTTTCCCATCCATCAGCAAAACACTCGGTCCGCTATACTGCAGATACTTTTTACGCATGCCGTCGTGAGGTTAACAGAGAGTGTCGGACTAGTCATGGCTCGCCTCTCGAATCCGTTCGCTTTCACGCCGCTTCCCGTCATCTTCCTCGTGACGGGAACATACATCGCACTTTTTGCTGCCCTGCTCACGGTCCATCTCACAGTACCGAATGTTCCTTACAAGACCCCGGCAGGAACAAATTTGACACAGGCTTGGATCGATCTGGAGCACATAACGCGGCGATATCATCCATACAACAGCCATGCCAACGATGACGTACGGAAGTACCTCTTATCACGCGTCAAGGATATTGTGGCATCCAGGAACCTCGACAGCGACCGCGTTGAAATTATTGATGACAACGTATCGAACGCAACGTTTTCAGCTGGCAACACCACTGTTTACTTCGAAGGGACTAATATCATCGTCGCAATTCGAGGGTCGTACGATAAGGAGCCCTTTTACTCGCCCAACGGAGATCCATTGACAAGTACCCGTGCTTCCAAAAATGGTGGCGTGCTCGTCAACGCCCACTACGACTCTGTCAGTACCGGCTACGGAGCGACCGATGATGGAGTTGGCGTTGTATCTGTGTTGCAATTGCTTTCGTACTTCATCGAGCCCACGAACAGGCCGCACCGGACGGTAGTCCTACTATTGAACAATGGCGAAGAGGACTTTTTGAATGGAGCCAAGGCCTTCATGCGCCACCCGATCTCTCAACTTCCGCATACCTTCCTCAATCTCGAAGGCGCAGGAGCAGGTGGTCGAGCGACGCTGTTCCGGAGCACAGATGCAGAAGTCACCAGTTTCTACAAGGCAGCCAAACACCCGTTCGGCACTGTCGTCAGTGGTGACGGGTTCAAGCAGGGCTTTGTTCGTAGCCAGACTGATTATGTCGTCTTCAACGGGGAGCTTGGACTCCGTGGGCTTGATGTGGCTTTCATGGAACCGCGGGCGCGGTACCATACGATCGAGGACTCCACACGGGAAACTTCACTGAATTCAATCTGGCATATGTTATCTGCTTCCATTGCTACCACTTCCGGACTGGCCTCAGATACGAGTGATCGATTCAGCGGGACAGATGAGGATCGCAAGAAGGGCAAGGTCAACGCTGGAACTGGCTCCGACGCCGTCTGGTTCGATCTGTTTGGAAAGGCCTTTGTGTTGCTGCGGTTGCACACTCTGTTCGCTCTGTGCGTAACATTGCTCGTTGTCGCTCCCATCGCTCTAATCGGACTGACTATTGCACTCTCTAAAACTGACAAGCAATACCTGTTTGCACTCAAGAAATATGTGCACTCCTCTGATGATGACGAGCCAGTGCGTTTGTACGGCTGGCATGGCTTCTTCCGGTTTCCCATCAGCTTTGTCGTGGCTACGGCAGCTGTCATCGGTCTGGCTTATCTTCTCCAGAGGGTCAATCCGTATATCATCTACAGCAGTCCCTATGCAGTATGGAGGTAAGTCTACCCAGGCTAAATCAGCACATTTCAAATGGACCACGGCACTAATTTTGCGTGCTAGCATGATGCTCTCGGCATGGTTCTTTTTCGCATGGTTTTTGCTTCGTGGAGCAAGTGCAATGCGTCCTTCAGCACTGCAACGCCACTACGCTCTATTATGGACGTTTGTTGGGAATTTTGCACTACTCGTGTTCGTCACGGTTCTTGCTGAGAAATACCAGCTTGCTGGCGGTTATTTTGTGCTGTTCGGCTTTGCCGGGACATTCTTCGCACTGCTCCTATCATACATCGAGCTGTTCTTCCTCCCTAAGAAATCTGCTTATGCAGCTCACTTCGATCAAGCCGGAGAACCAAACCACGATCGAGAATCGAATAGCAGGCCACTGTCTGGCACCACCAACGGTACGCGATCAGAAGAACAACTTCCGGAGGACGACGATGCGACGGAGACTACATCGCTTTTGCGCAACGATCGAACAAGCTTCCGAAGAAATTATGGAAGCCGGCGACAATCTGTTGGCGACGGTGCAGAGACTGATGACCATCATGCGTCGTCAGACCTCGGTAGCCCATATGAAGGAGAGCAGGAGTGGAGCGGCAAACTCCCCAGCTGGCTTTGGCTCATCCAGTTCCTACTCACAGTGCCCATAACCGTGATTCTTGTCGGCCAGATCGCACTCATACTGACATCCGCCATGTACCAGACTCCAGCAGATGGCAACTCGACTCTTTTGATCTACATCTTGTTCGCAGCCTTGACCGCGATCCTTGCTGCCCCGGCAGGGCCTTTCATTCACCGCTTCACGTACCATATCCCGACTTTCCTATTGTTCGTTTGCATTGGCACGGTCATATATAACCTCGTCGCATTTCCGTTCTCTCGCGATCACAAGCTGAAGGTGTACTTCCAGCAGCAGGTTGATCTCGATACTGGAGCGAATACAGTATCCTTGACTGGCGTCGACGGGTTCGTGCAAGACATCATCAAGGAGATACCCAGCGCACAGGGCAAGGATCTTAACTGCACGACACCTGACGTTGCGACTCGCAAGGAGCTTACCAAATGTTCTTGGGCTGGCTTGCCGGCCCATGTGGTGCCCAATCTATCGCCATACAGCAACCACACCAAACCTACGTCATGGTTGGACTACTCGTTGCAGAAAGGCAAACATGCTAATGAAGCCACAATTCGTGTGGTCGGACAGAACACCAGAGCCTGCAAATTACTGCTGGACACGCCGGTCGTTGATTTGGGGGTCGCTGGCGTTGGCGCGGTTTCAGACCCCCGCTTCAATGCGACCGGCGAACATGGGACCCGTGAGCTGCGCCTTTGGCATCGTGAATGGTCACAGCCCTGGAACGTTAGCGTGACTTGGAATGACGACGCGAATTCGACGTTTTCTGGAAGGGTCGTCTGTTTGTGGTCCGATGCGAATGCAGGCGGCATTCCGGCGTTCGAAGAGTTGCAGCATTATCTGCCTGTATGGGCCATCGCGACGAAGATTGCCGACGGCCTGGTCGAAGGGTCCAAACGTTTCAAGCTCTAAAAGGCTATCCTGCTCGCCCAATGCATCTGGGTCAATGCTGCTTTGCCTCCTTTTCTTTTGCTGCGATATCCTTTCCGGCTGCATATAAGCAGGGCGTTGTGGTATGCGTACTCGGCGCGTCTCTTTCGTGTCATCTGCGGCACCGTCGTCCCCTTTCTGTTCTTTCGTTCCTTCGTTCTTTCATCATTGTTCATACTTGTCGTGGTTGTGCATAGCATCTTGTCGCGTCTCTACACCTTCAATGACAACGATTATCACGACCGAATCTGCACTACGCCGCTCACGCGATTACCCTATGAATGACCGAGACCTGATCGTATACGCTTACTGAATATTTCATTACATGCTTCGACGTCGCCATTGCTAAAGTTCTACGGCCGACAGGATCAATACATCCGCTGGTAAACGATTCTATTCCAGGTCACGTGCAGTATAAATTCTCAAGGCCGCCTTCACGACATCACGAGTACCATGTTAGACAGCGTCCGAGATTATGCGCAACATAACCCACTTCAAGTGGCGGCAGGATTGATTATCGCATTGCCGGGAACCTACCTCTACATCACGGGAAAGTCTCTCTGTGCTACGGGACTTTGCACCAACGCGACAATGTCGAATCAATCACTTCTGGACAGCGTCACGAACAGCTTGTCCGTCTACGATACGACATCGATAGACCAAAATCTCCGTCTTCCAATATCCAAATGGAGCGACAAGCCTACGCCGACATTCGTAGTTCAAGTCATACGAGGCACCTGCAACAACGCGGTTCTAGTCTTTACCGCCGTAGGAGAACGGCTAGGTCTTGATGTGCGTCAAGTAACGCGAATTATTGAGGATCGCTGGACATCGTGTTTTCCACTCTCGCGCATGGTCTCGGTCGCGATTACCACCGCGTTACCGGGCGTATTTCTCACCTTCATACGAAGACACCCCACCTCATGGGCAGCGCGACACCAGACTAAGATCGCAAATGCGCTGCACGTCTTTGCCCTTGTGACGGTCGCAAACCAGCGGCTGTCGATTCAAGACTTGCTTGTCGCAGCCTTAGTCGTTGTCTCGTTTGAGGCTCTGCAACGAGTCACGCACGAGTCGGAAGTTCCGCACACCGTTGAAACCCTTTTGTCGCAGGCACACGGCGCGGTCGCCCGGTCGGAAATCTCTGGGTCACCCCGGCCTGTCAACTTAACGCGCAAGCACTCGGCATCAAATCCGGAATCGCTTTCGCTGTCTAGCGGGAGCAAGGATGCTGAGATCGACAGGATGCACAAACGCCTCGCGGAGTTCAGGATGACTGAGAAGGCACGGGATATCGATCTGAAGCGCACAAAGGCTGAGCTGCACAATGCGCGTGCGACGCTGGACGAGACTTTCGCGGAGTATGCGTCTTTGCGCGATGAGCTGAAGACCATGAAGCAAACGCTAGGTCGGGACCATCAAGCCGTGATTTATCGGAAGGATATCGAATTATTTGCTTTGCGCAAATCGAATGAGCAGAAAGAGAACTATATCAAAGATCGCGAGGTCAAACTTGATGACATTTACCGACAGCACAAGGCCGCGCTGGAGCTCAAGGACGCTGAGCTTCGAAACGTGAAAGAGCGTATCTTGTTCCTGGAGAGGCAGGCAAGTCCGAAGTTCCAGAACGACGATAAGGTCGACAGCGCGACTGAGAGCGATTCGCAGGCTGCGCTGCAGATCAAATTTCTCCGTGTGAAAGGGAGAAACTCGACGGAGGTCGATGACCGAACGCTTGATGAGAAGGACACCGAGATTGCCAAGTTGAAGGCCGAACTTGCAGATGCTGTTGCTGCCGGCGATGCTATGAACAACACGCAAATCGAGCTGCGGCGAGCATGGGATGCAACATCCGAAGTACAGCAGGCGCTTAACGACGAGCGAAGACAACACCTCCAGAACCAAGAGAAATTGCGCGAAGCAGCCCTACAAATCGAAGAACTTATCAAGAACACCCAAAGACCTTCTCCAATCAGGCTCGACACCATCGAGGAGCAGAATGCGCAAGAGCTGGAAGCCATGTTCAATACCGCACAACAAGACAACTCCCGTCTCTACGGCGAAGTCGAAGCCCTTGAGAAACGCGTCCGCGAGGCAAACGCCCGAGTCTTCATGTCCGAACAGGCCGCCGAAGCGATGCGCGAACAGCTTCGCCTCGAGAAAGCTATCAACGACGATATGGAGACCGCGCGCCCGAGTATCGTCCATCGCGTGCACTTCCAGCGTATGGAGGGTCAACTCAAGGAAAGTCATGAAGAACTCGAGACCAGGAACGAGGAGATCAAGAAGCTGCAAATGGCGGCCACGGAGAGGGATGCGAAGGTTGAGGAACTCCGCAAAGCTGGTGAAGCGTCTTCTTCCGCGCAGACCAAGCTCCAAGAAGAGAACGAGCGCCTCAAGCAGAACGTCAAGGAGCTAGAATCCACTAAAGAACAACTCATGCTCGACCACGAGCGCCTCGCGCGCCACCGCGCACGCAATAGAACTACCTCAGCCGAACACACATCCGCCCGTTCCAGCAGCGCAACACTCATTCATGAACCTCCCCAGCCTCCTACAGTCCCTGCAGAAGAAGAGCCACCTCTACCCGCGCGCCCCGTTCCAATCACCCCGACAACGCCCACGCCGAGCAGCATCCAAGGCACGCCTGAGCGACATCTCCGCCGCGAACCGCCGCCAACCCGTCTCAGTATGATATCCAACGATGTTCCACCCGCCGAGCTGCGGCATTCTAAACGGAAGTCGCTCACGCTAAAGGGCCTGATGCGGAAGATCGTACGCAAAGATGAAGACGAAGTAGCGGACAACCCTGTAGTAGAAAGCCCACGCCCCAAGACCGCCCTCGTGCCGAAAGACAAGAATGCGATGCTAAGGCCGAAGACTGCCGCGCCGGACAGTACCGCAGGAAACAAGGCGAAAGAGGACAGGCCCAAGACCGCTGCGCCGGCGAAAGAGGAGAGCGGGCATAGGAGGTATTACTCTGAGGGGAGGCCGAAGACGGCGGTTACGGGGATTAGAAAGGAGGGGAGGTGCAAGGAGAGGGTGGGAGGCCTAAGAGTAGGGGTGGGCTGCTTCGTAAGTGCCTCTGTTTTGGACTGCTTTTATGTGCGGATGTGCTGACGATGTGTAGGCGGAAGCTTGTGAGGAAGTCGATCGCTTGATGAAGTGTGCGCTAAGGTATGCATACGAGGGTCGAATAGTTCGGGCTCTGTGCTTGTGTTCGTTATTGTGTTTTCGGCGTGTTTGGGCTTTGGGCAAGATATCATGGGTCGGGCAAATAGTCGGCGTTGTAGTAGACAGGAGCATCCGCGCGTTCTTCCAGTGCACGGCAAGATCTGCTCCTCAAGACGAAAGAATTCTTATGCTTTTGCTCGACTCTGTTTTCCCTGTTCGGAATTGTCGTCCCCTGTATAATTGCGTGCTACGATATTCAGTCCGCCGCATAGAACTGGATTTGTTGTCAGAGAGACCTCGGGAACGTAATTTACACGTGAGCTACAGGAAAGACTATCTCAAAAGTAATCATCAAGCAGCCCTATTATCGCTGGAAAAGCAACACATCCATCCTTCTTGGCTCTACCCAACCAGCGGGACATACTCCTTCGAAAACATCCCCTCAGGCACCCTCTTCCACTGCCCCCTCCCATCCAACTTCCCCTCCACCTTCGCCCACTCCGCCCTCACAGCCTCCGCCTTCTTCTCGCTCCTCGGCGTCACAACCGCCGGGAACGCCTCCGGCCGGACTAAGACCCCATCTGTCAACGCATCCGCGTCAGGCACGATGTCGTTCCCAAACTCGTCTTTCTTCATGCTGAAGTCGAACGCCCAGAGTAGCCGCGACATGGCGAGGAAAAGCGAGCGCTCGGCGATGTGCATCCCCTGGCAGAGACGCCGGCCAGCGCCGAAAGTGTACTGATCGCGTTTGGAGAAGTCCGCGTTGTGCGCTGCTTCGGAGGAGGACTGGAAGTCGGCGGCGTAGCGTGAGGGGTTGAAAGTGCGGGGGTTGGGGAAGTGCGCTTCGTTGTTGTGCAGGGCCCTGCGTAGGCGTGTTAGTTCTTTTTGTACCTTGAGATCTAGGTATGGGAGATGGATGGGTGAGCTTACCACACGTTCATCATTACCATTGCGCCCTTGGGGATTCGGTAGCCTGCGTATATGTCGTCTTTTGTGGGGGCTCGTACGACGCCTAGGATGGCGGTTGGCATCCATCGGAGACTTTCTTTTACGCAGCCGCGGATGTACTGCATTTTTGGCTCATCTTCCATCGTGGGCAAGCGGTCGCCGCATACACGGTCGATTTCTTCCTGTGCGGTGCGGGCAACGTCTGGGAAGAGGAGCATGGCTTGGATGAAGCCTATTAGGGTGCTCCATGTAGTGTCTGAGCCGGCTTCATGGAGACTGCCCAGGAGGTATGCAGCCTGGTTATCGGTAAGAGTGTCTGCCTTGTCTTGAGATTTCGCTTGAGCGAGGACCATGTCGGCGGCGAAGCAAGGCTACTGGTAAGTCAGCGGTGGTCAAAGTCTGCGGGCCGGAGGTTTTGAGTGGATCATAGGTTCCGCTTACATTTGCGGTTCCGTTCTGCGCATCGCGCTTTAATTTGTTCCAATGAATGAGATACAGCTCGAGCTCCTTCGCGTGCAGAACCTTTGCTTTCTTCTTCACCGGCACAAGGACGTCGGGCAGGCGCTGCAGAACGGGAAAGATATCCAAGAGCTGGGCTTGCACGGTGCCGAAAGTAGAAGCCCAGTCCTCTACACACTATCATCTTGTCAATCCCATTCTTGAACAGCCGAACTTCCAGATCCGGTGACTTCGAAAAACCTTACCTCAAACAACCGGTGCATATCCCCATCATTGATATCCACCGTCCGAAACCCAAACACCATCTGCGTCGTCAACGCATTCGTATACCTCCGCATATGATCCACCCACCTCTCCGGACTCTCCAAAAACCCCAGCAACATCTGCCTATTCTCCAGATCCTGGTACGGCACATAGCTAATGCTCGCTTTGATGTTCAAATGCTCGTGCACGAGGCTTCGCACGAACCTCCACGTCTTACCGTACTCCTGCTCGCGATCAGCTGCTTTCCTTTTCCGGATCACAGTGCACGTTACCATTAGCAACATCCTCATCCACCCGCTGATCAGGTTCCCGATGTACAAAGGCGGTCTACTGCTATATACGCCGCTGCGTCTGTCTAGCAGCTCTTTCACCGCTTCGTCTGAAGAGCACACTATCATGACGTTGTTTGGACCGAGCATGAGGGAGTAAATCGGGCCATACTCTTCCGCCCATTTCTTGAACTGGTGCCACGCTTTCGAGGACGGCATCTGGTGCAAGTTGCCGAAGAAAGGGATGGTAGGCGGGCCGGGAGGAAGATCTTTGGGGCGACTGCCGACATTGCGGAAGCGGTAGAGGAAAGCAAAGAAGGTGGTAAGGGCTAAGATGTATGTGTACATGTTGTTTGCGCGGGGGAAAGAGGAGAGTGCCCAGGTGGTACGCGAGCACGAGGCTGCCATGTTCGAATTTATATTGTACCTACCTATCTTTTGGCATGTGCCATGATACTTGCTGTGCAGCAGCCTCACCGCTTGCCCTGCATGTACATGCGATGACTGGATGCGGTATCGACTGCGTGCGTGTCGCTACATTGGCCGTGTCGCTTGACTACGCCTGACGTTAGCTGCTGACAGTACCATACCCTTTGCGCCCCGACGTAAGGCTTAGCGTATCAAATATGGTTCCATGTGGGGATTCGCCAAGGGTAAGCAGCTTTTGTGGTGTAGTGCAGTCTAATTCTTCTAGGGGAGGATTTCTTAGTATGGGGCTCTGTGTGCGGGGAACCTTGGAAGCGATAATCAACGGCAGTGGTACTGGTGGCCTGGGACAGGCTGGACAGGGGACTTGCGGTTGTGGTCGCATTATGCTTCTGTCGGGGGGCGTTCATCTGCATTAAACCCGCACCAATGGCTCTGAGGAGAGTGGAGGTGAAGCATCGAGATGGGCGATGGAAGTGGTATTGACTCGTAGGAGCATTAATTGCAAAACGCGCAGTGCTTACGCCTCTGTAAGACGCATTGCCAACAGAATACAAAAACAGGAGCTACTTTATCACTTTCAAATATCGTGATCAAGACTGCGTCGAGCCGTAGGACGAGTCGTACGTGCTAAGCGAAACTTCCCATTCCGGCATTTTCCATTGGCCGTGGTTTGCGGCAGAACTGTCAAGAAAGGTCTGTGCACCGAGGGAACCTTCCTATCTCGGCATTTTTCCATAGCCATCGAACACCGCGAAACTGTACTTAGCGTCATTGAATGGCTCGTGCACTGCAAGTCGCTCTCACGAAACACTGTAAACATCGCCCTCACGAAACACTGTAAACATCGCCCTGTCTTAACGGAGGAATGGTCGAGCGAAGTAGACCGAGAGAATAACGTGTACAACAATTAGATCAAGCGACTACTACGCCGTCCCAGGCCTCCTCACCTCCCAGCCCCTCTCCCACACCTCATCTCCATCTCTGCTTCCACTGCCCCTCGCAAAATCCATTCTTCTCGGTCTACTATTGACACTAACAATCCTCTTCAGCCTTTCCCCATCCATGTACTTACTCAAAAACTTCAGCCCTCCTTCTGGAACGGGCCGCCTGCTGATCAAGCCGCGTCCTGGCCTGTCGATCACACTCCTCTTGCGAACAGGCTCCTCCGCCTCGAGCGAGCGAATAGAGGCAACCGACCAGGAGCGTGTGGCGCGGCGGCGCGGCGTAGGTGTGCGTGTGAGGGTAAAGGATTGGATGAATTGTTTCGTAGTCGGGCTTTGGCTGTAGGGAGGGGACAAGGGAGGAAATCGTGCAGATGGGAAGGCTGCGGGCTTGTCTTTAGGAGGAACTGGTGGCCTGGTGTCGGTGGGAAGGTCGGCCCAGAAGTTCGGGCCAGGGAGGTCAGAGGGAGATGGGTCGGTCCAGAAGTCGAGGAGCTGGAGGGATGTGTCGGGGATTGCTGCGATTGTCCTAATGTTGCCTCCCAAGGAGGCGATGCTGTATGCGCCTCCCCGCATCTCGGGATGCTTCTCCTGCGGCCCTGGTTCTGTCGCACTATTTGCCAGACCTTCTCTAATCACGGGGTGTAGACTTGGTGATGGTGGTAGATGTGGACTAGAGGTGCGCTGCCTCTCCAGCTCCGCATGCATGTTAGTATTGGCGATGCTTGCAAGTGCTTTCGGATGAAGCCTCAGAGCTTGAGGCAAGTGACCGAACTGGTCCTGTGAAGATGATTGCATCCTTGCGAGTCGTGTTGGCTTGCGGGGGATTGCAAGAGAACCTGGCCTCGGCGCAGGCGCATCTTTCCTGTATTGCGATCTCCGGCTCATCGGGGCTGCGACCACACCATCGGAGACCCACTGGATGGTATATGGAGGATGCCGTATTTCTGATCTAGCTTCACCGTACAAAGAGCATGGCGTCTTGTCGCGATATACCGGTTCGCGTCCTAAGGTCCTTTGCGCAGCCGCGACTTCCTCCGTTACCGATCTCGAGGCTGCTTCTTGTCCAGCTCCTTCCATCTGGTTTGGATAAGTATCTGAAGCTTTTCGAGTCCGCGTGGTGCTTGCTCCTATATCTTGTCTCCGAGAACTCCCAGTACCCTCGATGGAGTCCATCATTCGCCTCCCTCGATTCAACCCCGTCATCCACGCCACCAGCACCCTCACCCTACTCGCCTCCATATGAAACATATGACCCATAACGAAACACAATAGCTCTTCGCCTACAAAAGCCCTTTCTATCTCCCACAGGTAGTCAAGAAGCTCAAGATCAGGCTCTTGTTGCGGTGCAAGCCATTGATCAAACTGGCCAAGTATGTACCGCTGGAAGTTCGCGTCGTCGAACCTCGATCCAAGGATATGTGCTTGTATTAGATCGAAACACTCGCGCCAGATGAGGCTGCGACGTGGCTGCGAAACAGGGCCAGTCTCGTCATGTAGGAAGAGAGGCGCATCTCCGAACTGGAGCCACCAAGCGTAGAGTTTGAGAGCTGCAGGCTCGACGACAGGCACTCCGACAACGATGGTATCGCCATGTTTAGATGACGAAGGTATGCGTGCTCTGAGGTACGATGATTTTTCGGCTACTGTAATAGGTAATTGTATAAATTGTTGCGCGACATGTACTCCAGAACCGAGATCCCCGGCCCGTAGATGGACTACCTGGGGTGTTTGTCCCGGAAATGGATTTTCAGTGTTCTGACTCGGCATGGCGGGAAGTTGCGGTGGGTTAGTAATTGTTTGGTGCCTCGCGAAGGCGCGGTGCTCGTGCTTTGCTCCTTTGACTGGACCTGTTGTGCTGTGATTCACTTAGTGTTGTAGTACAACTCGTGAGTCAATGTTATCCTTGTAGAACGCAACTCACCGTGAAGAACCGACGACCTTCATATATGCCTCATCACCGCACCTGTTCTCGTACCAACGCATCATAGTGCAACCCACCCTACCTTCTTCAATTGTGCAATTCCATACCTCACTGCAGCATGCTGTGTCGTTGGCCAAACCGATTCTCTAGACACATTAAGTGGCGTACGGGATCTAGTATAAAGCTCTGGATATGCCCTCGGCCATCGCCATGCAAGGACTTGAACATTCGAAAGCGACGAGAGACACCAGCACATCGCTCCAGCAGCCATAGGCGTCGGGCGAGACAACATCGAAGCCCTTCACAGTCCAGTCCAGATAAGAGCCCTGTGCGGAACTCTCCATCATCATCCGCTTGCTCTTCTAACTCGTCTTCCGCCATGGCTCGGAAACTAGTAAAAGCGATGCCAAGTGTGAAGAAGCGGCCAAAACAAGGGAACACGCCACTCGTGATCGGCAACCCCCAGGGTTTTAGGAAGGGAACCGAGGCCGCGGATTTATTGCTAGAATTGGGAGTGCCAACTTTGAGAGGAGGATTTGATATTGGAAACTACCCAGGTTCCAGGTCGGAGTCGCCGGACGACGATACAGCGAGAGTGTCATTGTCGAAAGCGCCTGCGAACGACTATAGATTGCCACCGCGGACGAGCTCGATGGCGCCTCCGCCCTTGGCGCATCGACATACGGCACCGCCAAAGGTTTCGCTACCCAATCCGCTCAAAGCGAATCCGCCAGAGCCATCGCGATTACCACCGCCGCCACCTGCAGTCGAGTTGGAAGGCACGCCAATAGTTCCGGAAATCCGCAGTCGCGACATCAACAACAATGGATGCAGATCTTCGAGATCGAATCGCCGCAGCGTGATTTATGGAGGCTTCGAACACGGGTCGCCTTCCTTTCCGATCATCGAGCAGGTTGAAGATATACCGCTACCAGAGTCGGATTCGTCTGCTTCCTCAGGTCAAGTCTCGCCCATGAACAGGTCTACAGGCCGAAGCACGCCAAAGAGTGCCAACCAGACACCAAGCTCCCGCCTTCCAGCTATTGGACCGCTTCCGCTCGAAATGCGGGAGCCGTTGAAGATTTGGCAGAAATATATGAAGACAGGAGTGATAGACGTAGAGATTTGCCCTGAAGCTCTCAATGGCGACGGAAACTACACCTGGATGCACTGCTGGGGTCTCTTCAATCTCTACACATTCGGCGCTTCGTTCATGAATGACGTCGAATTCGCCGATCGTGTCATGGACATGCTGTGCGAGAAGATCAAACCGGGCAACGCAGCTGATGTCGATACGATATGTTTGATCTTTACCGGAAGGCACATCTCATCGCGGTTGAAGCAGCTTGTCATTGATCGGTGCCTCGATGCTGGAACGAAGAACTTCCGCCGCAGCTTCACCAGGAATCTGCCTCATCAGTTCGCAGCCTTTGCGCTTGAGGCGGCGATGGAGCGTTTAGCAGATCCGGATTGGCGCCAGCGAGTGGAGTCACCTTGTCGTTACCATCGACACAAGAAAGACGAGGATTGCTACTTGCGGGACTTTGCTAGTGAACGTGATAAACGCATCATAGAGAATAGAAAGGTGAGGAGAAGTCGAAGCAGTACCCACATTCGCTTCGAGCACGACACAATCAAATTCAAGCAATTAGTTCTTGACGATGTCGTGGAGTTGAGTGGAGATGCTGGCGGAGATCAAGTATCGTCCGGGGAGCCTGCGGTGGTTGTTGGGGGGCAAGAAGATGACCAAATGCCGTTGACGAACAGTGAGCCTAACGGTATTGCAAGCGTACAAGAGGCGGACGCGGACACCAGTGTCATCGAAGCCCTGGATGTCGAGGACGATGGCGCAACGACAGCGAAGTTTTGCAAGATTGTCAAGCAGATGGAAGCACCATTAGTTGTCAACATATCCGGCAAGAGCTCTCCCTCATCGATAATTCGGCATGAAGGCAGGCACGCACCGCCCCTGCTAAAGGAATGGTCGCTCTTCAGCGAACTTGGCGTATCCGAGGATTGTTCGCCCCCAGGGGCGTATCCAAAGTCTTGCAGTTCTCGAACAGGCCTGAATGAGTACGTGGTCTAGGTGTGCGTGGGAGCACCATTGAAGCCGCGAAGTTGGGGTCACACTGACCACGCGTGGTCGTCTGGTTCGTTCGATTAGCGATCTCTGAAGCACTTTCAGTGCTGGTTGTAAGTAGTTGAACTGCGTTCTGTGGTTTCGATACATAATACCATATGCGTGGCTGCTGTCGAGTGCTTTGATTGATCCATGTGCCGGTCAGGCTGCTTCTGCTGACGAGTTCCTTCGGACCCGACATCATCGCTTCAAAAAGCGAACTTCGGCTCGCGAGTGAGGGTCTCGGTGCGGATCCCCGTGCGGCTTACTCGTTCTTATCAATGTAGACGCGTCGTGCGAGGTGCGAACTGGAGGAGGAAAGGCGTACGAAGCCCAACACCAGCTCGGTCCCTTCCCCACGCTAACTCCGTGCCTAATTCCGGGGCGCAGTCGCGAGCCTCATGTCAATCCGCAGATATATCGCTCCCCTCCTCCACATAACCTGCACAATAATGTGACACGCACACCCCTTGCGCCCACGATGTGGCTCCTCCACCTCCTAGAATATTGTATCGGCCGTCTCCTTTACCGCCGCCGCGGCTACGACGCCGATTGCCTATTCAACACCGCGCCGTTCGCATCCCACCCACAGCCCACGATACCACTCGAGTCCCCCGACTGCGGCGCTTCAGGCGCGCAGCTTAGAGACGACTACTCTGCTTTCGGCGCCGGCCGCATCCCAAGCTTTACATGGCCCGCTGCGTCACCGCACATCAAAGAATACCTCTTCCTGGCTGAGGACCCGGATGCACCGCTCGGCCACGCAAATGTGCATGGGATGTACCTCGGCATTCCTGCTTCTACGACTTCGCTGTCACCGGAAGACTTGGAGGTCGTAAGGGAAGAGGATGGCGTGAAGGTGGTTAAGAGTGGGTGGACCGTAGGAAAGAATCGGAGGGGGTGGGTGTATATTCCTGCCAGGCCGCCAAGGGGGCATGGGAAGCATAGGTATTTCTTTATGCTGGTGGGTTTGAGTGAGAAGTTGGATCTCGGGAGGGTGGGTAAGGTGCCGACGAAGGAGGAGGTGGTGAGGGAGATTGAGGGAAAGGTGGTGGAATGGGGCCTGTGGGAGGCGACGTATGAGAGTCGGGTGTGATGGGTGACGCTGGAAGTGACTGCATGGATGGATACGACTAATGAGTGATGTGTCGATATGGGATTATGTCGCGCTTGTGGCGGCCCTTCTTAGGCTATAGTGCCTTGCGTATACTTCTCCGTGCGAGATCAGTGTCCTTCAAAAAATGGATGGTACCTGACGACACTCGGTTTAGATATCAGCAAAGTAAAAAGATGGAACATAGCGCATGTTGTTTCGGTTCTACTGTCGCCCGCAATCTACACCTACCTACCCACACTAGTAGGGAGACAAAGACAAAAAATAAAAGTTCCAAAAGCACTGGTGTATTTCTTGTGCGCAGCGACTAAGAGGCAACAAAAAATGCCCACACCCCGAATCGAACGAGGGATCTTGTCATAACGCAGAGAATACGAGTGACACGCTGTACCACTAAGCCATGCTATAATTTGTCAGTAGAGATCAGACTGCGAGAGAGCAGTGAAACTTACCGGGCTGAGAATTTAGAACTTTTCCAAGCATTATCATATATATAGACAACAACATGAGGACACTGTATTGCGGGTCCAATCGAGGCGGCGCAGTGTGGGAGTGGAGTTGGGCGAGCCCCGCAGTGGATGGCTGGCTCGCTTGATCGGCGCTCCGCGAGTGGTGGGGCAGAATGCGTCTCCGCTTGAATGCCTGAATGCTTGAACGCTTGAACGCTTGAATTGACGCATCAAGGTAGCCAGTACATCGTAAACAGGCATCAGACAAAATAGGCGCCCGCTTGTCTACGCATCTGATCCTTCCGCTCAGAATTCAAGATGTTCTGTTTAGAAAGTAGCCCTCCCACTGTAAGCTTTTCTTTGTTGCTGTGGGAAACGTCTCGAGCCTCGTCCTTGTCGGAGTCGAAAGAAATATACGTAGCGCAGCTAAATATAGGCCACCTATCTGTCTCGTGGTCATTAATGTCAACAATAATGACACCGTGTAGAGAGCGGAAGACTCGATCAACGTGCCAGCAGCCTTTGGATGGCCGCTTCTCAAGACGCGTCCTAACTCCGGTCTATGTCCGACGCGTCTTCGACTTCTGCTTTCGATGCGTCTTTCCCTCTCTCTACTCGCTACCTAGACTTGTGATCAGTCTGTGCTTGTGTGAAGACTTACAAAGGAAGCGGATAGACGGTTGCGACTCCTGTGCAGTGCGTACACCCCATCGCCCTCGGTCACCAGAGCACATCCGACCACGCTGCAAACACCCCAGGCCCGCCACCATGCTCGCAAACAGCCTCCCCTTCGACCCCGAGTACGACCCCGAACCCTCAAAGCCTTCCCTCCCGCAGCTCTCCCACGCGCCCACCGTACACTCCGCCTGCTGCCTCGCCCTGAGCACCCCACTCCTCGCCCACCTCGCGTCCCTCCTCCCGCGCTCGCCATCCCTCACCCTCTCCATAGGCAGCGGCTACGGCCTTCTCGAAACCCTCCTCCTCGCCCCACCCTACAACCTCAACGTAATCGGTGTTGAAGTCCAGCCCAGCCCGAACACACATCTACCACCCACACATCACCGTGAGGTAGCTGGGTCGCGGTTCCTGGAGCCGCTTGCGGGTGAGGCGGAGGCGTGGCTGTTTGTGTATCCTAGGCGGGTGGGTTTGCTCCAAGAGTATATTAGGGAGTTTGCAGTGGGGAAGGTGCGGGTCGTTGCGTGGATTGGACCGACGGCTGATTGGGATGATTACAAGGGCGTGTTTGGGGGTTGGGATGTTGAAGTGAGGAGCGCGGATGAGGTAGGCGGGAGGGCGTGGGAGGTTGTTGCTGTTGCGAGGAAGCAGGCGTGAGGTGGTGTCGAAATTTGAATAAGGCGCCGTGATATCAAGGAGTCGACAAGTGGCTATGACGCGACATCTGTGGGAAAGAAAGAGAGGAGGCTCATTGAGCTGATTCGCAGGGAAAGCGCACGCCAGCACAAGAGATTGCAGAGGTTGCCCTTCTCGAGCACCTGAACAAAACGCACGCAGCTGCTGGCTGGAGAAGTGGAAGCGCTCAAGTTGCGACAAATCCCAGACGTTCCGACATCGTCGCACTCTGCCACACCACGCGAAGTGCGAATGCTGCAAAGAGCCTACATCAGGCTTGAACTAGGGGAAACGCATTGCTCAAACATACACGGAATTGTCTCGTCGTTACCGCGTTGTGCATTATACCTCACGACCTCCAGCCACTGGGATAGGGACTGCGCTTTGAGCGGCCGACTGCTGTAATCACAACACACACAGCCCCGACTTGTGTGGCTGATGTTGGACAGCTCATTGCAACAAGCTGATGTGGTGATGCTTGTTGGTAAAAGGCTCGCAAGCTACTGAGCTAATTATAGCACAACCTCTTTGTTCACAATTGACACGGCTGTAAACGTCGTTCAGAATGTGTAATGGAGGACTGACTCAATCTCGAGCTTCTCAAGACCGTCTGCCGGTATCAATAAAACTATGGTGTGCGGCGTCTGCAAATCTCGCGATGCTGTGCGAGGCGCAACGGGTGCGAAGTGCGTCTTCATGTGCTGGTAATTGACACTGAAAAGAGCCACCGCGAGACTTTTCAATTCGTGCCTCAATGAATGATTGCTAACAACAGCATCTTCACTGGAGAAATCTCGCGTTTGGCGTGTATGATCCGGCCTTCGGTCTTCTGCGAGGGGTGTGCTCTCACGCATCTTTCCAGCATCACTATTCCGTTCCAATCTTTGCTTACCTTGTGCAGGTCGCGTGGCTTCTTTCTTTTCGTTCCATTCTCCTTTGTCACTTTCTTTCATCCACCGTGCAACACCAACAATTGGACGGTAACCTCGATGGCTTGCTGCTTTCGTCGCCGTCTCATTGTGCGCAACCTTTGTCCTCCATATCACACTGGACGCCACTTCCCGTTCAAACAAACGTAGAGATAAAGTTTGCCGTCCAGCATGGCTGCCGTCCGCTTTTCCAACTTCCGCAATTCCTGCAATTCCTGCAATTTCCTGCAATTTCTAGAGTCGAGACACTCGTCCGATACTTCGACATCGCGTTGCACGCGAGATAATCTTTCATTCTTCATTGCCCGATAATCGATAAAACACTTTCCCGCCAGTATGGCGCAACTATGGCCCTGCGCGCAGGCTGCTGGGCAGTTCGTGACCGAGTTTCCTATGCCGGCGGCCTATGCCTACGCAGCTTTCGTGGGCTCGCTAGCTGTACCACACTACTTTCCTAACATCACGACTATTCGAACACCCATTGATCCATATCCCATCAATGCTACCGACATCAACAATCTTTTGAATGAAATCCAACGGGAAGAAATCGTCACTCGCGACAGCACCATAGTTGAGATCATGTGGCGCAAATTCGAAACCTCAACTAACAAGAAGCTACCCACAAATGTGGTTGACTGTGAGAAACTCAGCCAGCAGATTGGATCCGTCCTCTCCGCGCGCGGATTTTACCCCTGGCTCCTAGACCATGTCAACTGTACCACTCGATACGAGGGCTACCAACCCCCAAAGCCTTGGACGTTCCCCGATATCAATATCCTACCATCTTGGTTAAAGAATAATCTCCAGGGGTCCAAAACCCCGGATCCAGGACCCGGGCCACCCCCAGGACCCGATGTTAAACAACGACCTTCACTTACTACTATGACGACTGTCACTGTCACAGGGACTGAGCATTTCACCGGCACTGCTTCTGAAGCCTCCTGGATAGAGGAACCGCGAACAGCTCAAGCCGACGCCGACAATTCGTGTTATTTGCCGAGCTGTCTGACATTGACTTCGACGAGGTGGGCGAGGGAAACTGTGTCGGTGACTCATACCACGACTCCGCCTTCGGGACCGACTGTGGCTCCAACTTCGAATGTAGATTCAGAATCAAGTGGGAGTTCAACGTCAACTGACTCTACTTCTCATGTTGCAGATGGACGTCCGACTGACGAGCCTGACTGGAAGGGCGCAGGTTCGCAAGCTGGATCTGAGCCGACAACGAATCACGCCCAGACAGATACAGATACTTCGGATTCAACCAATGAGCCTCCAAGCAAAGACTCCCAACCCGAGCCTCCCGGGAAGCCAAGTTCTACCACGCTTTCGAATCTACGGGACTATCTTTGGGCGCAGGTTTCTAAATCCGCTAATCAGTTAAGCTATTACTACGGATTTACCACCAATAGTAGCCGTGTCGACGATCTGGTTGTAAAAGATTTGGACTGGCTGGCTGGTGGCCACTCTGAGAACATGATCGAGAATGATGTCGCCTGGATGGTCTTCAAAGCCATCACTATCATACCCTGGTCCTCGCACGAAACGGGAGCGAAATGGTGCAGTGACAAGATGGCCCAGGTCTTTGTACCTGACCTGTTCGTTGATGCGTGTACGCATGTTGATAAGGACCTCAGAAGTGCGGCGTTCCGGCGTGCCGTGCTTGAGCTTCCGAACACAAAGAAGCGGAACTGGCAAGTTTGGGCAGACTGGCTGGCCACACCTTTTCAGAAAGCTCGCGCAGTCCCGGCGTCCATTACTGGAACTCTATCGAAGTACTGGCGCGTTGTCATTGACGACCAGCTCAGGGATGATTTTTCAGCTGCTGGGGAAGTGGTGACATTCTTCACTCGTGAATGGTTGCCATGGTTATTCTCCGAGCTCTTCGGACCCCCTAGATTTGCCGACGAACTTGCTCGCTCTGTCCTCATCATAGCAGCGACCATCATCGTCCATGGCTTCCCTCCCATCTACGCTCAATTGCAAACCCATGGTAAACTTGCATGGATGATCCTTGGTGTCTTCATGGCCTGGTGTATCCGAGTGCTCTCTGCCAACCTGGGTGGCTTTTGCTATTTCGATCTCGCGTGTTTCGGCATCGGCTATGTCGCTTCGGAGATCCTCTATCGATTCACGCAACCTGAGTATAATACGCCGAGGCGACTACGCCAGTTCATCTTCCAGTACGTCGATGGCCTCTATCGTAAGGTGCAGGGCTGGCGGCGCGTCGAAGTTGTGGCGGTTCTTGCGTACGTGTACTTATTGTTAACTCCGGCGAAACAATGCCCACACCCTAGGATCCGGCTGCCGCTTTTCTGTACTCTCAGCGCCATGACTGCGTACCATCTTACGCGCCTATACGTAGCTCTAGATCCTTGGACACTTCCATACCAAAACGACGAGGTCTTGATCGCGGCCGTTCAGCACCGATCTAGGCCAGTGATGGGAATGACCAGACTCTATCCCTTGGGTGTCTTGGTCCTCACGTCTGCGATATGGGTACTCTGCTACGAGTGTCTCGACTGGAAGATAATGATCTTCATTGCCTATCTCAGCGGCCGCATTGGCTACAGTCTACCACCTCCTCCAGACAATGAGGTACCAGTGCACGTCCAGATCCTGACTCGCCCATTGGCATATGCTGCGGAACTACATCTCGATCTCGAGGTACTCCAGCTCGGCAGCGTGGGACATCATCATATCCCCTGGAATTGGTGGTGGACCACCATGTACGGGACTACCCTAAATCTCGTTCTCCATGCTTCGTCCACCTACTACTTTCACAGAGTCGAAGGACAATGCTCTCCCATCAACCCGGATCGTTGGCCAGGCATAGCTATCCTCGCCTCCGTGCCGACTGTCTTTTTCATACTCAGGCTTTATTTCCGCGATATTCCCGGCAAGCAAGCGCTCGAAGGCCCAATACAGTACTGCTTCTGGTTGAGTCTCGTCGCTTCGTGTGCTGTGTACTCTATCTGGTCAACCGTATGGGATTCTTGTGGTCAAGATGCGTCAGTGGCGATCATCACAGTCCTGCTTTGGTCACTGGTGCGCTGGAGGTTTGGTGCGATTGGCTCCATCTGGAACGAGCTTCCTACCATTCCACCGACAGTCAGGAGGAAGAAGGAGGCAAAGAACAAGCAACCAGGCCCTCCGGGTTACATTTCGGATCCTCTGGATGCGAACGATGGAGGTTTTGCAGTGCGTGATAATGCAGCCATTGATGCAGGGGCCATCAGTATTGGAAACCCTCCTGTAACTTCGCATGGGTCAGTTACTTTACAGGACGGTAGCCAGGCTAACTTGTACTCCGCTCCCTTGCCTGCCAACGCGCAGCCTACCAATGTCATCATTTCGGACGGCCAAAATCGACGGGGTCTCCCGCAAGAATTTGATCCGGAGACTGCGGTGGTCCTCGACGTTGTCCATGGTGAAACTGTTGCTATACCGGGATACCCCCACATCAAGATCACGTATAGAGGCCGTTGTGATGGAGACAATGAAGGCGATGGAGGCGATGGAGGCGATGGAGGCGATGGAGACGATGGAGACGATGGAGACGATGGAGGCGATGGAGACGATGGAGACGATGGAGACGATGGAGGCGATGGTGGTGATGGGCCAGGCGGTGATCGAAGGAATGATGGGCCAACTGTACCAGATGAAGGTGAAGGCTCATATGGTGAAGAGGACCCAGCTGGTAGTCCATCTGCCCCAGCGCTATCATCACCACGATCTTCGCCGCAACCAGGCGATGAACCAGAAGATGAACCAGGAGATGAACCAGGAGATGGAGGAGGCGACAGTGATGTGAGCGATGGAACTGATTACGGTTCATTAGGGAAGCTCCCGTTCAAGCACAGAGCTTCCCAATGGTCTGATTCATCCGAATCGGAAGGTCCATCGCAGTCGCCTAATCCTTCTCCTCATCCACCGCGAGATCCGCCATCAGGTTTATTTGACTCTCAGCCGGAAGCGCCTGAAGGACAAACTCCCTCGAACACGCCTCCGCTGGGGACCTCAACATCGCCTGAGTCAAGTACTTCGCCAACGTCAGCCGTACATTCTGTCAACGGCGCAACGGAAGACGAACCTGATGAAAGCGAAGATGAAATAAACGATCACCTGCTCAACAACCCGAAGCTAGGAATGCCAAAGCCCCCGGGGCGCCAATTTATTGCTGATCGAGATCGAGAGCCTCAGTCCACAGGAAGTGGCTCTGAGGTGACAGCACCAGGAAAGATCGATGACACCGCTGGCACTGGAGACGAACCGACTAGCGGCACTGACGGTGAGGATATGGCACCCGGGGCTAGCGAGGGAGAAGGGTCTTTTGAGCAAGAAGGTAGTGAATATCGTGGAAGCGAGACTGACGAGGGTGAGTCCGGAACCGCCACAGCAGTAGTTGACAAGAAGCAGGATGCCGCGCCCGGGAGTGAAACATCGGAGGCCAAGACACATACTGCTACCCCATACAAAGACGAACGTGATCCAAGTGTCACCGACTCAAATAACGGCGGGAAAAACCTGACTACACCTGATAACACGACTGCTGGGGTTATGTCTACCACAGGGATCCAGAACGAAGAGCCTGAGGGTACAGAGGCTAGCAAGGACACCGAAAGTGAAGCATCATCGGAACCGCTAAACGCACTGCCCATACGGAGCCAAGGAATTACGCTAACGCCGGTGCTTTCCCCGTCACGTGCTATATATCGCTCAGTCTATCTGACCGAACTGCGGGATGAAGACAACCAACGGTATTGGCGGTGCGACCTTTGCAACTTCATCGTAAAAGTTGGCGAGGACGATCTGCGATATCATATGTCAACAAGAGAACATGTCAAGCGCTCTAATGAAAAACGATTGGAAGCGGAGGCATTAGTTGCGAAGAACAAGCCGTCAAAAGAAACAGCGGTCAAGCCGGGACACTCCACCAAACAGGACGACAAATCTGAAACGGGTACGTCCGAAAACGACGTGCAGAAACATCCTACTTACGAAGAGCTTCAGACCCTCTTGAACCAGTTTCTTCATATGACGGTAACCACGGACATAGCCAAGGCGGGAAAGTATCTCAACTTAGCCGACGGTAATCTCAACAATGCTGTAGCCTTATTCTTCGATCAGCCGGATTACTATTTCCCGACCCCTGAAGAGGTGGAGGAAGAGAAGGAGCAAGAACGAAGGAGAGCACAAGAGCAGGCGGGGAGTCCCTCTCGTGAGACGATGAGGGAGAGACAACAAGAACGAAGGCGAGCACAAGAGCTGAAGGAGGTGGAAGAACGCTCGGCCGAGATCAAAGAAGGCCGGCGCAACTGCAAGACTTGCATAACAAAAGTGCCGGACGAGGTTTGGGACGAGCACGTACGTTCTGTTGATCACCGGAAGGAAGAGGATTCGTATCAACACTGGAAGTACTGTATGATCTGCGACTTATTTTACCGCAACTGGTATTCGCACAGAAATTATAGTTGTCATCAAAGGCTCGAACCTGACCGCTCGGAAGTACTGATCGATGACGGGAGGAATGGTTGGATGTGGTGCTCTACCTGTAATGATAGAGTGGGACAAGAAAACAGTGATCAAGAACACTTTGGCATACAGAAACACAGAGATGCTGAAGAAGCGGTGGCTAGAGGGCGTCAACAACCAGAATACTACCGGTACTGTTGGCCTTGTGGATATGGTGTGCCAGTAATCGCATACTGGGAGCATGAGAGGTCGGAAGAACATCGCAGAAATATAAGCCGACGCGTAAGCGGAGGCCCAGATGGAGGTGGAGGCGATGACGATCAAGGGAACGGAGATGGAGGCGATGGGAGTAAGAATTGCAAAACTATAGCAGAGCAAGCGAAGAAGGAAGGAAGCCCTAGAGAAAGCAAGCTTGATGAGCGAAAGGCAGACGAGAACACTGGTGAGGCGCAAGTTCCTGGAAGTCTTGCGTATAATTCAGACACTGAAGGTATGTACAACGGAAGTTCTGCCCACACGGATGACGGAAAGAACTAACGAGGCGCACAATTGTCAGGCACTACATCCATAGATGACCAAATAGGATCTCAACCTCAGATTCCATCAGGCCAAGGCAGTGAACCTGATACAAAGGATACCGCGGTCAACGCTGATAACGATGTGCCGCAGCCTCAACCTGCCATTTCCACGGTTGTTTCAGAATCTGGTAACGAGCCGGCTCCCTCCAGTCCCGCGCTTCCAGAAGGACCCAATCCTAGTCTACCCGACAACGGACAATCTACGCAATACATCGAGCAAGAACCCGCGCCGAAGACAACTTCATCTCGTGGATCTGAAGAGGACACGCCAGAAGATGCGCCTGCGTCAAGTACTGGCGAAGCAAGTGACCACAAAGGCGATGGTTTACCTATGTCGGAAGTATCGCCCGAGCACAACATTGACAAAGCGTCTGCTTCTGGGCAAATCTTACCAGAGGAAGCATCGAGTCCCCGAAATGATGCGTCTGGTCCTGGCGAAGAGGTCAAGCCTGTGGTTACCGAAGAAGAACATCGCCATCAAACGGATGCACCCGTAAAGGAGTCGATAACATCAGCTGAAGAAAAACAAATCGACCATCCTGACCAAGATCGCTCCAATGGGGTCCAAGAACAACATGACGACAAAGAGGCTGCTACCGTTAGCGAGGCAGGGACGCCTATAGAGGACGACGGAGACATGAAAGAGGAAACGAAGACCAGTCGCCGGAATAGTAGGCAACAGAAGAGGAGGAGTGCTCACAGAGGCGGAGAACACCATGAAATTGATGTGGAGAAGAAGTTCCTGGAGCAAATGGCGACAAAGGGTAATACAAGCGCGAGCGATCGAGAGCATGAAGCTGGTACTCCAGCTGCGACACGTTCGCAAGATGTCACGCGTGCGGAACATCCTAAGCCTACCAAAAATGAAGATCACGCGGACCCTCAGCCCAAGAAACCTAACGGCGAAAACGGCCCACCATCTGAGGCCATTGCAAAAACTGCGCACACGAAGCCTGTAGATGAAAAAAGGCCGGATCAGAGAACTAGAAACAAAGAGAAGGCGCGTCAGGAGGCTGAGGCGAAGAAGCTGGAACCTGAGGGCTCCAATCAAGTGATCTTTGGGGCGGGTGCAAAAACAGCAGGTGATAATACGGCAAGTATGGCTACGGAAGCTGGTAGGGAAAAACCGAAGCAGCATCGTGGAGGGCAGAAGGGGAAACACAGCAAGGATATCTATCGTGAACAGCACGGCCTGCCGCCTTTCAAGAAAGATGTTCCCGCTGACCCATCTGGGAATTTAAAAGGCACTGCAGGGACTCAAATCGGCATTGAGGACCAAAGTCGCGCTGTGAATGGTGGTAAAAATGACGGTAATGGCGGTAGCAACGGGCTTGATAGTGGAATTGGCGGACAAAGTGTGGATGTACCTCCCGCCAAGAAAGTAAGAGGTGGTGGACCTCGCAAACGAGAGGACTTTGAGACATTTGAAGAGTTCGAGCAGTATCAGCGAAATAGAGCGGAGAAGAGTAAGGAGCAAGCAGCTCTGAGAGAGAGAGCTGAGGCGCGTAAACCGCAAGCAGCTCTTGAAGAGACTGGAAAGGCGGATGAACGATCGACAGACAGTACCCAACCAATCGCTGGTCCATCTCAGCCCAAGCCCAAGCAGGAACAGGGTACTCAAGCTGCTGCTTCATCTGATCTTCAATCAGGAAGGATACCGTCAGCTGGAGGTGAAGAAGAAGAGCACGGTGAACCTAAGGGAGACGAGCGAAAGGGAGACAAGCGAAAAGGAGACGAGCAAAGTAGTAAAAAAGCATCCAGGAAAGGTAAAAAGCAGGCTAAAAAGAAGAAGGGGAGGTGATTTCGAGACAAGTTCGATTTGGAGATCAACCATTTCTTGGCCAATCGTCGCGAGATCCTAGGGATGCCGCGCTTGCTGAACTGCTCAGACGGTCCCGGTTCGGCAAATTCGTCGCGAGATGCTGAATCGACCGAAAAGCTTCGCTTGGAACTGGAACAGAGAAGATGAGGTTCGACTGCACGTCAGCCAGCGAGTGATCTACCTTTGTCCGATGCAGCACTGCGGTACTTCAATTCTTGATTCCGCTTCAACCCAAACCCTGTCGATAGAACAAGCAAGGGAGATTGAGGGGACTTTCCCGTCCCATCCATGTCTCCCCTTTATCCAATTTTCACCGCTCCAACTACCTGGCGCAAGTTTGAATGGGATGCGGCAATCGCAGATCGTTGCGGGGACGAAGCGGCGAAAGGAGAGCATTATATCGATTACCCATTTGCCGTGGCACCACATCCTACGCCAGTACGAACGCGTTCAGTTGCTTCGCACCACAATGTTGCAGCATGTTGATGGATCTACACAATAGCGTAATATTTGTTTATGTTCAGGCGTTTAGAAAGTACGTAATTCTGCGTTAATTTGTTTATGATGAAAATGAGTATTCGTGTGCGTATAATCTTATGGTAAAACCTACTTGATATCCAGCACGGCTACATCCTACCACGCGCATCTGATTGTGCTCGAAATGGTGGGCACCATAATACGTGTTTACTGCCCACCGTTGGGGTCTTCACCGTTCTGACAGAACATTGTGCGAACAAATCCTTGGGCTTTTCACTGTTGCCAAGGCTTTCCATTCCCGAGATTGTGAACTTATAATGATTTTCCCAGAGTAACCTGGGTTGCTCAACTTGGGCTCGACTTGCCGTGTTAAGCCTCTGGTTATACCCTTTTCCAACTCCTCTGACTTATCAACCCCCACCGTCAAAGGTAACCGCAACGACTACGTATGCTCTCAGAGAAGTGCAGGGCACCAATAGACTATATGGCTGACATCCTCCACCAGAACAGTTCTCATTACTACGAGCCTGCTAAACGCCAGATCTCGATCGACGAGGATTACAGCGACTGTGACGAAATGTCTCAATCTAACAACCCCAACCTAGTGACTCCGCCTGACGACATGGAAGGCATTATGACACAGCTTTCGCAACTCACCATGAACGCGCAAGGTCCACAGGATCAACTACAGAGTCAAGCGCCTGCTCAATCCATCTCCGAAGCCGTACTAGCCGCCAACTGGGTCCGCATCTTCGAACACCATCACCCCACTCAAAAGCACGTGTTGAACCCATACCGTGACTCTGACAAGCAGATGACCAGCTTCATCCGCTCGTGGTTCGCCTTCTCCGAGCTCAAAGGCTTCCTGCATCTCGATTCTTTGGTCAATGCAATGTCTACTACTATGGAGCCAGGTTCCGATGTAGAGGACCCAAGGAAGAAGTATACGTCCTTCGAGCAGTGGTATGGTGATGCAGAGAAGCCGCCAGGCTGGATATTTGATGGGGAGACCGAGAGTCTTGTGCTGTATTCGCGCTGGCTTGCAAGTAAGGGTTTGGGTGCGCAGATTGCTGAGCAGGGGCCTGGTGCTGGGGTCGAACAAATCGGGACGCAGACGCAGACCGATGATGTCGAGGGTCAAGATGCAGGCCTTTCGGACCAGCTTCAGCGGATGCAGATCGATGACATGATGCTGGACTAGGTACTTCGAAGGCAGTCCACCTTTCGTGGTTCGGTGTTGACTTTGGTGTTGCCTGAAGGCTGTGCGCGTGGATTATGTGAAAGCTCGGGAGACGATGTAAGCTGAAAATATTTGTTGCGCTGGAAATGTTCGGGGATTGCATCATAACCGTAACCCCAATATGTAGAGAATACCATGCTTCAAAGTCATGAGAAAATACGAAATTGATCAAAATTCTCTGGTTCGTGACAGGTATCATTAATTCATCGACCGAAGGCCGTGCATTATGCATTAGAATTCTATATAGATCGACGGACAATGTAGTATCTACAAGAATGGAAGCTTGTCGGTAGTGATGTATATCTTCCCAGGTTCTCCGGGTGGCACCCTCGCTATTTCCGGTGAAGGCGGCGATTCGGCATTCATTGGGTTATAAAGCAAAGTAAAAACACAAAGCCGCTATTGCCCATAACGGCGCTGCCTTGGACCCATATCCCCGGGAGGCAGCGCCCTTTGCAGATTCAGAAGGCGAAGAGCCTCCTGTCGCACTCGGCGTACCAGTCGATGTCGTAAACGTTCCGGTCGCGCCTACGTACTCCACTACGATCTTTTCAACAGTCATTACTGCGTCTTTTGCGGGCGGGCCTCCTGTCCAGCCGGGATTGGCATCGGTCCTAGGAATGATCAGCGGATAAGTATGTACGGGCATGTGGAAAGGACTTACCAATGCGCAATCATCAACTGCACCGGCTCCGTGGGGATGTTCTTATCAAACGTGTTGACGAGCTTGCCGTCCATCAAGAAATACGCTTTGGACTCCGTCCGGACGAGTTTGTACGTGTGAGAGTCATCCGTCTGGTCTGTGGTGACGTTTAAATTGACCTGCTGGATCGGTTGGTCTTTTGACATGCCCTGGACGACTGCCCAGTTGACGTTGGTGCGGGTCAAATATTCCATGTCGACTTCGTTGTTGTCGCTGCCGTAGAGGAAACCGCATTGACACGTGCCAGCCTCTCCACTCATCTTGACTGTCATTTCGAGCGAGCCGACGGATATTTTCTTGGTGCTCATTATCTGGGCGGAACTCAGACCCACGGTGCTTTTAGGGTCGTATGTTTGGCCGCCGGGGACCTTGAGCTTTAGGGCGCCGTCTGCAACTTCGACGTTTTTCGGGTCCATCTGCCGCAAGTAAGGGTTGTCGTTGGAGCCGCCATAGCCTCTGGTGTCGACGATCCACTTGCTGGAATCTATTCCGTTTTCGAAGGTTGTGGTTTCGCTTGTGACTTGGTCTTCGGAATAAAGGCCTAGCATGGGCTGGACGTCGTTAGCGATGGTGCGTCCCTGCAGTTTCGCAGAATGCGCGCTGCAATCGTGTAGGGCGAAATACCTTTGACGCGTCGGGAGTCTGGTCGTTTGAGACCACATCACTTCGTGCTCTGATTATCGGTATCTCATGGTGTGTCTCTGCTGGCGGTCTGGAGGGAAGAGTAGTTGTTGCTGAAGGTGTCTGTATAGGCACGCGAGGCGCATGTGGTACTGATCCGAGCGTAGGGTAACTGACAGCGGCACGCTGCCGGGGATGTTGTGCTACATCAGTGGCAGCTGCCAAGGCGCTGAGGGCGTAGTCCAAAACCTTCATTGCAGGTGTTTCGCAGTGCGAAAATCTTTATCCTAGAGAGGTAGAATTTAATCTGCAAACAAGCGGACCCCCTATGCATTTTATTGTGACCCGTCAGACTCTTCTAAAATCTCCGAATATTGAAAAAACCCTAGTCCCTGATTAGGTCGCAATTTTATGGGTTTAATTAGCTTTGGAAGGATAAGGCGGCATGGCGACTCCGGTCCTTGCCACCGAAGGATTTAATCGCAAGGTTTGATGTTATCGATTTGACTGAGCACATAGCTTAGGTAGGAGCAGGTCAAATAAGTGTACACAGATCAGCATGCCGATCTCATACATTGTGAAACCGTACCGCGCGCGTGGGTGGAAAACAAAGTGGGTGCAGTGGGCACCGTGGGAGCTTGTCAAAATGAAGGCGTGCTAGTCCCATAGGGGACATGTCAAGCCCAAAAGAGACCTGTCATCCGAAAGAGGATTGGTCAGTCGACCAATCAAGGCTGCCCACGCGATCCGCAAATGTGGGGAGACGACCAATCAGACGCTGCTCACGCGATCCGCAAATATGGGCAACAGTGTGGGTGCTCCCCTGATTCCTTAGCCCCCAAATCAAACCTGCGTTCTTCCTCTCTGCTAGCCTGCCTGCTGTGCGATGCTGAGAAGCGCGTGGTAACAACGTTAGTCTGGTCTTGTCAGGCTTCTTTCCGGACTGCCTACGGAACGACTCCGGCCCAGGAATGGACCGGTCGCGTGCTATAGCATATATACTATGGTTGCAGCCATAAGTAATGTTAGTGGGTCCGCCGAAGGGGTGTTTAGCGGCTACTTCTTAGCAGTGAATTGTATTGATTTTGGAGCTGTAAAATACATAACAAAGCTTAGAGACTTGCCCTGTTAGGTAAGCGTCTATAGTACATAATAGCTGAGACCTCTAAGGATAGCTATAATTTCTTAGGCGTGTATAAATTGCCTAGTAAGCCAAAAATAACGTTACATTACTAGGTCTAGAGGGTTCTGGTAGCTTCTGTTACGAACCAGGTAGCAGTGGGGAGATCCGAGCGCTTATGAAGGCAGAAGATGCAACGACCAGGGTTACAACAAGACAAAGACACGCCAAGTCGCTTAGATAACAGTCACGTGACTCGCTCAGCTGCTCAGGGTTCCTGAACACCTGAGCAGCCAAGAGATGCCACGTGACCTGCTCAGTTGCTCAGGGCTCCTGAACAGCTGAGCAGGATCTCTACATAAGGAACACGAGAATGGACCTACATCCTCGTGTTCAACCTAAGTTTCAATCTATCGTTTGGATTCACTCAGGCCTCCCTTATTGACTCGTTACACTTCGCAAGATACTTCCGTATCAACAAGAACCCCTTTCTCCTTCCCTCAGTAAGTCTTGCCCGAGAACCAACCTTAACCCATTTAGGACTAGCTACCCTTTCTGGATTTAACAGCTTCTCTCGGAGCCGTCAGATGTCGGCCAAAACTAACATTACTTACCGTCGCAACCATAGTACAATCCTAAGGCTACTCCCTAAGTATTCACCTTAATGTACACGTGCATCCCGATTTCGAGTTGTCTACTACTTGGTGTGACCACGTAGTATTACCGAGAACGGTGGCACCCGTTCCTTCAATGGCGGACGCACTTTCCCATGACCGGAAAGCGAACAGAATCAGCTCCTGTGAAATTAGCCTTTCTAAGTCACGCTGCTTACAATTTCACCTTCACCGCGTTGTGGCGACGAGATTTGTCGCAAGGCAGCGAAAATCACGTGCTCGCTTAGCCTTTGCTCCACTAGCGTGTTTATATTGGCTGTCCCACAACTTCCGGCGATCACCTTTACACTTTACTACAATATACCCACTTGAGTCGTCCTCTGTTAGGGCTCCACTCAGTATGCCGACCTTCCATGGCCGGCTGATAGCCGCAAATGTATTTATAGTATGTACAAGCCATCGCACAATTCGCAATCTTTCACTGACTCGCGATAGGCATCTGGCGGCTGAGCACGCGTTTGACTCACTGCGTGGCCGATGCAGTGGGCTCGAATCTGTAGTCGCCCCGCTAATCACATGGCCAAGCGTCTCGACGTCGTCAATACCGAACTGTGCGGTACACGTCTCGCAGTGAAAGAACTACGTCAGAACCGCTGTGAGCTTCCACCAGGGTTTTCTCTGACTTCACCCTATTCAAGCATAGTTCGCCATCTTTCGGATCCCAACAGCTATGCTCTTACTCGAATCCATCCGAAGACACCAAAATCAGTCGATAGTGTGGCTAAAGGGTTCCGACCTCGTTTCACTTTCACTGCGCGCCCGGGCTTGATACCCAAACACTAGCATAGTCTTTGGTCCGTGATTCAAGACAGGCCGCTTACAGCCATTACGACGGGTCGACGTCTTGTCATATGATGCATTGCTCGTGGACAACTCACCACGTTCTCTCTCTCTCCCTCACTTCACCTCAACCCCAGTCTCGACCTCAACGACAGTTCGCCAGAGCGGTCCGCCGCTAGCCTTACCGAACACCATGCACCAGCTCATGTGGCGGCTTCGGCTCGGGTCAATCATGGCTGGCTGCGTGGTGGGCTCAGTTGACAGTACAGACCAAGGGCATTCCCAGCTCATGTTGCAGGCCGTGTGGAATCTGAGGGCTTCGTGCCTGGCCTACCTGCAACCTCTCACCTGAGACCCCTAGCGGTTTGCTGTCCTCTGATGCCTGGTGCTAGTACGCTCTTGTCGCTCGCCTTTCCCCCCTGGGTTTGCTCGGCATGTTGAATGGCAAGTGATCGCCATCCTTGACCTTACCGGCGACCAGGATTCTAATGTTCTGGAATGCACCGTGGCCGTTTTCATTGCGTGGCACTGGCTGGCAACACTTACTGGTCTCATTCTGAGCTGCTTCACCGACATCGCTCGTTGTCAACCTATCCGCTCAAGCTCATCATTGGTTGGTTCCATTTACTTGCCCTTAGCAACACGGGCAGAAGACATCACTCAACACGCACCACAGCCACAACTACCAAAGCCGCAGCCTTTCCCCACTTCAGTCCTCAAAGTTCTCACTTGAGTATTTGCTACTACCACCAAGATCTGCACTAGAGGCCGTTCGACCCCGGGTCACCCCCAAGGCTTCGGCAGCTATCGCCATGGCCACCGCGACTGCCACCAAGTCTGCCACCAAGTCTGCCACTGAGACTGCCACTGCCCACCAGCATTCATTCCATCTAGCAGACGGCGCACCATTGTATCATCAACAAAGCTAGAAGCCACGCCATCAACTTGACCTCAACTTCCACTTCCCCGCCCAACAACCTCAACGCACGCTTGCAGCTTGGACACACCATTCAGGACGTTGACCTTAATCACGCCGACCCAGCGCACCCGACCGACCGAACGGAATGTGTGAAAACCACGGCACCGGACAGAAGGCGACTTTTCTCCCGGGCGCTCGCGATCTGCGGATTGGTGCAGCGTTGAGCTCGGTCGGATGAACGTTAAGGATTTGGTATGGAGTGTGGGTCGAGGATGCAGGATCCCTTGCGCTCGGAAGATGGGATCGGTTGGTTTGGATAATGGTGTCGTTGGATAAGAATGATATTGGTAGACGGATGTGGGAGCAGTAGCATGGGATTGGGTTCACGAGTTACGATCACGAGTCACGATCATGTACACTACGAGCATTTGCATTTGCATTGGATGGAGTTTGGGTCTGGGGTCCGCGCATACAGTCACGTCTTTTAGGGTGTTGAGGATACTCTACGTTCGCCTTACGCGTGCACGCTGTTGGGCGTGGTCCTGCTGAGGCTTGGGATGTTTCGTGCGCATATAAGACAGATCAAGACGATCAATCAAAAACGGTGGCTTTCAAAACTCTTTGTTTCGGTCACTTTGTCTTCATGTCTTCTTCTCTGTCTCCACCATCTAGGCTTCCGCTCACCCAATCGTGAACGTTCCATTCAGCCTCAAATCCCGGCTACTCGCCCCAACCCAAACCCCATACTCTCCCTTCTGCAATTTCCACTGCTGAGCCACTACATCCCAAATACTCAGATCCCTCCTCGTCAGCTGAAACTCGACTGCCTCCGTCTTCCCCGGCTCCACATGCACCTTCTGGAACCCGCGGAGCTGTCTCACAGGCGCGTCCGCAATGCCCACATACAATTGCGCGACTTCCGCTGCGACAACATCTCCCGTATTCGTAACATTCGCCATAACAGTAAGCACCTCCTCCCACAGCTCCGGATGCCCACCCTGCACAATCGCCACGCCCTCATCAGGATACTCCTTCGTCCCATTCTCCACCCCACCGATCTCCAGCGCCCCATACTCAAACGTAGTATACGTCAATCCAAACCCGAACTCGAACCTCGGCTCGATGCCATTCTTGTCGAAAGCGCGGTAGTCAATGTACACTCCCTCCTCGAAGTCATCCTGCGGGAAGTAGTCAAATGAAACCGACGAGTTGAGCAGCGCGCCGTAATCTTCTTCCTGCTTAGCTATTGTGTACGGCAACTTGCCGCTCGGTGCGACGTCCCCGTAGAGGATATCAACGAGGGAGTTTCCGCTTTCCTGGCCGGGCAGACCGGCGAAGAGGACGGCCGTGATGTTCGGGTGCGAGATCCAGGCGTCGACTGTGCGGATGCCTGCGGAGTGTATCACGACGATGGTGTTCGTGTTATTTGCTGCGACGTTTTGGATAAGTTTGTCGCTGAACTCGTCGGTTAAGGTTGTGCGGTCGAAGCTCTCAGATGCGTACGCATTTACGAAGACTATGGCTGCCTCGGCATTCACGTACGGCGGGTATGGGTTCTCGGAGTCGAAGTCCCAGCGGATGGTGCCGCGGTTCTTCGCGATGCGGTCGGAGATGGCGTGGAAGGGGCTGATTACGTAGGAAGGTGTGTTGCTGCCCGAGCCGCCGCCGGTGATCATCGTGCCGTTGAGGATGTTCCAGCCGAAGTTTACTTCGTAGCCGCCGCCGAAGCGGGAAGGGTTCTCCCATGGAGTGGACTTCACAGTAGCGTCGTAGCCGTAGACGCTCAGGAACTTGGGATTTTTCAAGGGCAGCGTGTTATTGACGTTCTTCACGAGGACGGTTCCAGCTGAGCCAATTTCGCGGATCAGCTCTGGGTGGTCGTCTTGTACTTCGATGGGCTGGTGCTTGACGGTGTTGGAGTACACGCCCACAGCAGGGTAGTCCTCATCTTGTTTGAGTTGGTACCAACTGGCCAGTATGCGGGTCGCCATGTCATCGAGGCGTTCGGCGCTGACGCTGCCATTGTTGACGGCCTCAGTGAGGTTCTTGCCCCAGTATCCGCCATCTGGCATGACCATGTCCAGCCCAGCATTTGCCGACGCAACTCCAGAGTGGTGCGCGCCCCAGTCGCTCACAACAAAACCTTCAAACCCGAATTCGGTCTTGAGAAGGCCATTAAGCAGCTTCGAGTTCTGGCAGCCATACGAGTTGTTGGCTCGCTGATAAGAACACATGGCCGAAGCTGCACCCTCGCGGAAGGCGTTCGCGAAGGGGAACGCATACAGCTCGTGTATCGTGCGATCATCGACATTGCTTGATACAGCGTCGCCCAGATCGCTTTCTCTTCTGCGGAACTCTTGCTCGTTCAAAAGCCAGTGCTTTGGCGTAGCAATGACACCGTTGTCTTGGATACCGCGAGTGATGGCGCCCATGCCCGCACCTGCAAGATACGGATCCGCGCTCAGGCCTTCCCAATTGCGTCCACCTCTTGCGACGCGACCTAAGGGTCCTGCGACTGGGCCGAGTGCTACATTAATGCCCTTTCCACGATACTCAGCGCCTAGCGCATGCCCGTAGCGGTACATGAGGTCGCGGTCAAAGGTCGCAGCTACGTGAATTCCTGCTGGAAAAGCGGAGACAAACTCCTGCCCACGAATTCCATCCGGGGCATCGGCGAAGCAAAGAGGTGGGATGTCGAACCTCGGGATGGCGCCTGAGTTACCAACGCATTGTCCCGTGTAGCCGCGAGTGATGTTCGCCTTCTCTTCTAGTGTCATCTGAGCGACAAGCGCTCGCGCTCGAGAGTAGGAGTTTGCCCATGCTTCATTGCTTGTCCCGTTACCAATTGCTGCAAGATGTTAGTTTCTTTGGCTTTGGATGTCTATATTACACTTACGGGTTGGGTATACTGCAGGGCTCTCGCCGTACAGCGGAACCTCGGATGGGATGTAACTGCTATTCTGGGCTGCACACAGAGAAGCAAGCGCCGCAATCGGCGCAATGCTGGTAATAGACCTCATATTGTGTTGCGGTCGGCTCCGGCCTGTCGTTCGATTGCTGAGGTTCCCATGGCTTTCTTTTAACATCCGACATCCTGGAAAGTCTTCTACCGAGAACCCGAAGCTTGAGCCGCACCGGTCCTCGTTACGAGCACAATTTGCGGGGAAGAGGTGACATTTGTACAAGAACGGGCCGTTTTACAAGCCGTTGCCTTGGCAGACATGGTGTTAGTCCTGTTGTTGCTCGTTTGTGAGGGGCGGCTGAATGTCGGATGGCGATCCCTAAGCTGCATATGCGGAATCGGCACCTGTATGGTAAGGCGCGGTTTCTCGCAGCGGATACAAGAATGTGAATGTCACGAGAAGCCTTGTCAAGGTGCCATCGTGGGGCTAAGACTTGCTTGGTAGTGGGGATGCGGTGGTGTTGAGATCGGGACCTGTGATGACGTCAGCATAACGCTAGCCTCTTCTGTACTGGAAGCGCCTTTCTCCTTCTACCAGCCGCGCATGTGGAGACAGTCCGGCATGCTACACTTTTGGACATGCTGTATCACATACACAATATTGGCAACTTTAATTTTAACATTCATCGCAAATAAATACTGTGCAAATGTACTGCCCAGCCTTACAGCTGAATCGTTCGTAACCCAGGCAGCCACAGCCCCCACCGCACCTCACATCCATGAATACACATAGCACACTTGTTAAGAAGACTAACACTCCATCTTCAAACCCTATCTACCAACCATGACCGTCTACCGCTCCCACAAACCCCCCAAAATCACCCCCCTCGACAGATATCTCTACACCCTATGGTCGCGCCCCCATCCGCCGCCGCTGCGTGACCACCTTCTTCCATCTCGCCTTCCTCACCTCCTGGCTCTCCGACATCTCAAACTACTTCCACTCCCTAGCCACGTATTTCGAAACCGGAATATTGCGACCTCATGGTGTGGCGATCCGGCCTGATATGAGATATGTGAAATTTGACTGTCTGGAGAGAGAGCTTGGGAGGAGGGGTCGATCAGCATCTTGGACCCTGGTACCGGGGCTGGGGATGGGAGGAAGTGTGCGGATCAGGGGATGTGTGTTGTTTGACAAGATGCCGGGTGAGATTAGGATGCAGATTTATAAGGAGGTATTTGCGCTAGATCCGCGTGTGCATATACGGCATCCGTCGCTGGAGGGTGTGATTAGTGTCTCGCGCTGTCGAAGGAGAAACGATGAAGGCATGGAAATGGAAAGTCTTCAACATCTGGAGTGTAGGAGTGGGGAAGGAAGGAATGGTAAGGAGGCGGCGGGATTACCTCTGTTATTGACTTGTCGAAGAATGTGAGGACAAAATGCGGGAGATTCGTTTTCCAATCAAGCTGACATAAGAAAGATACTCCGAGACTGTAAATCTATTTTACACCGCCAAAACATTCGACTTCTCACTCGACACCTGCTTTACCACTTTCTTGCAATCCATTCCCCAAGCACGCCATAGACAGCTTAGATCTATAGTGCTGTACGCCGTGCCAGAAACGAGGCGCCTCACCAACGATGGGGATTACCTCTTTACCATGGTCAAAGCGCGCTTGGAGAAGTTGACAGGCTTGCGCAGCTGTCGGATTGTTCTTAAGCAGGGTTATCGTGCGGTTAGCCTCGTCTTGGATACGCTGCACAATCGGATGGCGGAGTGGCCGCATAGGCGTGCTTTTTCCGTTGACATCGTGCAGCATGAGGAGGTGGAGGATGAAGATAACCCGTGGGGCTCTGAGGGCAGCGTGGATATGGTGTGTGTTGATAGGTACAAGCTGCTTAAAAGGTGGACGGCGGATGATGAGCTGAGCAAGGAGGATATCCATGAGTTTTGTTCGTGTCGTAGAAGGTGAGAGCATGAAGGGATTGTTTCTGTTCTGTAAATGGGAAGGATACATCACCAGGTCACTGAATCAGCTTCAAGAGGCAGCATGTCATCAGAACGCAGTCAAATTTTCTATCTTACAAAAACAAAAACAAAAACCCTTCAAAAACCCATAATGCCCGAAGGCCACCGTACTCCCAACCCCCACCAACCCCCAAGAACCACCACCGCCTCACTTACGTACGAGCACACGAGCCCGCCGCAAGTGAGGCGGGGTGTTCTTATCAAACACCAGCGCCTCCCCATCCCCACCCACAATCTCCACAGAGCCGTCGCTCTCATTGCTGCCCGACGAGTCGATGAGCTCGGGCGTCCCCGAGCGCATCGAGAGCTTGGCCTCGACATCCCAGGTGATGTCGTGGAGCACCGACCACGTGCTCATGCACTTGTAGTGCACCTCGTCGAGCTGCTGGAGTGCGGAATCGGCCCCCGCACGGGCATGGCGGAGCTGTCGCTCCAGGGTGGCGCAATCGCCACAGGTCTTGTCGGCGGCGGCGGCGAGGGAGGAGCGCGCCTCTTCGAGGGCCAACTGGGCGGCAGCAAGCTCGCGCTTGCGCTCAGCACCAGCGGCCCTCTCAGAGGCGAGGTCCTGGGCGGCGACGGTGGCGTCCGCTTGGGCGGCGGAGAGCTCGTGCCGCACGGTGCGGAGGTCCTCGCTCGCCCGGTCGAGGGTGCTGTGGAGGGAGGAGGTCTTGGCCTCCAGGCCGGCGTTGGTCTGTTGCGCCTGTTCCCAGGCGGACTGGTACTGGGCGAGCTGGTGGTACGCCTGGGCGGCGTCGAATTGCGCCGAGACGGCGGCTTGGTGGTTCATCTGCTGGGCGGCGAGGCCCTTCTTCAGAGCGGCGATCTCGCCGTTCTTCTTGGAGACTGTACGGGAGTGCTTGATGCCCATCTCCTTCTTCTCCTTCTTGAGGGTGTCAAGCTCGGACTTGACAGCGGCGAGATCAGCCTTCACGGCGGCGAGCTCAGAGGCGTCTGCGACAGGCGTGATATGCTCAAGAGCCTTCTTCTTGAAGACCTCAAGCTCAGCCTTGGAGGCAGTGAGCTGGGCAGTGATGGAGCCAATCTCTTCCGTCTTCGAGGCGAGATCACGCTTCACGGTGGAAAGCTCAAGCTGCGCGAACTTGACTTCGAGGGCGAGGAAGTCGGGGTCCTGGAGAGTATACTTCTTGGGGTCGTCCTCACGAGTCTCCATCTTGGCGTCATAGAGCTGCAACATGTCAGTATGTGAACAAACGGCACAGGGAGGGTTAACTGACATCGGCACGAAGCTGCTTGATCTCCTCATCGCGGCGCGCAAGGTCCTCCTTGGCCTTCTCCAGGCTCTTCTCGGCCTTCTCCTTGCCCTCGTACTCGCGCAAGACCTCCACGTTGAGGTCGGCAACTTTGGCTCCGACCTTCTTGCAGCAGGCAGGGGTAGTCAAGGGCCTCGTGATACGCACGAAAGCGCGGTCAACGTACTTCAGGCTTGCACCGTCGCGAAGGAGGTCAGCCTCGATGCGGTCGACTGTCTCAGACTCGCCACGGATGAACTCGACGGTGTAGGCCTTGTCAGATATCTTGTGCTCGAAGGCGCCAGAGGTGAAGTCGGCGGCGTGGGTGTTGAAAGACGTGTTGTGGTCGAAGGCGCCAGAGGTAAACTCGGTGTCGTAGGTGCCGTAGGTGCCGTAGGTGCCGTAGTTGTCGTAGCTGTTGAAGGTGTCGTAGTTGTTGAAGGTGTCGTAGCTGTCGTAGGCGCCGTAGTTGTCGTAATTGGCATAGTGGGCGTAGCTGGAGTGGTTGGCGTAGCTATCGTAGGAGCCGTAGGAGGTGTAGGAGTCGTAGTTGTCGTAAGTGTTGTTGGTGTTGGGAGACATGTCGTGCTCAGAAGCGCCACAGATGAACTTGGTAGCGGAGATCTTGAAAGACATCATGGTGAGTGTTCAAGGGTTGGGATGTATTTGAAAGGTATGAGGTAGATGTCGTGAGACGATTTGCTGTCGCGAGACAAGCGTAAGTGTCGTGAGACGTAAAGTGTTGCCGTTAAGCAGAAAGGTGAGCTGTTAAGCAGGAATTGTCGTGAGACAGAAGAGTGCTGTTAGGCAAGAGTTGGGGTTGGAATATGTGAGGTTGTTGTCGTGAGACGATTTGCTGTCGCGAGACTAGCGTGAAAGTCGTGAGACGAGAATTGATGCCGTTAAGCAGAAAGGTGAGCTATTAAGCAAGAGATGTAGTCGTGAGACAGAAGAGCGCTGTTAGGCAAGAGTTGGAATTGGTAGACAAGAAGCTGTTGCGGTTGCAGAAGAATTTGCAGTTGCAGGTGTGTGTTGGGTGGAAGACTCGAGAGAGCGCGACGGCGGGTTGATATTGTCCAGGCAGCAAACGCCGGCCTTGGCGTTTGCCTTTCGCAAGTGCGCAAATTTCGAGGGTGAGTTGCCAGAGTGACGGTGAACGGGAAGGCGCGCCGGGAAGTGACGCAAGTCAAAGGGCGAGGCGGTGAAGGGGGGTCGGTGATTCACTCGTACACTGCCGGCTGGCAGAGCGCAATGTCAGGAGTCATCTGAACTCCAATGATATAACAAAACCTAGAGCCGGGATGTATGTTCAAGGGAAGGTCCGGCTCCAGGTGTAGTTGACCTTCTCCGGCTCTTTACGTCCCTTCTTGCTGTGCCACGAGACGGCTAGGGAGAGTGCTTCAATCATGAAAGCATCTATATTAAACCTTTCCGCACAGCCCACCTCTTGCAACTCAAATATAACTCTTTTAATCCATCCCACGGCGTCTCCTACCTGGCTCCCGGCTTCGCACGGCATCTGTACTTGAGTGAGGATCTTAGCCACATCGAACTCCGAGTTACCTTCTACCATCTTCCCAATCATAATGCGGCCTAGCATATGTGATGGGAGAGACTTGTGCTCGTCGATGTGCATGCGCCAGCCGAAAGGGCTGGAAACGCTGGAATAGGCGATCGCATCCTCCAAGTCGAAGGAGGTTCCATTTCCGGTGCTGCCCTTAGGCTCTAACCAGAGACCCCAATGATACTTCTGGGGAGTAGGACGAGGCTTAGAGGATGAAATGGTAGATGAATTGGAGGAAGTGGGGCGAGTGTAGACAGCGATAAAGACGCGGATCTTGTCGCTCATGGCTGACGAGGATGCAATAGCGATATGGATGAGCTTCAATGCAAAAATCACGATCAAATATGGGGTATTGGGAATGCCCGGTTTAAACAGAGGATGTACAAAGGTATATCTGATGGGAGATCGAATGTAGGAAGTCGGCACTTGTGCGGACGCTAGACCTGCAACTGTTGATGCGCTACATGACTCGCGTCGGCGCTTGACTTCTGCAGTGATGATTAGCGACCGTCAAATTCGAAGGCTATTCATTGGGCTGCTTGCCGCTAGAACAATCGCAGCCATTCGCGTCGTCGCAACGAGGGCCAGAGCCGCCACCCACGCGCTGAAATGCAACGGGTGATGTACGACGGCCCCTAATGCACCGAAGTTTTCTGGAAGGTTTTCGCACTGGCGGAAAAAGCACCGAATATCAGACCACGACGTGTCGGATGTGAATGTGTTGAGGATGTGCAAGGCCAGGATGAGGCTTGAGATGCCAGTATCCGAAGGCCACTAGCTGCTATTTTCAGGAGCTGGAGATCTTGATTGGCCTTTTCAATGTTAGTCGAGCAATGAGGCTGAGGAGGGTGTGCTTACGGGCCGTCTCGTCATACCGTAACATTGTGTAAAGCGCGATTTGGCGGCGGAGGATGCTCGGATTATATGGAAACTTTCCGCATCCTCAGCCGACGTGCGCAAATGCAGGACAAGCAAATAAACTTCCCTTTTGAGTAGAGTGAGGCTTTGCAATCATTCAAGAGTGCTTACACTACACCACAGGACGCGGCGATGCTTGTCGCGTGATCCGCGTGGGTTTCTCCGAGGGCATGTTGAGGAAGGGTACCAGGTAACACGAGTCGGTCGGTGGTCGGAAAGACAGGTCGCGGTCTCCGGAGGATTGCCAGACACTCTGAAAGCATTAGAGACCCCGTACAGAGTGTCGGGTAGCTACCTGAAAGGTGTCGCAGATCCGCCGATGGAGAGGTAGTGTTGAGGAAGAAGGGCGGCGGAAGTCACAGAAGTCAGGGAAGATTGTCTCATTGTTCGGTTAGCGTTTGCGCAAACGTAAGAACGGAAGGCACGACCGACTATTACATGTGCAATTGGCTCGCGTAAGTCGTCTGAATAGCTGCCAAGATCACATGGAATGAAGATTGAAAAGCAAAGTATAGATTGCAGACACCCGATATCGGTCGATGGGGCCGAAGAGGGTAGATCTGCCTATGAAAGGTACAGGTATCCTATGCAGATGAGCGTATCTCATCTACCTATCCAATAATCGCAAATATCCGTTTCGCCATTGCCGGGTCATACCATGACCATCCGTCGCGAATGCCGCGCTGATGCAAAACAAACCGTGATTATCGTTGAAAAAGAAAAGCCAGTATCCGTGAATATGTCAAGGTGCACTTTGTCACCTGTCATCCATCATCCTCAGAGAAGCCTCCTAGCTTGAGACACGTTCACCAAAGCCAGCCCTTCTTGTTCGGAGCTGGACGCTCGGAACCCTCAGCACCCTCCTCGTCATGCTGTACCTTCTTCCTGTCCGATACGTCCCCCAGCTCGATCAAGAAGTCCTCCATCTCCTTCATTTGCTCGTCGCGCTCGTCAGCTTTCGAGGCCCAGTCGTGCCCGAACTCCTGCACCAAGTGCGCATTCCAGAAACGCTTCATGATCTTGATCATCGTGCGACGAACGTCGGCGCCACCCTGATGACGACGTGTCTGAACCATCTCGTTGAGAATGTGCGTGGTGGGCTTCACGTCGGCAACCTGGAAGATCCACTGAGGCTTGTTGCGCGGGGCACGAGAAGAGCCTGTCCACCAGTTCTTGATGACGCGGGTGATAGGCTTGCGCGCACGAGGGTCTTCGGCGGCTGTGGCGCCGTTCTTCAACTCGGGGATGGCATATTTGCGGATGTCAGCGTGCCCGTCGAATTCAGCGTAGTACTGTTGAGCCTCATCGTCCGGGATGTCGAGGTGGATGATGTCGCCTGTCTGCTCCTCGAAAATCTTTCCGTCGGAAGCGGCACGAATTGGGCCGCTGGTCTCCTCGACCTTGGATGTCATACTCCAGGCCGAGGCAGGTGCTGCCGACTTCGAGTCCGGGTTTGTGACGGAGGCGATAGTAGCGGCGTCCATCTGGATGGCACCGATGTTCTGCTGAGACGGTTCGGTCGGTGTTGACATATTCTTCAGTCCTTCTGTGGTTGACGTTGGCACAACCAATGCTGAGCGTGAGTGTTGCGCTGAATGATTGTTCGCGTAGTTGAGGCTGTTGATAAAACAAGCGGAAGACGTGTGGAAATCTTGACCGATCTGTTCTACAGTTGAGAAAGCTGCTCGTGGTGGAGTGGGTGAGTACCAAGATGCTGAGTGCCTCATGTGCGGTGCGGATTCGATGCTGATATGCGCCCCATTTGACACAAATGCACAGGTCCGTGTCTGAGGAGTGAAATACTGGCCATACTCACAACCTTCATACTGTCCGTGGTTTTCACCGATCACGCCATTTGTCACCCAATTTTGGTCAATCTGATGCATGACGTTGCCAGACGACACGGCCGTGATGCATGAAGCAGCGGTAGATGCCTGCATACCCTCCTGCTTCGTCGGGTGACCTACCCCATCCATGTTCTTATCATGTGCAGCGAGTGCTCCCTCCGTCAAGAGCGTGTCTGATGCTCGAGGCTGTAGCTGTACAGCATCGTCATTGTTCACGCTGTCACGGCGCTGTCGATACTCCAATTGGGTTATGTAGGCGGGATGTAGCATGCGCTGTTGCAAAGGCAACGGGGGACACAAGCGCTGGGAATCTGATCGTCTCGGGACAGGCTCGATACCTTGTGATGCGGGCAGTCTATAAGACTTGGCTGCTTGCTGCTCTGCTTTTGCTAGCCGCTCTGGCGAAAAGCTTGCCGGACGAGGCCGAGATGAGGACATAGTGAGTGAAGGGAGGCGATCTTCTGGACGAATCAAAGCCGTTGAATTGTGGTTACGCCCAGGCCGCAGGCTTGAGTTCTGGTTCGAGGTAGGTGTGCGCAGCTCCTTGCCGTGCGTCTGGGTCTTCGTCAGCTCAGAGGTTGTAGTGATAGCGGAAGGTGCGAAACGAGGTGAGGTTATTCTGTCATGATGAGGTTTTCTTGCCTAGACTGTGCGCACCATGTTGTTGAGGAATTTTGACGTTGCTTTGCCTGGTTCAACCCCACTCTCACCTGCGTCTCTGCGTGGTAGCGAACTATGGGGTACCGCCCATGTGGCGTCGCCGCTGATCCGAAAATCTGGGGTACAGATGATGTTTGCCCGTTTCCCGGTGATATGCATTCCTCGTTGTGCAGCGAGCACGAGATTATCTTGCGGCCCGGTTCCGGCCTGCAAGTCCTGGTCCTGCGAGATAGGAACCAGCAATTGCGCTCCTAAGTATCAAAATAGCTGACAGGCGGCGCAAGGGCAGTACTGTCGCGTCATCAATCACATGCGCTGAGCAACACTGCACCACCCGGGAAGGCGCGATGGTCGCATACAATACACTGAAAGACAACAACCAGGTTCGCCGAATCCACCTGCGCTTTCTCTTTCCATGCAGAAGTCCACCAAGAAGTTGAAAGGTATCAATGTATAGTCGGCTATTTCAGTGGACACGGCTGCTGTAGCCAGAAAAGTTCAGACGAAGCGCCCTATCACAAGACTAGTAGGGTTGTCGAGACATCGTATTGCGACAATTATGAATCAGACCGGGGAGCGTATATGGCAGGTGAGATTGAATGAGGCGTTTGGATGCCAGCGTATACTTAGCTACGGTCGTGTAGCGTGGGACGAAAGTGTTGTCCAGCCTAGGTAGCAGCAGATGTATGATTGTGACCTCCTCTTGCGGAATAGAGAACAAAATGATCATGCCATTGCGTTCGCTCTGTGTCCGGATATACTTCACCTATGACAGAATGCATTTTTCTCAGGGAACGGTGGGATAGCGTTAGGCGTCAGAAACGCGCTGTGGAGCGTGGGTGGGAAGAGCCATGCTGGTGAGGAAGGCAAGTGTGTGAACATCGGGTTTGTGGTCTGCGGCGCGGATGGTATGTACAAGTAGCGATCCGGCAAAACATTCATTGAAGAATTCTGGCTGATCCAGCGACCGAGTATATGCAGATTCAGGTACTACCCATTTCAGAAAGAGAGCTCCTCCTCGAGTGCGAACGTAGAGCGCATGCGACGTTGGCTAACAGAGTGCGAGGGCACGCACGAATAGTGTAGGAATGGTGTGAGACTGAAGCAGAAGGCTCAGTAACTACGCGACTGCTCGGCGTCAGTGGAGAGCTTGAGGCTGATGTCCAGGGATGTGTAATGGCAGACAAACCGGAGCTCTTCCGTAGCAGCGGTCAGGTTCGCTACGTGGGGGTGAGGTACTGCTGGTGCGATCCAATCCAATATCCACCTTCGATAACATGTACTAGCAGGGCGGATCAGCACATACGAGGCATTTCACTAACAAGTGTTCCGCAAACGAATCGCAACGCAGCTGTGACGAGGGCGCGGGACATATGTTAATTAGAAGTCGTTGCTCTGTAACTGAACCACCGTGTATGGCTTACTGGGGAAGGTGAGCCGATATGAGCACTTCCGCTGCTCCTTACTGGCATAGCCCACACACACCGGTGGAAGAGGGCTTCCGAGAGGTTCATGGACTGCTACCTCATGCCCACAAGGGCGATTAATCAACTAAGACGGTACATTATCTCAGATTCGGCTCCTTTTTAATGGACAATTCAAGCGGGGAGGATTTCGCTGCTTCGATGCTTGTCAAGTACAGGCATTTACTGTCATATGAGATTGACAACTCTTGATCCCAACGCCGCGTTCGACGCTGTTCACCGACAGCTTGCTAAAGGCTATCCTGAACACGGTGCCTTGCAGTACCTATGGTATACTTCAGAGAGGAAAAAGGGGTTTGAAAATGGAGGGCGTGACAATGGAAAGGAGGAGCGATGTCAGGATACGGCTTAGCGTCAACCAAAACAAAGGAAAGGAAAGCGCGACCACAATGACACCGGTGCGTCGACTCGCTCTCCTTCATCGTTCATCCAGACCATAGCCTCGCATCTCTCAACAGCTTTTGAAACAAACCGCCTGATGCCCGCACGAGTGGAAAGCGAAGCGCCGCGGTCCGTTTTGCGGCTTTCGCCAAACAGCGGCTCCTATGGTACGCCAACGCCCGCCGCCGGTTTCAAACGCTGCGCACCTTACCACAGCATCAGTGACGCCCGGTGGAGCCTCGCTGGCTCCTATCACAGATGGTAAGTTCGAGACTCTTCTCCAGATCTGCGACGACAAAGGCCCGCAGCGTTGCTATCGATACCGTGTGCCGCCGTTGCTCACGGTAGCGTAGCTGCGGGACATCAACCGGCGCGAAACAGTTGAAGCCAGTGTTTAACCGACCTCAGAAGCGGGTCGGTGAGTTCATGTCGTTCGGAAAGACTAATTCACGACAGAGTCCAATTGTCCGTCAAGCTTTGTGGAAGCGTTGAATGATGAACGAAGACACGCCAATGTGAACGACCACTTGTGGGAAAACGGAGAATTGACCGAGTGCTGCGACGCATAGCAGCAAGCCGACAGTACGTTGGACATTGACATTAGCAATGTGCACATACAAACACCAGCACGGACACACCACACGTGCAATAGCTCGTAAGGTCTCACAGCTCAGCCACTGAAAGAACACCGCCCTATTGACAGTGCGCGGTGTCCACTATCAAGAGTGCAGGCACTGCTCTGTGGTGGAAGCGGACATCCCGCAAGCGGGCCTGCACGCGAGAATCCTCTCAGCTCCGGATTGAACGGTGAGCCACGCCCGCTCCGGCAGCACCTCCACAGTTTCACCCACACTGCCACAACCTCGCAACCTGTGGTAAGACTCATCACCGGAGGGTATACACATAGTCGAAGCAACTCCGTCGCCATCCTTGTGAAACTCCCGAGATTTTGTACGAATAGAGGATGGTGTCCGCCAGTTGCGCTCTACGCTGTGCTTACCATGACCAACATGAAGTCCGCGACACCGATGGTATGCCTCTCCACAACATTGAGGTCCGCATCTTTAAACAGTGGACTGCGAAAAGAACGTGGTGGAAGTGTGGTTAGGGCCGTTAGGCGTGGTGGAGAGCACGGGACAAACGTTAAACGGCGGCCACCATCCCTGTCTCAATTAATGACACCCTTTACATTACGAGACCTGAGTTCTCGCTTCGGATGACGTCTGTGGAGATGTCGCGCGTGACAGTGCGAGAGTAACCGACGATAATTAAACGACATTGAACGACAGCGAAGACAAATGGGCTGCATACGTGGCAGGCAGACAGAGACAGCGCATCGCCTGCTGCTGCGCGTTTGCAGTGGAAGCTGCAGGTATTGAAGAGCTTCGTGCGGTCTCGTTTGACCGATCCTGTCCGCCTCGGCAGCTTTCGGCTGTCCTCCCATTATTGTGCCGTCCTCCCCACCAAAGTGCTTTCAGCTCATCTCCCGACCGACTGCTTCTTGTGAAGGCAGGAAGATCGAAGTGAGCACGCCCCATGCCAAAGGTCTGGACCACCGCTATTCAGTGGAGCCGCAAACTGTTGCGAAGCAACCGTTCTTCGCCCTAAGAGGATTCTACCTCAGGTTCACGCTCCTACGCTGCTCGCGCGTAGAGTTCGCCGGCTGGATTTGCGCTGTGCCCAGGAGCGCTAGTACCTGAGTCTAATCAAGCGTCCCCTCTCGCTAATGTACGCCACAGCGCACATCTGAAACGTGGTGTCCGAACACCCAGGCCGATGATCTATCGACCAATAAACTATTTCTCTTATACACTACTATGAAACGTCGTATAAGATAGGGCGCTACTCCGAAGATCTACGCCTTCTTCGGCGGACAGGTGCGTGCTTACTCAGGTCCAGGTACGGCGGCATGCCCCTGACGGCCTCCAGACTCTTTTTAGCGACCCCTGCTGCGTATCTTGTCCAAACCTGCGGAGAATGAGCCACTGTAGGCAGTTTGATACTGTTTAGCTAAGGCCTGCCCCGTTAGCTTACCGCTGTATGACGCTGAGTGCGGGCAAGCCCTCCCTGACCCCTGAGCAAGCGCATCCAATCGCTACGACTCTGGACCTGCAGGTACCCATCAGACGGCCGAACAAAACGCTGATCGCACCGTGGCGCTCAGAAACACCGCACAGGTGTGACTGCTGGACTGCGAGCTAATTTGGAGGAGTGGAGTGCGGCCGTCCGGCTACCCAGCCGCCGGATTCGCTGGAAGGTCGAGCTTCAGGGGACACACGGAACTATGGCGGGATCGTGCATACGCTGTGCCCAGAAGGCACAGAGTTGCGGAGGATGCGCCGGCCAATCTCCCAGCATTGGCAGGCGTATATAGCCAGCAGTCGCGCGCTCCTCATAACCGCCTACAAGTTTGAGACTTCGACGAGACCAGTCACTCTTTGTTCCATTCACGTTCTTTACACGTTCCTTTGAGGACACCACATTCATTAACAAACGCATAAACAAAGTCGAACAAAGCACTCGACATCACCAAATTTAGCCACTCACATCAAAAACTCGTCGAATCCACTCAACTTATCAACAAAAAACCAAACATTCAAAATGCACTCCTACGCTGCTCTCGGTATGCTTGCCCTTGCGGGCTCCGCCATGGCTGCTCCCCGTCCTCACTGGGGCAACCACGGTGGCAACGCCCACGTCGTCTACGAGACCGCCGTCGTCACCGTCATCGTTGGTCCTGACGGCCAGCCCATCGGCGGTGCTGCCCCTACTCCCGCTCCGGAGCCCACCCAGGGATACGGAACTCCCCCTGCGGAGCCTACTTCGGTTGTGGTCGAGCAACCCGCTCCTACCCCGTCTCCCGAGCAATCCTCTGCTCCTCCGTCCTACCAGCAGCCCTCTCCTTCTCCGTCTCCCGAGCCTTCTACTCCTGCTGCCGAGCCCACTCCCACTCCCACCCCGGAGCCCAGCAGCCCTCCGTCTTCCGGCGGTGGTTACATCGACACCGTCAACACATGGCGCGCCAAGCTCGGTCTTTCCAACCTCAGCCAGGATGACACTCTCCAGAACAACGCCTTGAAGACCTGCGATGACGGCAACGGCGAGATGAAGCACGAGCTCAACCCCGGAACCTTCGGCCAGGTCCTCGCGCCTGGACAGCCCGACGAGTTCGAGAAGGTCTTCGTTGGCGGCTGGCTCTGCGAGAAGCCCGACATGCCTGGCATGGACGGCATCTGCGCCAGCATGTCCGATGGCTGGGCCTACAACGGCCAGACTGGCCACGCCGACATCCTCTCCAGCAAGGACTACACCAAGATCGGATGCTCCAACGCCAAGGGCATCTGGGGCTGCGACGTTGCTTAAGCGCTTCGTCTCGCAACTCTCTATGCACAGCAGAACGATCGGTCGGGTTACCGCTGGAACTTGTCAAAAGCTGGGGATGTAAGGGCGTTGAAGCGCCGGATTCTTGTTCTTGTCAGTACGTTGTTTGTACGATTCTTGATTTTAGACGGCTAGTCGCTGCAATTGATGCGTTTTTCTCATGGCTGAAACATTTCTACTCTGCCTCGTGTTTACTGTGATTGTTTGTTTCGAGGCTAACAAGTGATCGACTGGACTCGGCGCCCAAGCAAGCGCCAGCGCACATCACTAATTTCGCACCCTCAGCTAATCACGGCGCTGGGCGGCTGCTCCTCGCCGACAACGCTGTCGCACAGCTGGCCAGCGTCATGTCCGGCGCTGATCGTAACAAAGCGCGCTTCACAAACAATTGTCCCTCGTTTCTTCCACACGTGGTGAAGTTTCCTGCGTCACGCTGCCGGAAATGAGTCCTACGCCCGAGAAGTGGAGTCCGTGCCGGGCGAGAGGCACCCATGTCAGCTATCACATCGGGATGACTGTTTGAGAGAGCATAATACGACCGGTGTCGCTGTTGCTCTTGCGCGCTTACGATGAGGTGAGGTTGAACGAAGGTTCTCGGGGCCGGCTAGGAAGTGTGTTGGGGCAGCGGCGTGGCGTCCATCAACAACCCCGCTCGAGCACTCTTCCACGGCTGCGCGATTACAAAGTCTCAATGTTGTTGCCATCGACTACTAACGTGCCTTGCAACTACCCCCATTGATCTCCAGGCTGTGTCGTTCGTCGTTGGCCGTCGACTGTCAGATTCGCGCGCAGCAGTCAGAATGGAGGACGGGTACTGACTCCCACAGCGCGGGCTCCGTAAGACGTGACCAACACCGCGCACTAACGTCGCCGCGGTGCCCTATACACAACAGTAGGTTCGTGATTGGATCTATTGCTTGACAATTAGAAGCCAGCGATGGCAATGCATTCAGACAGTCGAGCATCATTCGATATGGCGCTCGGTGTTCGGTTTACGTCGCGATATGCCCTCATATCTAGAGCGCTGAGCTGCCGCCGCACCCAGCCCACAGTCACGGTACAGAGTACCATTTCAACAACTTGAACACATAATGCCGGCTGCTGCTATCAACACCGCCGAAGCTCCGGTGCCTGCTGCCGTCGAGGCTCAAGCCAACGTCGAGCAGGCCTCAAATGTGTCGTTTGACCCTGTAGCGCTCAAGGCGAAGTACCTCGAAGAGAGGGATATCCGTATCGCGAGGGGTGGCGGAAACACGCAGTACAAATTCCTCGATGGGGCCTCCTCGAAGTACTTGAAGGACCCGTGGACAGGAAATGATACGCAGAGAGAGCCGGTCGTAGAAGAGACGGAAGTGGTGATCGTGGGTGCCGGATATGGTGCTCAGCTTATTGCCACGGAGTTGCAGAAGGTTGGCGTGACCGACTTTCGGATGATTGACAAGGCTGGTGACTTTGGTGGCACTTGGTGAGTAAAGTCTCGCTATGCATTTCTCGCGCTCATCTGGAGGATAGGTACTGGAACCGCTACCCTGGCGCTCAGTGCGATATCGAATCCTACATCTACATGCCCCTGCTCGAAGAGACAGGCTACATGCCTACGGAGAAGTACGCTCACCAGGACGAGTTGCTGGAGCACGCGCAAAGGATCGGCAAGCACTTCGGCCTATACGAGCGTGCCCTCTTCGAGACAGAGGTCAAGGAGATGCGCTGGAACGAAGATGAGAGCAAGTGGCTCACGACGACATCGCGCGGCGACAAAATAACCTCCCGCTTCGTCATCCCTGCCGCTGGTCCCCTCCACAAGCCCAAGCTGCCGGGCATCAAGGGTCTCGATTCATTCAAGGGCCACACCTTTCACACATCGCGATGGGACTTCGATTACACTGGGGGCGACGTCAGTGGAGGTCTAGTAAACCTCCAGGACAAGCGTGTCGCCATCATCGGCACTGGCGCTACCTCCGTACAAATCGTCCCTCGCGTTGGCGAATACGCAAAGGAACTCTATGTCTTTCAGCGCACGCCCTCCTCAATCGATGTCCGCAATAACCAGTCTACCGACGAGACGTGGTTCAAAGGCCTCGAACCCGGCTGGCAAAAGAAGCGCATGCAGAACTTCAACCGACTAATCAACGGCGCCGAGCGCGATGTCGACCTCGTAAACGACAGCTGGACCTCCGTCGGCCGCATCCTCATGGAAAACCCCCTCGACTGGTCCGACCCCGTCGCAGCCGGCACCCGCTTCCAAATGATCGACTTCGAGAAAATGGAAGCCGTCCGCCACCGCGCCTCCACCATCGTCAAACACCAACCCACCGCCGAGTCCCTCAAAGCCTACTACAACCGCTTCTGCAAGCGCCCCTGCTTCCACGACGAGTACCTCCAGACCTTCAACCGCCCCTCAGTGCACCTCATCGATACCCGTGGCGCGGGCGTCGACGCCCTCACCCCAACCTCCATCGTGTCGCAAGGAAAAGAATACCCCGTCGACGCCGTCATCTTCTCCACCGGCTTCGAAACTTCAAATGACTGGTCCCACAAAACGGGCATCACCATGCTCGGCCGCGACACCTCCATCACCGAGAAATGGAAGAACGGCCTGTCTACCCTCCACGGCTCCCTCGTCCGCGGTTTCCCCAACGCCTTCTTCGTGCAGTACTTCCAGGCTGCGTTGACCTTCAATCTCATGCACGTCACAGGCGAGCAGGCGCAGCACTTTGCGCACATCATCGCGGCCGCCAAAGCTCAGAACATCCGCAGCGTGGAGCCCACGCAAGAGGCGGAGGACGGCTGGGTCAACACCATTGTTCAAGGTGCGGCGGGCATGGCGCAGTTCTTTGGGGATTGCACGCCGGGGTATTATAATAATGAGGGGACTGTTAGTGAGGCTGGTGCGAAGATGGCGGGGTATCCGCAGGGGGCGGATGCGTTTTTCCAATTGCTGGCGGATTGGAGGGCGGAGGGGAGGTTGGAGGGGTTGGAGAAGAAGTTTTATGGGAATGCACCGTAGGTGGGGGCAAGGTGGTAAATGGGTGTGTGGAGGATGAGAAGTTTTGTATTAACAGTAAGTAAGTATGTAGGAAATGCTCGTGCATTACATCAAAACTGCATCGATGTGTATGTGAATGCGGAGTTGCTGATAGGCCGTCACTTCGTCAGTCGTTGCGTATCGTACACTTTCCTCCCCTTTCTCTTCTCTCTGCCGAGACCATCTCTCTCTTCATTGCCGCTTCGGAACCAGCTCCAGCCGTGACATTCCCCGCCATTCAACTCCACCGCCCGTAGAACTGCTGCGGATGCAAAGGCTGGTGCATAATGCAGCTGATAACTCGCTCGCCAAAGGCAATGACGATGAACAGGTAGAAGACGGAAATCGTTTCGATCATTGTGGGAGACTTGAAGCAAGAATCGACCGAGGGTCGTGGTTGGGTCTTGAGTGCGATGGATAGGATGGTCGGGTTGGAGTGTGGTTAGACACCCAGTTGAGAGTTTTCGGTGAATTAGGGGACTTGTGATAGAAAGCTTGGGTGTTCAGCCCCGAAAGTAAAGGTTTTGACGATAAAAGGCGTGGAGGCTGAAGCTTTGTGAATTAAATGGTGTGTAGGTGAGACTTTGAAAGGCCGAAAAGTGTGAAGTTGAGCAGTTCGCAAGTGAGCTCAATTTCCGGAAGCTGGAAAACCTAATATGAACCGTCCTACCATCTATTATACTCTTCTTGAGATCTCTACTCCTTTCTTCTAGCAAATGTTTTTTATATATCTAAGCCGAAGTTCGGATGCAGACGCGCAAAACGGGACGCTTCCCGACGGCCAGACTCGGAACGGAACCACTCCCGACTTATTCACCACAAAACAGTATAACGAATCCGATAAGAGCGTCAGATGAGTAGAAAACTCTCATGTCCAGCGGTCTCGATCTTATATTTTGTTGAACGGAAAGGCGAGATTCGGATCCAGGAAGACGATGGTGGGCTATGAAGGTGGGGTGGGCCAATCGCGTGGGCGGATCGCGGATCTAGTACCCGGGATAGGAAATGAGGAGCGCTGTGGCTGCGAGTGCGAGTGTTTGGACCCTCGGTGCGAGTACGCTGCGAGTGTTGAAGGAGTGTCTCTTATGGAAATCTATTCCATGTTCTGTATACATGGCTCAAAATTGGTCAAGTTGATGTATTTAGCTGAAGTAATCGCTTTCTGAGCATGTTATTCAAATAGACTTCTCATCGCAACGTCTTCCTCCATTGTTTAAGGTATGTACGAGACATTTAGGTTGACAGATCGTTAAGCTTGGACTCGGTGTCGCAGCCTATTTGAGAAAAGAAAAGGTGAACACCTCTAAACTTCAAATTAGAGGCTATATACCGCGACACTATCTATGACAGCGTTGCAGGATATCTGTGGCACTGGGTCTAAAAAGGATGCGTAAATCGCGCATGTGTAAGAAGGAGTACTTGGGTTCGCGATGCCAGAACAGATTCAGCACTTCAAGCGCAGCCATAACAATGAAACCGAAAGACGGATAAAGCCGAATAATTGCGCGATTTGAGATTTATTGACAGATCGACAACGACGCCGATACCTATCACATTCCCGAAATGCTTTATACACGAAGAAGTACCGCTAGCGGTAGAGAACCGAGCATAGTCCTTATGCCATACCTTCAACCTCCAAGCGTCCAGCGATGCTGCGCTTAAGCGGCGCCATAGAATTGCACATCTTGAAGTATAGATCCATTCCGGTACCAGCACCGCCACATCCGAACACGGGCTCAGCAATGCCCAGCTTGATCAAGGGTTGATCAACGTAGTAAGCCTGAGTCGGGCAATAAGAGTCTTTATCGCAAGTAACGGCTCCGCAGGCTTTCTGCACAGGCGTCAGTTTAATGCAATCACATTATCAGACCACATCGAGCACGTACCTCGGGGGAGTCGATTCCCAGACCGTTGTGGTGACCAGGGCAGTTGTCGGCACCTTCACCCTGAGCGCAGTCTACGAACGAGATGTCGTAGTAAAGCTGGCCGTTGCTGATGGCGTACTCGAATTGCGTCTGGTGTCCGCCTTGGAGGTCGGGTGTGTTGCTGACTTTGAGAACTACGCCGCAGCCTTCGCAGGGCGTGCGGAAGGGCTCCCTGTATTGAGTGCGGGCTGCTACTTTGATGGCGTCGGAACTACCCTATACAAAGGTCAGTATGCGAGGAATAGTCATTTGCTAGAACTCGTGCTGTTCCCTAGCGTCCAGATCAAGAAAGAGTAAAGCGTACCTTGCCGTCCACGCTCCAAACCCAGATGTCGTGGTCGCACCTGTTTCCAAGGACGGCGTTGCCCATGCCGCGTTTTACTTCGACGGTGGGATCGATGCCATGACCATTGCCGACAGTGACGTTCGATGGAGCGGGGTTCGACTTCAAGAACGATTCGAGACGAGAGGTACCATCAGCTGCAGCAAGAGCTGCGAGAGCACCAAGCACTACAGTTTGGAAGAACATATTGGAAGACGCGAAAGGGGTATCTAAGTACTACAGAAGAACGAAGGTCAAGAACGTAGGTTGTAATGAGTGACTGGAATCAACGAGTGACAAAAAAGCAAGCTGAACTGTAAAAGAGTGTAGGTAACAGAACGATATGTTAGAACTGAAGGCCAAGAGACAAAGCTGCCTACGGTACGGTCTTATACAATACTCACATCGGACATTGTGAGGGTAAAGCGGAGTAGCATGTCACTGCGACTGTCCACAATCCTTGCAATGTTCACTGCCCTCGAGTACGCATCTGTAACTTCGGGGCTCGGTTGCATAGTTGTCTGATTGGTTGTGGCCCCAGGTGTGCCGTTCTTTCGGAGATATGCACGCCTAATCGGACTACAGCCTGGATCTTATCCTCAGCTTGAACAAACATAAAATCCCCCAGAGGCCTTCATGAAAGGCCAGAGTGCCATAAATAGCGACCTATCCTCAATCTGGCACATCTAGTTCTCTGCGCTTACGAAATGTAGATTGACTTCCGCATATGGATATACCCACGTGCAAACATAGCCCGGAGAACATTGCGAATTTGTCGTCACGCCCTTGGAACCCGAATAAATGTTGGAAAGAAGAAAGACCACGATGCTCTATAGTAACGCCCTAAGCATATAATGGTACGCTCCAATACGTCGCGAAAAGTTTTGACGATGAAGAGATTGGTCTCGGACAATGGAGTTGTGGCGCAGGGGCCACAAGCAGTCGTAATTGTCCGTAGCGCTTCAAATCGATGACCCGCTGGTTGGCCTGGAACCAAAACCGCTCGTATGCACTTTGCATGCACTTCGTATGTACTTTTAAATTTCCGTGCATGCCGTGGATCGAGTGTAGGTAAGTAACGTGTCGTCCCTTAGGCATTCCTTAACGTCGCGGGTACCGCCTGTTTCTCGGGTAGTCACCAACGCCGGTAATCCTCATCAACATTAAGCTTTTTTCAAATGCTTGGTACGATTAACATTCTGCTCAGCCGAATTTGATCGCGATGCTGCTGATATACCTAATCTTCGCGTGCATATGTGAGGAGGCTTTGGGCGGCCCTTGGAAGCCTTGCCTAAGACCCGCCTGCCTGCGCAAACGATTTGTTTTCTTACCTAATCTCGGAACAAGGAATTTATGAACATGGAAACATTGATACGCACTTACTTTGTTGATCGAGAAATTGCGTGAGTTGGCTGTGGACCTCGGGATAAGGGCTCGAAGTGCGAGCTTCGAAGCCTCGTGACACGAGCTCCTTAGCCCGAGAACATCCACAGCGCAACCCAGACCATACTAAAGCATGCAGTATTCGGAATAGGCTTTTCAGTATACGATGTACGATACTATGATTTTGATGCTTCGAAAGTGACCGCGTTGGTGTTGCTGTAGCTCTTGGGATGATGTGGACCATTAGAATTTAATTGGCAGCCTCGAGGTCGTAGCCGGAACTCCTTGACCCGAGAACTTCGATAACGCGACTTCGGCTAGATTGAGGTATAATACCGTCGGAATAAGGTTTTGGATATGCTATATACTATTTCCGCATTTTACAATCGCCACATTAGCTGTATTGGCGTTGTTGTGGGTCTTGATAATGTGATTCAACTGGGAAGCCTCGTGGTGCGAGCTTCTTGGCCCGGGAACATGTAAAGCGCGACTTTGGCAAGATCGTGGCTTGATATTATCGGAATGAGGTTTTGGATGTGCTGTAAAATATTTCCGGATTTTATAATATCGAAGTCAGCTATGTTGATGTTGCTAAAGAGCTATAGGTGTAGCTACTATATTATGAAACAGCCTTTAATAAGGCAATCTAAGGAGTAATTAATGGCCTTATGCGGCGAATCGAACTGCTTCGATAATTCCATCTGTCTTACTCTCCCCAATTCTCTGATTAACAAGCTGTGATGGTGATATGGGCACTTCGTTGTGCTCCAGCCGTTACGAGGTTCATCGAGCCACAAGTGTCTTCAACCGTTCTGGGGCCTTCTCATCCGAGGGGAATCGTGGGCCAACCAAATGGTCATCAATGTAGTTCTTCAAGCTGTGAATGGAAACATGGGTGCGTCCATAATAGCGTTGTCCATGAGAGCGCGGTCAAAGCCAAAGTCACAAAGGTTGTACCACCCGCGAGAAGAGGAAGAGGAAGTCGGGTTTAACACTGGCTGCTGGATATAGCAGTCTTGTGCGGGCTGTGGCAAAGCAAAAGCTGGCTCGCTGTGCCACTGTGTTGAATGGGTTTCAACGTTACTAGCTGCAAAGGTCTGACTGGGTGCTGTTGTATGAAGACTGGTCCAGTCGCCCTGTTCCAGTTCCGCGTCTAATTCCAGGTCCGTTCGCTGTCGCTCTTCCTCTTCCTCTTCCACAATTGTGTTGCTTGCCATCTGCATCTCTTTGGCTGATGTTGGACAATTCTGTAGAACTAATCGACTTTCTGTTTGATTTGTAGCAGGTGGTAGGGATTTTGGAATTTGGCGGATGGAACCAGGAATAGCGCCCGATAATTCAGGAAATCGTTTGAAAAAGTCGGGTCCCATTGTCCAGCAATCTATATTATTGATTCGTTCATCGAACAGGCGACTGATCTTAAACAAACCAGTCTCGAGATCGTGCGTGTAGCAGTCACGAAACTCAAACGGCCACAAGAGTCGCATTTCGTACTGATACATGCGAAAGAAACCGTTGCCACAGTAAGCATGCTCGTCAAAGATGAAGCGTTGGCGGAAATGGGGCCAAGCATAGTAATCAATGGCATAGGTATGTGAGATGTGTTGCGAGGGTCGGTAGATGTACCATGGAGGGAGGCGCTTATATCGCTCTGCAATTGGCTCCGTGTGATATTGTAGAAGCAAATGCATTGCCCTCAACATCGCCAGACGTTCGGTCCTGGGTATCGGCCGGAACAGAGCTTCGTCGATACGGCGAAGCATTTGCCAGGATGGATGCAGGGGAGCGCGTTTTGCAACGACATCCCAACCTTCTAGCATTGCGCGGATGGGAACATCCTCTGAGTCGACGTCGTTCGCTGGCTGAACACCTTCCGTCCAATCGAAACGCTCACTCATGACATCAACGACAAATTTCCAAAAGTTGCCTTGCCAGACCGCGGGCTGGCCCGATTGACGGTCCACGAGAGCATGACAACAACAAGAAGATCGAGGATTGACCCAATCGTAAGATCTGGAAGACGCAGCCGTATGCTGTTTGTTGGCCTTCGTAGATTGTGAGAAATCCCGGTCTGTCACCCCTGGGCTACTCTGTTGCACCACTTCTGGGCAAGAAGCGATGTTGTGTAGGTCAAAGTCATCATTAGGTATGGTTATGAAGCTGTCCAGGTCAGAAATTCTGGTTGGTATGGCTTCAATGTCGAGAGGATCAGGTTCAGTGTTGACCGCCATTGGAGTATACGCCTCTGACGTGCTCAGTGTGGACTCATTTGTGCTGGCAACATGTTCCGAATCCATCTTGGCCTTTGTAGTACCAACACCTTGTAGAGAAAGCTTGTCCAAGTTTGAAGGTCGTTGAATAAGCTGTTGAATGTCTTTCAAAGTTTTATTCGCCACGTCTCGTTCCTCCTCCGTCTTTTTCAATTGCTTGAGCAAAGCTGCGACCTGCCCGCTTGTATCCTGCTGCTTTAAATGCTCCACCAAGCTTTCGAGATAAGCCACGTGAGACCGTTTGCGTTCGCGGGCCTCGCGCTGGCATCGTCGGTCGACTTCCCGTTTCTTCATGCGACGTGAAGAAATAGCCTGGGCACTGTCCGGACGGACCGTGTGCACGTGCACATGGCAAGATCCCTGACTCTCCGTGGTATCTTTGGTTGCCATTGATGGATCATTCACAATATCCGAACAAGTACGAGAGGTGAGTGGAGTGCTCAGTGGGGTCGGTCGCTGTGATGGTCAAGGTCATGGTTACGGTCATGGCAGGAGAGAAGTCCACCATCCCGTTCCCGCCTTATCTTAAAGCCGGCGCCCCAAGGCATTGATAAGACTATCAGATAGCAATAAAATGGCCGAGAAAAAGGCCGCGTTGACTTGGACCCTGTCACGTGCCTGTGTTATGTGTTGGTTATTGATCTACACGGGGCGGCAGGGTTGCGGGGTTGCGGGGTGATGGTTGGAATAGGCATCCCCACGCGAGGTCGCCATGCTTCCTTTTGATTCTCACAAATATTCACTACTGAGGTGGATGACATGTATCAGAGCAAATTGAATTGGATATAGGCAGACTACTCAATTACGGGTAGGGAGCTCGTCCCTGGTGATGATCCACAGCTTCTTGGAGAAAGGCCCCTTGGATACCCAAGTCACGTGCATGCCCGATGTCAACCCGATTACGTCGCCCGCTTTGAACTGGTGCTTCTTCCCGCTCTCCGTCTCCACCACCTCGACTTCCCCCTCCAGCAGCAGAATCGTCTCGTCCCCCAATACGCCCGTGTAAGGTGTGGTCATGGTGCCATCAGCCTGCAAGTCCGACGCAGCAATGCCCTTCCCCGAGCGCCAGACGCCGCTCAGCATGGTCCCTGTGGTGCCACTGTTGCGAATAAAGTACAGTTCGCCTGCCACCAGGGGACCTTCCTTGGGTTCCTCGAAGTGATACTCAATCCAATCTTTCGGGTTATCGCTGGTATGGTTGATTTGGAGTTCGTGTGCAACCCCTGGGACCGGCCCAGAACTACCGGCCCAGATGCACCAAAATTTCTTAAAGAATGGCCCATCAATGGCCCATTCTACCTCGACGCCCTTTGGTGAGCTGATGATGGACCCAGGGCCAACTCGATATTTCTTGCCGGAGGTGAGGTCAGTCAAAGTGGCGGTGCCCTCGATAACACAGGCCGTCTCGTCCCCCAAAGGAGAGGAATAGTTCGCAATGTTGGAGCCATCCGCCTTACAGTTCGGGGAGGTCGCGCTAGTCCTCCAGAGACCCGCGGAGAGGGCGCCTGACTTCCCGAATGGACGAACGACACTGACCTCTCCGTGCACCTGCTTCCCCCGTTTGGGCTCCTCCCATTCAAAGGGAACCCAAGTTTCTGGAGCCGGGCATGGCTCGCTACCATGAACAACGTGAGTCTGGGGTTGTGCCATCTCCGATTATCACTTGAGTGTGAGTATAGGATGAGAATGTTTAGAATGAGGCAAGATGATTACTTGAAAGTAGGAAGTGAGGAAATCAGTCTGCGTCAACTCCTTTATAGAGATATGGCTCGCCTTGAACTCATGATATTGCCAACAACGCACACCATTTACTGTGTCACCCATACACTGTCGATTCGATCATGTCGACGACCACCTTGATAACGAACTTGCAATTGCTCGTATGCTGATACTCATCCCAGCAAATCAACACATGCAATTTCCTACCTAGGTACTGGTCAAAGCATGAAGTGGCCATGCTCTATCTGGCTCGCACGTTATTCAGTGACAGATCTACCAATGAGGGGTTTAGTATTATTCTAGCTTTAAGCGAGATAACAGCAGCTGCGAAGATCATGAAATGTACAATGCCAAGACCTCGCCATGCTCGAATAGTTCTGATGTGATCGGCATTGATTAGCTCTTACGCTGCGCATCCTTGCGCCTGACATCGAACACATCGATTCGACTAGCGCAGTCTTCCCCTGCGGTTCGTAACACTGCAAAACCCAATCCCACTTTGCCCGCATACAGTTGCCTATCATGTAAGAATTGACCGATTATGATGTCGCACTTTCAAAAGATAGCAAATCATAGGGAACTCTTTGTTCAGCGACGACTTTTAGTTACAGGTGTTCTGTTAGACTACTGTCGACCCCACAGATACGGATCCGCAAAGGGATGCTTCTCAAGCATGTCAACCGAATCGACGTTGCTGATATAGAACGCAGCTATTGGCGAGATGACTATCGCAACTACTGAGATTGGGTGACCTTTCGGTCATTCCGGTTGAGAGATAACTACGGGCATTTCTACCTTATAGGCCATTCAGCCTACAAGTACTTATTAACCCCCTTCCTTCTCTTGTTTTGTCAAGGCCCAAAAAGAAGAGCCACACAGAATTCCCCTCCAAGAACACAAGACAGTCGAACCCCTCCTTCCCCAAATTACCTCAAGGAACACACACCATGCCGATCTACCTCAGCATGCAACGCGTGCGCTTCTCAAGCCCAGACGCCTACGAAAAATTCAAAGTCCTCTTCGCCGACACGCGGCGCCACCTGATGAAACTCCCCGGGTTCCTCCACTTGACATGGTGGGAACACCCCGATGACCGAAGCTGGTACAACGAATGCAGCTTCTGGACGAGTCGCGGCGCCTTATACGACTGGCACAAAGACACATACCATAAGCACTGCAAGGCATGGGCATCCAACGGCGCAATCATGGAAGACATTATCACAAACTTTGAACTTGTTGGCACGAGGATGCTGCGCATCTGCCCCGTTTGCAATGAGACGCAAGACAAGAAGTATGATCTTGCGCAGGAGCAGGCTGTGTTGCGTGAGCAGTGTCCTAAGTGTGGGTTTCATTTTCCAGTCCTAGAAGAGACGCCGTCGAGTTTTGCGGTGTTTAAGGATGCTGTTGTTCCGGGGGGTGGGGTACAAGAGGGGAGTAAGGAGGAGGAGAAAGTCCAGACAAAGACAGAGGAGAATGGCGTCAGCGCGTAGGATGTGTTCATTTACAGGAGAGTGATGGTTGTTGAGGGAGTATCTCTAGACTGGGCATATACTATTCCACGACTATGAACCCCTTGTCAAATTCTGGGTCTCAGATACGGTGCAATACAACAGATTAGTCAAAAAGCAAATATTTTGCTTCTGTGAGCGGAACTGCAGCTGTAATCCGTCTGTTCAGCGTCTCACCTGTTCTTATATGCGTTGAGAGCCTTGCTTTCGAAGTGTTTCAGCTTTCTTTAAGTGCCTCAATATCGATCAGATCACGGCGAATTGGCATTTCTGTATCAGCTGGTCAAGAAAACGCGCAGTCGAACCCTGTCCAGCGATCGAGCTTCGGCCAGCAGCCTAGATAACCCCCTTGTGCCGAAGCTTGTTACACTCACACCCAGCCCTGAAAGATGCTGGAATTTGTTCGGAAAAGGGTTTTTACTGTGCTAGGTATGATATCCGAGATTTGCAGACTCAAGTAGCGACCGTGGTGGTTCCTGCAGCGCTCATGGTAAGGTGGCTGCAAAGTCTCAGGCCCTTATCCCGAAGCCTACCTTGTGTACTACATCCACGCCCAGTACTGGAAGATCATTTTCTTATGCTCGGAAAATGGTTTCCTAGGTAGTAGGTATAACATCCGGGGTTTGCAGATCGAAGAAGCGATTGTGGTGTTATTCCTGCAGCGCTCGCGACCAGGTGGCTTTGAATGTTTGCGTGAAGCCTTGAGCTCTTCTCCCGAAGCCTGCTACCCCCACGCCCAGAACCGGTTCATACTATGTAATCTGCGGGACGAGGTTCTCAATACTCAAAGTAAAATTTCCGAGTTTAGCGGACTCAGAAGATTGATGTGATAGGGTTGCTGTGGCATGCTGGCGGGTATCTCGCGCGAAGCTTCCACTCCTGTTGGTTCACCTTGGCCCGGAGTCTTCTACACACCCCACCCACATTGGTAATGTTAAATCATTCTCGCAACAAGGTATCTGCATACTTAGGAACATTTGCGCATGCTCACTATGACTTTACTTCGCGGTGCTGACGTTGCTGTGGCCCACAGCATATCGGCGGGTACCTATGGTACTTGACGCGAAGCTTCTAAAGCCTCCCCTTATCCCGAAGGCTTCCACCCACCACGCCCACATTAGGAATACCATGTAATTCTCGGAACGAGGTTTCCACGCACTTTAGAACATTTGCGCATGCTCATATTGTCGCAGTTCGCGATGGCGGCGTCGCGTTGGGGCTCGGGTCAGGGCCAGGCCTCAGGATGACGCTTCGCGACACAAGCTCCTTAGCCCGAAGGCTTCTACACACACATCCACGTAAAAGATATTGATTCTGCCTTCGGAACAAGGTTTCTGCATAATTGAGAACATATGTGCATGCTCACATTAACGTATTTCGTGACCGCGGCGTTGTGGTAGGGCTCGGGCGAAGGCCAGATGCTTCGCGCGCCGTTTCGCGACACGAGCACCTTATCCCGAACGCCTCCACGCACCGCCCTCTCTTGGGAGAACATTATCTATTCTTGGCACAGGGTTTTTAGACGGTTGCGGACATTTGCGCCTGTCTACGATGATCAACCTCGCAATGCCGGAGTGGTGGTGGGCCTCGCAGTAGGAGCAAGCACCTCGGGCGAAGCCTCGTAATACGAGCTTACGCCGAAGCTTATCCCGGACCCACGATGCGCCCGACTTGTCACGTATATTTGGATACGGTTCTCGGAAGAAGATCTTGGAACATAGGAGGGCATCTGAAACTTCTTCCACCAACATAAAGCGGAAAGAATGGTGTTGCGGTGGGCCAGCGTTGGGATAAGAGCAGGTGAGCTGCATGTGCACGCGAAGCTTATCCCGAATCCTCAACGCGCCCGACCCACTGCAGATATCTGAACAATATCTTCGGAACAAGCTTTTTGACTACTGGAGCACATATCGACACTCTTCTGTTGACACATTTCCGAAATGTTGAGGTCGTGATAGGCCTCGGGATAAGGGCACCTCCAGGGCTGTGACGAGCTTCACGCGAAGCATTGAGCCGAATCCACAAGGCACACGGAGCACTAGGAAATATCTATGCGTAACTTCGAAACAAGGATTGGAATGCGTTTGCGATCGTTCAATCGTAGAACCTTTTCGAAAAATCGAGGCGTGGTAGTAGTCCTGTTAAGTGATGTACGAGCTTTGGGCGAAAGCGCTTGTTGAGCACTTCATCCTTAAGCCGAATCCTCAAGGCGCGCCTTCCACCGCCATTGTGTAAGATGAGAACTTCGGGATAAAATTGAGAATGCTTTATCTACCGTTAAAAAGCACAATCATCGAAGAGATTGTAGGCGTAATAGTAATCGTGGTGACTAATGTGCGAGCTCCGGGCGAACGTGCTTACGCGATCCCAGAGGTCGTTTATTCTTATGGCGAATCCTCGAGGCGCGCTACCACCAGCCTAGTTCAAGATGAGATCTTCGGAATAAGCTTTTTGAGGTGTCAGCTACAGTCTGGAAATTGATTATTCCGAAAAGCTGTGAAGCTGGCGGTAATGGTGTTGATTTCGTGTTGGAGTCTTGGGCGAAGCTTCGCACGAACATTTGAAGCTTCATCCTTGTGGCCTAGACCTAAAGTACGCTATCCTCCATGTGATTTCTACTTGTTGTGTTCGAGACTGTCTCCTACGACTCTGGAATCTCCTGCAGGAAGGATTAGTAAATTTTGAGCTCGATCGTGGTACGTCCCAGGCCATGTCTGCCACGCCTTCTGCGTTTTCCACGGTAAGCGACGCGGCACGCTTCGAGCTGAATATCTTGGAAGACCATCATTGTGGAATTGATAAAGCATGCGACAGTTCACTCCCTATGAATAGTAATCATCTTGGATGTGTCGGTGCAGGCCTAAGTACCCCGCAAATAAGAACTAGGCATTATCACCCGTGCCGTACAGAGCCCCACAAGGCCAACTGGCCTGCATACTAAACACAACTTGTCGTTCAATTTGTGGCCCTCTCTGAATCGTACTGCTTCGCTGGTTCCTCCACACGCCTGTACCAAGAGTCCACCTCGCTTTCATCATGAAGGCCGTCATCATCAAAGAACATGGCGTCCCCGCCCTCGCAGATATCAAAGAGCAGACAATACGGCCTGATTATATTAAAGTCAAGACCGTAGCTCTGGCCCTCAACCCCACGGATCTGCATCATACCACAGGGGCTGGTCGCGTAGGCGGCATCATTGGATGCGATCTTTCCGGTATCGTCGAAGAAGTTGGCGAAGAATGCAAATCGGATGTGAAAAAAGGCGAACACATCTATGGTGTGTGCCACGGAGCTAATCTGGTGAGTACCAGCTGTACTTGTTTGTCGATGTGCTCTGTGGCTTCGTTTGTTAACATTCTTCAAGAGCTCAGAGGAAGATGGAGCCTTTGCTGAATACGCTCTTGTTCGCGATGGCCACCTTGCGAGGATCCCAGAGAATATGTCCTTTGAGGAGACAGCCACATTGGGTGTTGGCATTACTACCGTAGGTCAAAGCTTGTACATGACCATGAAGCTCCCTCTTCCAGGAGAGGAATCGACCGAAGACGCACCCTTCTTTCTGGTCTACGGCGGAAGTTCTGCAACCGGCACACTGGCCATCCAATATGCTAAGCTGTAAGTTGACATGCCACTTATGTGTTCGGCTGGCTCACTGTACGCAGGTCTGGATGTAAAGTCGTCACCACTGCTAGTCCTGAGAATTTCGAACTTGTTAAGTCGAGGGGCGCCGATGCCGTGTTCGACTATCATGATCCAGAATGTGCGCGTCTCATCAAAGAGTACACCAACGGAGAACTCTACTACGTTCTCGACTGTATATCAACGGAGTCAAGCTACAAGATCGTCGGAGATGCGCTTCCCGAGACACCCCAGAAGCCAGTTCAGGTAGTGACGCTTTTGCCTACGGATGCCTGGCCGAGGAAGGATGTTACCCCTATTGCTATTCTTGCATACACGTCTTTTGGCAAAGCTTTCACTAAGTTCGGCATCGACTTTCCTGAAATCCGTCCCCATTTCGAATACGGCGTGATGTTCTGGAAGGTGAGCCACAAGCTTCTGGCTGAGGGTAAAATCAAGCCTCATCCAGTTGCTCTGCGCAAAGGTGGCTTGGCTGGTATTCCGGGAGGGTAAGTGAAAATAACAAGCGCGGATCGAATCCATGCTTACAGCGAATAGTATCGCGGAACATGCCGAGGGAAAGGTCAAAGCCGTGAAGCTCGTTTACAAGGTGGACGAGACTGAGGAAGGGCAGTCTGGACAGGGAACAGCCATTCAAGGCCCCGAGCTCGGCTCGAAATGGTAATGCAATGATCTTCGAATCCATATTCGCGACTAGACCTGTTCACACTGATCATGTATCGGTAGCGAAGCTCTGCAATGAACGATACACTGGCGGGGCTGTCCATCCTCGGGGTCGATGTGAAAGCATGGCGAGTGAGATGCGAGACTTTAGCATGTCAGTTTATTGCTCACAGAACCGATTCTGCAATATTACCATCAAAGCCACAGCGATCAAGCAAATCGCGGCCATACAAGCGCCTCCGCCAGTTAATGCGACCTAAATCGGGCCCACGGGCTAAGGCAAGAGTACGAACAAAGCTGCGGACCCTATTTGTATAGCACCTATGTAAGTGTGACGCAGATGTATCAAAATACACTAGCTGCCCAGGGACTTAGTCCTGGAGTGGGGTAGTAACAAGTGCGTCATTGTAAGATACAACGTATGTGAGTATGATTCATGGTTCTTCCTAGGCATCATCACTAAACAGACTTCAGCCACCTATTCAGAGAGCTTGCTCTGAGTCCATATTCTCTGGCTTTGCACGAGATTTTACCTCCATCATCAATCAATTGTGGTAGCAGGCGAAATAGACATGACAAAAATTACCTGCCCGGCAAAGTGCCCCGTCGAGACTTGCATGTAAGCGTGTACCCCTGCACAGGCTTCGGTGACATCAGAGTGAGCGTGTCTCTGTGATCCCCGCATTGGCATTGGATTTGGCACCTTCTTAATGCGCTGCTGCGCATGTGCCGGCTTTGGATCGGAGCTTTTCGTATATAGCTTGGGCACTGTTCCATCAGGCATCCTGATGAACCGGCCGTCCCATTCGGGGTTTGCGGGTGCTGATGCACTTCCTGGGCACTGGCAATGTAGTCTTGGTCGCTATGGCGGGATATTAGCGGCCTCTAGCTACGTTGGGCTGCTTTATGATGCCTGTGCGTGGGCTATGTTGTCCCGCACCCCGAGATGGTGCGTGCGGTGTGCGTGTCCACCACGAGGTCGAGATCTCCATGATACTAGTCATCCTTGTTAAAAGTCTATGTTGGATTGCTTACATATATCTGCTAGGTCAGCGGACGTGGGAAAAGACCGCGGAAGTGATATGGTTCTGTCCTTAGCTTCTGTTCACTGTATGACTACTTTTGGAACTGGGCATGGACCCTTCAGAGATTAGCGAGAAAGTGATGACGAGAGCATAGAAATGGGCGGGGCCCTTGCACTACCACAGCCCTAAACCAGTGAAACGTCATCACGCCTATATTTGGTGATACTGACGCGGCGAAGTAGGCTCTGGCAACACGTTTTCCGGGGGCATGGTTGTAGACGTGCGCAAGGGGGCAGGAGGGCGGGACGTGGGGAAGTGTGAAGCTTTGGACGCTGAAACCTTTTGCTCTTGCTTGTGCTACTTTGCTAAAGAGATTGGTGGGCCCAGGCGCCGGTTGTTGTGAGTAGAACAAGCCCAGGGATCTTTGGAGTCGAAGTTGCATCGAGTGGTAAGCTGTGCATTGCGCTACTTAGGTGCTTAATTAACCCAATAAGCTATGTAGGTAGAACGGCAGTAGAAGGGAAAGGAGCCATATACAAGGGTAGAGGTGGGCCGTGATATAGTCGTACGAGCACTGCGATTCGTCTATAGGTATCACATAAGGTCGGTGCTGAATGACTGCCTGTGCACTTCCCATGGATAAAGCGGAAACTTTCGGTTGCGTAGAAAGGCGCAGAACCATATCGTGAATGTTCAGCGTGCGCTATCAGAAATCCTGCCACTAATCTCATACAGATGTGCTCATGATTAGCCATCAGGTTTCGCAAACATGAAACTTGGGTGATTGGTATAAGGTGATGTACGAGCTCATGAAGTCCTGTACTATCGCTATACTCTATGCATTTCAGTCCCAACTGACACTCTCATTTTTAGGATGTATCGTTAGCGGTCCCATATCCATCCACTAGCCTTTCTTGTCTTCTTGATGTTGATTTTGCGTCAAGATTGACTGCGATAATTAGGTCGCACCTGACGATACTATCTCGCTGGTAGAAGTGACTAGCAGCCCTGCTACTGCCCGCGATCTTGACTCAAAACACCTGGCCTAAGCGGCTGCTGTGTTACGGGTAATTTGCGTCTGTACCGCTTAGGCACTGTCGATAAATGAGCTGCCGACTTAGCTGGTAAAACGCCCTATAGGTGGGCAAGACCCCTGGGATTAGTTCCTTTGAGTAATGCGCTCGTTCTACGGGAAGTGGCGTCAACGGGATGTTGGCTAAGAGGATGACTCTCCAGCTGCAGTGCTCATAGAAGCGAGGATGAGCTATGTGCAGAGTGCACTAGAAGCACTGTGACGCCTTGAGCCCAAAACAGATTGGGAGAGCACGTCAAGTGGTCGATATATCTAAGGTGCTACGAGTGCATGGGCAATAGCTTGAACAGAGAGAAGCTTTGGCATGTGCACAAGCACCTTTCGACTCTCTATAGGGTTAGTATCGATTTGAAAGCTCGATTGATGCTGTTGTATGCAGACAATGAGTTTTGAAGAATCATTTAGAGCATTTCGCCAATTCTCAGCTCTACCCGTAGCTGAAGACACAGTAGGCGCAATGTATTGTAGTCTTTTCGTGAGTCACGTACCGAGAATCAGTAACTGCACCACACGTGGCAGCACCCCTCACGATAGTATCTGACTGCGACGGTGGCGCGCAGAATTGCCTGGTCCAAATCTAGTTTTCGTGAGCACAATTTGAGGGGAACAGATCTTGCTCGGCACCAACAAGAAAGCTTTTGATCACACCACGTGGCGGACGTGGCCGATGGTCACAAACCCTAACGGCAGCTCTCAAAGCACCTTCTAGTGACTCTATTGAATCCGGGAGACTCACCATGATAAGGCCCGAGTGACTCTATGACTACTAAGTAGAGCACGGCTGGTGAAAGGGATCGGCGTTGGGTACAAAATGATGGTTTTGCCAGAGAGTTTTGATACATGCTATACTCGATTTACTTTGATCAATCAGTGGACTCTGAAAGCCTCATTACTCTAGTAGCTTAGCCCCACATCCAAGGACCATGACGGCACAACCATTGCAGTCATCGGCATTGAAGAGTCGTCTAGGAGGAGGACCCATCCTCAGAATCGAAAACTTTGAAGAATGGGACTTTGCTCGCATGGGGTTCAAAAGTGACCAGGACCGCGTGAAATGGCTCGACGATAACAACAAATGGAAAAGCTATACCGATATTATCGAGGAACTCCGAAAACCGCGCGAAAAATTTGCCCGAAGAAAGATTTATGAAGCGCACCGAAAAAGCCTCCAGGAAGAGCTCCGGCAAAAGATCAAAGACGAGCTCATAGTCAGATCCCACGAGCCGTACTTAGCAGGGATCGAACTGCCTGAAAATCAAAAAATCAAATCCAACGAGATCCCAGAATTGTGGAAACGCTGCGAAACAGGTTGGATTGAGAATTCATTCGCAGAGACCCAGCTCCTGGGTAGCCTCGATGGTCTGATCAAAGAACTGCCCTTTTTTGACGCGACGAGCCCTTGGGACTTCATGGTCCTTGGGCTTCCATCCCTCTGTATGAAGACTTTCAAGGAAGTTTCCTATCGACAGTATCGTTTCGCTATCGAAATTATCGCCCAGATCACCAGCGCCATGGAAGATCGATATGGGCACGCGAATCACCTCGCACAACATACAATATATCTGGACCACACACATATGACCTCATACCCTGGTCCAGGAGAGACCGATCAAGACCGTTTTAAAAACGCCCTGTTCGAGCGTACGCACCACCTCGACAGGAAGCTAGACATGGAAGTCGCACCACCGTTCGAAAACGAACCGATAATGTTATCGTGGCTGTTGAAAGAGCTGGGAGGCGCAGACGCTCTTGTGAGACTTCCACAGATGATGCTCATCATGTTCAAGCCTGTGAATCCAATCCGGCAGCTGATTCAGCACTTGCTGGACCAGCTGCAACACGAACAGCTTCCGTGTGTCATTGTTTGTGCACCTGGAGATGTCGACAATGTCATGCCGAGTGGGAACAGTCATCTCGCCGAGCTAGCCAATCGCTATAGCGGCGACAGAAGCTCAGATCTGGTGGAGGACTTCCTCACTAGGAATTATCATAAGCATGCACTTTTGACTGACGAAACTCTCGCCGGGTTGGAACACTTTTCTCCAGAGGCGAAGCAGGAAGCAAAGAATATTCTTGGGACACTATGCCTGTTCGTGCGCAAAGATTTGAGGCATAGTCCGCCAAGGGCAAATACTGCATAGTAGGGTGGAAGCCGATGCTCGATACCGGAAGTGGAGTTCACTGTTGCATGGACTGGGACTATACAGCCAAGCGGGTGGGGAAGATGGCTCAGGCGAAGTTTGCCTCGAGCGTCCACGGGATGTGAATAGTGGTTGTCTGAGAAAGTGTATGTTTCCTTCTCCACGGTCTTTACCATGTGTATATTTCCTTTTCCACAGTCTTTACCATATGTATATTTCCTTTTCGACAGTCCCTACCATGTGCTCCTCTCTTTGGTTCAATTGTCTCATGTCTTGCATGTTAGATACCCCACTCATTGTATTATGAATAAAATTGCTTTTCCAGATATGGAAGCCAACCCGGATTGACGCGTCAGTTGAATTGAAAACATGATGTGACACAGAAGCAAGTACGTGATCGTAAGACACGAAGATCACAAGGATGCGCGTCGGAGCACAATGCTTGGCATGGAGAGTGTAGATATCCATCCATCTGTAAAGGTGACGTTCAGTAAACAGCAGCACTGGTGGACACTGTGAGGTATCGTTTCGACATTCTTTCCGCCTTCAAGCACTTATTCAAGTTGCACATGTGAATTGGCAAGGTGTCGAACCCCACAAGAGAGGAACGCCATTCAAACATACGACTACCAAAGAAGAATTATAAACCAGGGTATTCAGATTGCTCCTCATCCTTTTACAGACATCCCAACTGTAGATCTAGTCGAATGCTCAATCACATATCCGTCTCATCCTGCCTGCCAACGAACTCTTTGAGCTTCTTCTGGTCCAGTAGCTCTCCCTCCGCCAAGCGACCCGTCTCCTTCACCTCGCCACCAACACATTGATACCTCACTAATGTCGGCACAGCATTCACATTCCACTTAGTCCGGTGTACATTCGATAGGTCCTTCCACCTGCACATCTGTTTTAGTCGCTTTCTTAACAGGAGATAGGCGCCCGCCGCAGTCACATACTCAGGTTTCTGTCCCACATGCACATATCCAACCTCGGGCGAATTCTGCGCGGAAAAAGCAGCACCGATCAATGGTAGCGCGGCTCTGACATCTGGACACCATGGCTGATTCGTCTCGGGGCTTATTGATGAGATGAAGTTGATAAAAAACGTGGCATTTTGGTCGTTTGCGAGGGGTAGATCCTGGGCGGAATTGGGGAGTTGGAAGGGGTCCTGAGCGGGCATCTTGCCCCGGTTGATCGATGTTGGAAGGGCGAGTTTGAAGGAGCGTCACTGAAAGTGGGTAACCCAGGCGACTGACAGACGCAGGTGTGAAGTGGTGCGATTGGTGCGGACCGCAGCGCGGGATGGTGTTATCGTAGCAGCTCTTCGCTAGGCGACTGCCCCACCACGCTACCTACGTCTTCCCGAGAATTTTTAAATTAACCACCTGTCCTTGCAACAACCACGGTCCAACCCTCGCATAGCACGTGGAACCGCAAACCAAAATCCATTTCAACGCCGCTAACTGTGGTTCTAGAGCCGCTGCGAACGAGTCTTGGCGCAAAGGAGCTAGGGTGTATGCTCGGGACGACGTGATCTACTGAATCGTGAACAAGATTCAGCCTCAGTTTCATGAGTATCGACTCGTGTAGTGCCGAGTTCAGATCGTTAGAAGACGCATTCGGAGAATACATGGCATGAACTTTTCAATAGATATCAATCATTCGCGTCCGCTCTTCCACTGGCAATGGATCCGGAAGCTCTCCCCATGGACCCCATTTACTTTCTTCTTTCCAGCTCCCGTCATGCAGGTCAAGCGCTCTCATCACGTAGCACTCGGAGACGATCTCGTATGAATCGTTGCCACATTTTCTCAGGATGAAAGGGGACCGAGATCCATCTAACGCAAATATCTCGAATTGTTGATTCTCCTCGGTTTCAGCCGCGATTTCTACCATCGCTCCTTGAGGAGGAGGATGAGGATAAGAAGACATGCGGGGAGTGAAATATCGTTCCAAATTGGCAAATCCAACGGAATTCCTGGTCTGAAAGACTTGCGGAGTGGCCCCTGTTTTGCGACCTGCTCCTATGAAACTCTGGACGTAATGCATGGGCATATGAAATGCGGAATGAGGCTGTGGTCTAAAGCTTTCCCAGAAGCCGTAATCTTGAACTGGTGGGTCCCAATCCCAGTCATCTGCTGGCCACCATTGGCCCGCAGAAGCATGCCAAGTCTGCCGTCCGAGTATATCGATGTAATGTGCGCGAACACGCATATAGGGCTTCGTGTGATTTCCAATCGATTTATTCAGATTAAAAAACTTGACTGTGGCAGTGTTTTGACAAGAAGAACGATCGGCATCCTTTGAAACCACTCTCCGAGGTTCATCAAATGACAGAATCGAACTCCAAGCTCCTAGACTATCTCCTTCAAATTGAACGATCCCGTTCTCTACAGGACTACGCCTTTTTTCGTTACCGTAGTTTGGAACCCACGACGGCCAAGCATAGTTAGGCACATTCCAATGCAAGTGCAGTGCGTCTAGATTTTGATGGCGTAAGATGATTGCTTTGGCCGTGCGGGCATAGACCAGTTCCGGACTCATCGAGTAGTCTATGATTATAAGCGATCGGTACGCCGAGTCCACCAGGCTGAGTACAGCATAGATCTTATCCCTTTCATCCGTGGCTGAGCACTTGTGCGTTGCGCGCAGTAAATAAGCAAGGTCCAAAGTCTCCTTTTTTTCTGGAGTCCATCTCAACGGACTCGGCCAATCGATACCAAGCCCTCGCTGGTGAAGCTGCCAGAGCTCATAGAGCCGGCCTATCACATAAATGTTAAGACTGATCTCAGCGTCCGGCAGGTACAAGCGAGCCAATCTAGCCAGTGCCATCTCTTGAATAACCCAAACACGCTTGAACCATCTTCGTTTCAGAAGTTCGGTGGCCGCGTCTATCTCATCCTGAGTTGGGCCAACATCAGGCGGACCTTGCAACCATTTGCAAAGAGGAGCGAAGGAGTCGTTGTGTATTGAAGCATTGATGAACACAAGAACTTGCGCAGCACCTGAATATATTTTCTCCATCAAGGCCACCTGATGATTCCTTTCTGAAATATTCTCTTGGTCGATACAAACGGCGTCAACCCACAAGCGTCGCTCAAAGTAACGTTTCCTTAATCTGCGGATGGCTGCTTGACAGCTGGTTGTAACGGATACGGTGCCACCTGGGCAGTGGATCACTCCAGAAAAGCTCGTGTCTCCGCTCTCCGTAGCCCATGTGTATGATACTGCTTCGTATTGAGGTTCGTCGTCTAGATGGACTACAACGATGTCACAGCGCAGAGGGTCGTCCAGCTCTCCGCATTTTACGACAAGCAATCTGATCTCTTGCCCCAGAGCGTAGTTGAGCTTCCTGTATTGGTATCTAGTGTCGTTTACGTCTACACCAGCCGGAAATGATACCGCGTGGTCGAAGATAGCCTCGCCACAAGCGAGGCAAGTCCTGACACCGTCGAACTTTCTGACATCAGGATGTCGACAAGGGCGCGCCATGTTTCGATGAGAAGTTAATGTCGTGTTGAGGAAAACTATGGAAAGCACTTGTGTAGAAGCGATCCTTATGAATGTGAGCGCGAATTATTGAGGGCTCGAAGTCGACGCTATTGGCCCTATGCATGACTGCATGGAAGCATGGAAGCATGGAAGCGGGGCTTGGGCCTTCAGCTGCACCGCCTTGCTGAACCGGTGAGAGACCCTTGTCAGTGCGAACCTGAAGGCTGAAGACTGTCCAAGGGTTATCAACCTCCAAACATGTACATAATCAGGCAATGTCATATCAAAAGGTTCCATGCAGCGGATACAAATATTGACGAGACGGTTCCATATTTCTTGGATTGGTATTTAAGAAGCCGATGTTGAGGATGATTTCGTGAGTTGAAATGCGCACGGAGCTGACGAACTTGATCTGAAATAAGTCAGGACATACAAGTATGTCGTTGCCTACTATTTCCCAATTTTCGCGTGTTGCCTTAATCATCCCGTTGACCAGTACTTCTTCGCTTATGCGCCCTCCCGACTTTTCTGCTTCTTTTCCTCTTTACTCTTTTTGCGCCACTCTACGCCCCGGAACCCATGCTGGAAGACAGCACGAGATTCCTCTGGATTCATGTTACTAGCTTCGGTGAACCAAACGTAAAGTCCCTATAACCTACGCACCAAGTCACATGGAACCTAGGGGCACTTCTTCACACACACACTTGCTCCTCCAGGGCTTTGGCGAGTAATGCGCGCACTGCCTCAGCACTCGATTCCAAAGAGGCCATATCCTGATCGTATGTGGGGCGTATGCTGTAGGCAAATCAGAACATGACGCGGGCGTTGAGTATTTTGAATACTTTCAAGCGGTTATTGGATGGCAGGATGCAATATCAATAGCCGAGTTATACGATCTATGGTCTTCATAAAGTCAACGCGAAGTGTTAGGAAGTCCGAGGTGTTTGAGAGCGCGATAGCTGTCTCAATGACAGAGCACCGTCATCTCCTACCGCAGACGCAACTCGCGAGTCACGCTTCACTGAGGCGTGGATGTAGTCGTGGCGTACGCGTAGCGGGTCAAGGATGTTTCTAGTCGTGATGACGAGTTCAGGCACTTTGACAGACCCACAAATGGGCTTGACGCGTGAAACGACACCTGCAACCGCTCTAGCGCATCCCCCACGGACCGAAAACGGTATCACAGCCGAAGATCTGCTTTGTTGGTCCAAGGAATACGATGTTTGGATTTTCGACTGGGCATGAAAAGGTCCGCATGGACCATCATCTAACAGCGCTTCTCAACCTGGCAGCGACCGAATTTAGATAGCACCGCACAGATGTCCGTCCAACCTTTCCATATCCAGCCCCTAGAACAAACTTGGATATAGTTCAAGAGATGATCTGCCTGAGGCTGTGACCATACCATGAAGATGGTAAATGAAGGGAGACGACCAGAAAGCAGCTGCGTATGTAGATACGCAAGCAAGTGTGGAGGGGGAAGCAGAAAGTGAACCTGAAAAGGGCAAAGAAATCACGCTACAATGCACCTTCATCGCGCATCACAATCGCTTTTTGTGTATCCACTGCAAGTTCTGAGCACTTCACATCCGCGCGCTTGTCATTCGTTTGAACATATTCGTGGAATTCTTTGTCATTCAATCGTGCATCCACATCGTCATTCGCTTCATCATGCGGTCCTCAACACTCATTGCAACAGTTGTGCTTATAGCGACTGCGACGGAGGCAGCCCCCTACCTCGCTCGCGATACAAGCTCTGAAGGGACATGCACTACCAACCAACGCAAGGCTTGGTGAGTACTAAAAGTTGTTTCTAGCATCTTTGCTAACAATAAGGCAGGCAGAATCTGAGCGACGATGAAAAGGCTGCTTATATCGATGCAGAGCTCTGTCTGATGAGCGCTCCAGCTCAGTTGTTCGACTGGGCCGAGAATCGATGGGATGAGCTTGTGTACGGCCACGTCGTGCAGTCGAACTTTATACACAATGTTGGCCAGTTCCTGCCATGGCATCGTCTCTACATGCGCGCGCACGAACATCTGCTGCAAACAGAGTGTGGATATACTGGTGCACAACCGTATGCAAACCTTCACGCATGAGTCATACTTACGCTGAGGCTAAATCTGTCCAGGTACTGGGAGGAAGCATTGGACGTCGACGATCTCACGGCTTCCGTAGTCTTTGATCCAGATACCGGGTTCGGAAGTGCTGGAACCAATGGTTCCTGTGTCTCCGATGGACCTTTCACCCAGCTCGAGCTGCACATCACCCAATACACGAACTACGCGAACTACTGTCTCACCCGCGAAACCAACACCGATATCTTCCAAGGTGCAACTCTTGACAACATTGCCGAATGCACGAACACCACCACCTACGATGAAGCCTACGATTGCTTCCAGCAGAGCCCTCATACGGCCGGCCACGGCGGCGTCGGCGGTACCATGCTGGATGTCGTGGCCAGCCCGTCCGACCCGCTCTTCTTCTTGCATCATACCAACCTGGACAGACTGTGGTGGAACTGGCAACTCAACAACCTGACCTACCGCCTGACTGATATGGGAGGACGCAACATCCCCACTGATTCGTATCTGGCACAGAACAACTTCACTACCCCTGGACCCGAGCTACTCGACTACGATGGGGACTCTGCGAACGTTACGACTTTGAACCACACTCTTTGGATGGTGGGACTGATTGCTAATGCTACGGTGGGGGATGTCATGGACTTGCGAGGTGACTTGATCTGCGCGGAGTACGTGTGAGCATTGCGTTACCGGATGCCTTAGGCTCTAGCACTACGTCATATCCTGGGGAATTCCTAAGTGTTTGGATGTGTTGGATCAATCAGTTATTTTGTCTTCTCTGGGAGCTTTCAAACTTTTCATGGAAAAGCTATAGTTTGTTTCGTTGTGGATACTATATCGATCTATGGGAGTGCTTTTGATACTGGAATAGATGGACTTTCGCTTTGGCATCACAACGCGCAGAAACATCTCTAATATTTGGAGACTCGTTGGGAAGTGGCTTGATATCCTGCTATATGGGAACTGGCCACAACGAGTGCTGCACGTCTGCGAATGGGAGAAATGAATGGACTCGGAATCTCTCTTCATGACTGCACTTCCCTGGAAATATCTAGGTATACGTATACTGGTTAATCTTGATATCAGCAACGGTCCAGGTCTTGCCGCCATCTGCAGTAACTAGGCTTCCTGAAGCGCCGTTGAGGCCAAGAGTGTTCTTGTAGTTAGGGTCTGCCGTATTCATGATGATCGTGGTGTTGAGGTAATGGTGCTCAGGAACCGTTCCGCAGTTGGCCTGTTGGCATTCCATTGCTTTTGGTCAATCTAGTTAGCGACCTGCTTCTGACTTAGAATGCTCGGTCATCTTGGCTTACCTGTGCCCCAACCTGCGCCATGACCACTCTCTGCGAAAGTCAGCGTACGTATCGAAGCCAGGATAAGGTTTCGTACGTGTGGACAGGGTAGACACTTTGACGCCGTTCACGGACACCGTCTGGTCGAAATTGGCGGTCGCGTCGTTGTATTTATCTGCCAATTGGTAAGAACCGGGGCAGAGTACGCGTGCAGTGACTAAGTGAGCTTACAGTCATATGTGACCTTGTCACCAGGGTTCGCACGGTACGGTGTACCATCATGCTGTTCTCCTATATATAGCTTAGAATTGCAAGCTTTCGCCTGAGTGCACAGAGAAAGTACCATCATATGTACTCGCGACAACGCACCACTTGACATCGGAGGCGGCAAGATTGCATGGAGATCTGTAGACGATGAATATATGCCGGAGCACCCCACCTCACCAAGTAAACTTACCCTTGACCGACGGTGGAGATCGCAAGGCCCTGGACGAGGTGACCATCAGCTCCTGAATCGAACTTGGTACCCATGCCAGGCCATAAGCCCAAGTTTCCGTTGTGCGGACTGTTGAGAGCCGGCAAGACGAGGGTTGTGGTGGCCTGCCGGATCCATGAGTCGGTGGAGACTGCACCGGTTGAGAAGTAGTAGCCAAAGCTGAAGTATTGGGCCGAGGCCACTGGGAGGATTGTGAGATAGAGAGATCTCATGTTTATGACACTGATACAGAAATTCCAATGTTCGCAATGTGGGTACAGTATAACCACGAGAATTAGGAATGTAGCTAAGATTTATATATCAAGCGCAGTGACAGATGCGAACACGCGTCAAGCCTCATTGGAGGATGTTTGAAAGCACCACCACATCGAATTGTAGATTCCACAAGGTTATCATCATACGATTGTTTTACTTATATGCGACAAGGATTAGGGTGGGAAACAAGCATGAACTAGTGGACTGAATCAGAAGCCAAATTGTTCCGGTGGGGGTTTCCTATTTCGCTTAAGATGATCGTACGTCTACATGCCATGGAGAACATGGGCTCTTTGCAATACTGTGTATATTCCCAGGTACTAGCGGGGATCGGAGTACTTCCCCCTCAGATTCTCCGGTGCATCAGCAACGGCGTAATAGGCGAAAAGACGCTAATAAAGCTTGCCATGCTTAATTTGAAACCCTGTCCAACCCCTTCTCATCAACAGGCCCAACAAGGTGGTTTAGTATGCGGGGGTTTTTGGAAGGATGTGTGCAACGCACCAATCGGTCTGAGTAGACAAGAGAAAGAACAAATAAAACCATTTTGTTGACGCGCGAAGGGATGCTTCACGGTAACATACGCGCTCGGATAGAGATAAGGTGTCTTTGACCTGCCGTGTTCAATCATTTTGCGTCGGTCCACCCAATGCGACGTCGACTGGCAGCCCAGCAATAGAAATTATCATTCTCTCGCCTTGCTGTCGTACGAAACCGGTTGCTAGGCTAGAAAAAAGCCACGAAGGAAGCTGCTTAACGTCAGTTCCGAAGTCGATTGGCGGGAAATCCTCAACCTGTATCAGGAGCAACGATAAGCATGGCAAGATCTACAAATTTCTTAATGCATTAGATTGTTGGAGGAAAGGTAACGGGCGCCACGCAAGGGCCGCCCGATACCCGCCTGCTTCGCTACTTATCGAGACTGCGGATCGTGACCTAATTTAGCTTCAGAAATCGCGATAATTGAGAAAGCAGTGTCCCAAAACTCAGTTTCATTGGTCCTTCCATACTTCAGATCATACTCATCGCGCTAAAGATACGAAACGGTCTTATGCACCGTTCCCAAGATCCACAGAAGCGGTTCGCCACGGACAGAAAAGATTTACTGCGCGTTTCCTATCGTGTGGACATACGATGTGCAGGTATACGCTAAAGTCAACGGAGTTATATGGGAGGATACATAGCTCGCTTGGGAGCTCGAGAAAGAGATAGTTGAGCCACACGTGGTATCGGTTGGAGTGCAGTCACAATACGGAAATGTAGACAGGGCCTTGGACGTTCGTCTTTCGACGCTGTGGAATCCTCATCACTTCGAAGCCCTCTCCACACAGGCGTCAATGTGCTCTTCCTCCGTCATCTTCACGCCAAATTTGTGTCTCTCCATCTTTTCATCTTCATCCTTTTCGTCATCCTCGTCTTCCTCATCGCTTGACTCCAAACAATAATCTGGCAATCCATAATCATAATCACAGCCCGCCCCATCATGGCTCAGATAATGCGTCTCCCGCTCACCATCAATCCATCTATTCCACAGCCTGTCCAATCTTCCGAATAGATCCCCCAGCGTCAGAAACAACGGCTCGCCCGGCCGTTTGTTAACTACAGTCTCGTTCTCGATGAGGTCCGAAGAGTAGCGGCTAGCGTTGGGATCGTCATTGCATCTTGCCTCGAGCGAGAACGGAATACTCGCATCGTCTGAGCAAGAAACATCCCAATTGATCCTACGAGCCTCGGGGCGGTACAAGGAGATGTGGCCCCAAACATGTTCGGACGACTTGTGCGCCTCGCACCATTGACGCAGAGCGCGCAGAAGCACAGGGCGGAAGCTAAAGTACCCCCCGAAGCCCCACGTGTCCATGTCCTGAGCTGGGTCGAAAGATAAGCTCGGATCATAGGGAACGTCTTTCATAATGTTCGCCATGATGATGGGGTGCAGGTGCTTGGAGATGTTGTAGATGTACCGCTTGGTGTCGTAGTCTTTTGCAGCCTTGGAGGCATATGGATAATTAGGATCATCTGCGCTCAGTTTAGGTATGAGATCGTCAGGCTGGACGTGCTGAGTGGGATCCGGGAAGTCATTGCGTAGCCATGCCTTATACTGCAAAAGAGGAGAATCGGCAATAAGCTTGTGCCATGTGCGGTTCACACGTTGATAGTGGATTATGTCGAAAGGCGGGAGCTCGGAGATAATATGTTCGAGAAGTTCAGGGATATAGAAGACAGCTGAGGCAGCTGGCATGACTCTGGGATGGAGTAACCAATGCTGCAGTATGGGTGGTGTGCCTCAGTGTAGCTATGATACAGTAGTGTGGGTTCTGCGAGGCAATGTCTTTTCATCCGCGCGTTACCTACCCAGGTGAAGATGTCGTTGAATGTTGAAGGGAGTTTCAATCGCCGCTGAAATATACGAGTGTTGACTACGCCCCCACCAGGCAGACAGCCGCGCTAATCCGTGCTAGGCTTGATGTTCCTCATGCGCCCGAGTATCTAACGGACGCGACGGTGCAAATGCGTGAAGCAGGAGAAATTACTTAATGTTTCCGGGGAATCGCTGACTCGTGCATGTGGTGACTACGCGGTGATGAAGACAACTGCATCTCCTGGTGAGGCTCAGCTTACATCTACGCCGCTAACTAATTAGGCTCAAAGCATCTGATTGAGTGCTTAAATCTACTGAGTGATATTCTAACGTTATTCTTCCGCTTAACACTAAAGGACAGTGCAATTAGAGAGACGTCGTTAAATAGTTGTTTAATTCTTTGCGTACAGCAATCTTTCTTGCGTCGAAATGACCTAATACGCCGTGGTAGTCAATTTGGTAGCCTTAGGCCAGAGATATCATGGCGAAGAGTGGGCGCGCAGCTGCCCATCTATCCTGCATGGTGTGCAAGAACGCAACTATCTTACTCTTTTCTTGTCCGGGCCCTTCAAGCATCGAACAGTTCCAACTACCTGTTCAACCTGGACTTCCCAGCATTGAAGGAGAACTCGCTCGCCATCCGAAAAGCAGATGGTCATTGCGCGCCCTGATCTTCGGGGTCACGGTATTGAATACCTCCGACTATGGGAACATGGTATAAAAAGAGCGATATGTAAGGATTCAAGGTGCAGACCTACTATAGGTAGCAGACCTAAAGTTGTCATGTCCTGTACATATGTGACCAAAACATTTGTGAAGAGGCGCTCCTGGACTTACGGTCAACTAATCATCTCTCATGATGCAAACTGAACAGAGTCGTTGCATTGATAGTGGGGTAGATGCTTTCGTCTCAGATCAAACACAGAACACTGCCAACTGTAGCATGGTTGTTCCTACAAGATGGCAACTGGCAGCTGCCAAATGAGTGCATTGGGAAAACGGTAGTTCGAAGACAGAAGAAGTAGCCATCATGACTTCACGATAGCTGTTGAAGATAGAAGAAGTGGATCTGAGCCGAAGAGGTGAGGGGAAGGGGTTCGACTGTTGTATCGCGGAAAGGATTGCCAGATTGGGAAGTTACAATGAGCAGCAGCTCTTGCTGTTTGTGCAAAGAGCGGTGAACGTCTAGCAATGACTGAAGAGGCATCATGATCTTGCTATGGAACTTGTTGTATTTCAATTGAAGGCGATAGAAATGGGTATATAACATCAAATGCGATAGTGACACGTGAATGATGATGCGCATCCCCAGATTCGGCACGTGTCGGCGTCTCTTCCGAGCCTCGGCCCTACCCGCGCAAGCTGGCGGCCAGCATTCCACCATGACAGCGGCTCCGCAGCTATCGCCAGCGCCATGCAAGACGTCGCGATCCGCCACAGGCCTTCTCTGCATTCCATTCATTGCAAGCATCCTCTGTGCAGGTTCCATTATCTCAACGCCTTTGGATGAGGCGAGCCCGATAAGACGAGAAGTCGCGGGGTGGTCGCGCTAATTGAAGCCCGCCATCACCATGTCCGACTCCGTAGGTACGTCTTGCTGTACGATAGCCTAGAGTTTGGGAGTATTTGCTAATATGGTTGCCATGTGCAGATAGAGTGTTCAGCCATGCGCTCAACACGGTCAACAAGATCCGCACCGGATCGCAGAAGCCGCCGTCGGCGACGCGATTGCAGCTGTACGGGCTGTACAAGCAGGCCATGGGTACGCCGACCCCTTGCGCGCGCCCAATCCGCGCCTAACATGCATTAGAGGGCGATGTAGATGGGATCATGGAGAGACCAGATGGAAACAGCGAGGAAGCAAAGCGCGCGCGCGAGAAATGGTATGGCACGCGACTCTGCACAAGTCCGTAGATGCTGACATGGGGAACACAGGGACGCGTGGAAACAACAGAACGGGCTCTCGAGAACCGAAGCGAAGCGGCGATACATTACTACGCTGATCGACACAATGCACAAGTTCGTCTCGCCGTCACCCGACTCAAGAGAACTCGTTGCTGAGCTGGAGTTTGTGTGGGACCAGGTCAAGTCCAATGTGCCCTCCTCGTCGTCCTCATCGCCCCTGCAGAGCCAGACACTAGGGTCTATGGGCATGCACATTCCGCCAGACTATCAGGGGTACGCAAGCAGAAGAGGCGACAAAGGAAAGGCCCGAGCCGTGGGACTGGGCAACCAGCAGGATGAGGACGACGAAGGCCCATTGCAGATCAAGAGCCCCATGAGCCAGAGCGAGGAAGACCTGGAAGACGAAGAAGCAGAGGCCGAGCGCGAAGAAGAGTTCGTGGATGCGCCGGACTCGCAGTACAATGCCAACTCGGAAGACGCCGCCGTGCAGACCAACCTCAGGCCCCAAGAGCCTATTCCATATACACCCTCGAAGCCTCCCCAACAGCGGAGCTTCATGTCGCGACTCACTCCTGCCATCACACCCGCGCCTGCGCAGCCGTCACGCGAATCCGCCGCAGACAAGAAGTGGCGGGCACGCGTGGAGCAGGCCCTCGTCAAGATGACAGCCGAGGTCGCTGCGCTGCGGGAACAGCTCGAGTCAAGACAGCTGTTCAGTCATTCCCGGAAGTTCCTCTTCCTGAGGTTCATCTGGAGAATCGTATGGGGAAGCGTGAAGCACATCGCCATCGACATTGTTATCCTAGGCCTAGTCCTGCTGTGGATGAGAAGGAACAAAGACAGGAGGCTGGAAGGCGCAATACGTGTGTTGCTGGGCGACGCCGTTGCACAGGTCCAGAAGGTTGGCGGAGCACAGTTGGGCAAAGTCAAGCTGCCTAATCTGGTGGGAAAGAAAGGCGGGAGCAGTTAAAGTGCTGGTACTGCGCGGTTTGTACATAGATTAGAGACGGTTATGATGTGATATGTGACAATGAAGGCTAGGATTGAAGAATCTCCGTTCCATGGCCCAGTCCTCCGGCGTCAAACGCATTCACGGATGCGCCCAACCACTATGGGGAGGTGTCGATGGTGCTCAATTCCAACTTTATCAGAAGGATAAATTAATATTCCCTTTACGCGATAATAGTGATTCAGGCTTATTAACAGAGAGTAGGAGGCGCGTGAAGTCTTTTTCTATAAGGAGTAGGAGTATAATTTAAGCTTAATGTTCGTTCAGGGAAGGGTCAAACCGCGGAAGGTTCCAAGGTTGAGTTAGCGTCATGTGACCTGGCGATTGCCAATGTCGCACACGGAAAGTGGAGACGCGACACAGCAGAGACAAACAAAAACCCTCAAATAAATGCCCTTCGATCCACACAACCCAACACACCCTTTTCAAACTCACTCAGGTAGGGCTTCCCATCATGGCCGATTACAGCGAGGACTATCGCGACTACGAACTCGACGAATACGCAGACCCCAGTCCCTTCAACATCTCAACGAAGCTAGTCACTGGCTGCTCAGTCTGCAATAAGAAAGACGACCTCAGCCGTTGCGCTGCATGCAAAATCATATACTACTGTAGCCGTGAGCACCAAGCAGCCCATCGCAAGGAGCACAAGTCAATCTGTAACAAGATCAAGAAAGCACAGGAGGTAAGGGAATTGCTGCTGCATGCCGAGTGGGGACGCTGACAAAGACTGCACTTACAGATATGCGACAAAGAGGAAGCAGAACTGCGTGCAGCCCCGGGCGGCCCGCTGAGCTGGGCGAATCCATTTGAGACGGCTCCCGGCCATTTCTGGGGTATCGTGGAAACCCGTCCGTACATGCGTGCGCGCTTCTCTGTGTAAGTATTCATTAATCGAGGAGCTTGGAAGATCATACTCATGCGTCAGCTGCAGTGTAGATCTTCAGATGAAAATCAATACGCGGGCAGCAGTGCAGGCTGCGCTGAACAACATCATGGACATGCTTCGTCTATGCCGTGGCGACAACATGGGCTTGCGGGATATCGCCCCCGGACTAATGCTGCGGCTCGCTCGGGACCAGGCATGCTACGACTTCGTCAAATGGTGGGAATGGCGGTACAACCAGTCCGACTACGACTCTGGCGACATGAATGCGCCATATCTTGATATCAAAGATGCAGACGTCTTCGAAGCGCCTGATCTCTTCACCAACACAAGGTTTCCCAATCTTTCGCCGCTTCTCGACGTTACGCTGCTCAAGATACGCCTGCTTATCGACCTGAAAGCCTTGCAACGTGTAAACCTAGAAGCAGGTCCACATGTTCCACAGGAAATCCTGGACACCATCAACGCCCACGCCGTTAGCTCCGTGATCGCGGGAAATCGGGAGATCCTGGAGCGAAAGGATCTCGCGCCACAGATCTCGGAGCTGGAGAAGCAGATTAGGAAGCTGTACGACACGGTGCAAAACGCAAATAAGTACATTTGGATGGCTATGGTCAAGCCAGGAAACCATCTCACTGCTCGACCTGCATACACGAGTGCGGGAACAATCAGAGAGATGCAGCTCAAGTTGCAGTACATCTACAATGCTTGGTCAGAGACTCCAGGAGCTATTGGTGTCATTGAGGAGCTGCAGAAGAGCTCCGGGGCAGCCCAAGAAACGTGATCGGATATCGACAGTCATGCTCCAAACTTCCACCAGACCTTTACATGCAGTCCTCGAACCTTGCCTTCAAGTGATACCATGACTCTAGCTACCTCTTTCCCGATCTGTCATTACATTTCACAGCGTGAAGAAGCTCAAAGCTTCGGCTGGGTGAACAGGAACGGTATGGCCCACACCCAGAGCACTATACCCAGTCAACTTCGTCCCATCTCCGTAAGTCATCCGAGTATAACCAGCCTGCGGCGTATTTGTCGAATTCTTCGCAAAACTGACAGCATGCACATTACTCCACTCTTTCAACTCCTCGATGAAATTCTGGTACACAACAGTAGCGTCGCTTGTCCCATGCCAGATTTGCATTCTCGGCCACGGCCCCGCAAAGCCAGGATTATATCCACGCACGATGTCGCCCCACTGCTGCGGCGTTTTGACAATCCTGCCCAAGCCGCAGGGATCGTACGGATTCGGCGGCGTGCCATCTGGCACCGCCATGCAGCCGGCTGCATCCCCAGAGTACACGGAGACAGCGGCGAAAACGTCGGGATATACAGCGGCGAGCACGTTGCCCATCATCGCTCCCGACGATGTGCCGACTACGTAGACGCGAGCGGCATCGGCAGAGTACGTTGAAAGCGCATAGTCGACCTGTTGAGCTTCAGCACTTTACTCATGCCCAAAGTACGACGACGCAAATATACCATACCATCTGCACAATACTTTGGGGGTCTCCACCTCCATCGCGCATAAGGCTTTTCTTCGTGCCGCAGTCCCAGCACAGTAAATCGTGCGTAGACGATGGGTAAATGAGTATAGCGCCTTTCTGCTTGGCCAGTGCGGGCAGATTGTTGTCTTTGTAGTATGCTTGTGCGGACCCGTGACATCCATGAAGCTATATTGAAACATATCAGCGCGTTTTATAAGGTTCTCTCCGGGATCAACGGCTTACTGCGAATATTATGGGCGCTTTGGGGGCTACGTTCGCTGGCACCTCAAGCCACATCTGAATGCCGGATGGGTTGCTTCCGAAATCGGACACTTGGGTGAGGGCCGCATTTGTAGAAGCGAGAATGAAGCAAGTGAAGATGAGTTTGAGGACAGGCATAAACATGGTTGAGAACGAATTAGTCGTGCTAATTGTTGCATCGACATCTGTAGATGAGGGCTTGCAAGCTATACACCCACATGCAGTGGGTCACGTGGCAGGGAACGACTGTATCAATCGATCTTGTTAAAAGTCGGTCTCATGAAACCGACCACGTCCACTATTACATGGTTCATCAATAACCTTTCAATGCGGTCCTCGTACCGATGGAGAGTAAACGCATGTAGAAGGCACTATTGACCCCTGTGTAGCATCCTGGACCTAGTAGCCAGCAACCAACCAATAACCGCACTGCCTCGCTGTAGTGATCTCGGTGAACTACGGATCGCGCCTGACACTGATGCAGGTGGCTGACATGTTAAGAATCAAACTCTAAATCACTATGTAAAGTAGTCACCGCTTAGTGCGAAGTTTTGTAAGGATGTGTTGTTCGGACTAGAGAGCACCGAGCGGCAATGACCAGAAGCGGGGTATGTTTGAGCAACATGGACAGTCGCGCACTGAGATGCAAGGCTCATGTTATCGGTCTCGCCGCCATGTTCAATCTCGCGTCGGTGGTCTTTGCTGTTAACACCTTCGGCACTTGCTCTTCCGCTCAATTGGCGGCACATTGGACTTCGCCATTGACAAAACCATGGAAGCATACGTCCCGGAAGTTGTCTTAACGCAGACCTAGGCAGACCTATGACGAAGGTTTTTGGTGTGCATATCTTGTGGAGGAGTGAGACGTCATTCACGTTCTCATATTCTACTTGTTTGACACGAACACCGAATCTGGGCTTTTCACCTCGCATGGTAGCTGAAAATGGATCTCAAAGACACGACTTGTATTAGGTCGAGTAGTCTGTTCGACGTTACCGAAAGTGATCAATGGGTGATCTATTCATACAGCAATCGGCCTTTGGTTGGTAGAAACGGAGGAAAATATTATCTAACGTAGTGTACCTCCAAGCAGCTAATGATAGCTGTCGCTGGCAAGGCAAATGAGCCGCTATGTTGTGTAAACAAGGTGTTGCCCACGAATATCCAGCCATGATTCACGTTGTCAAACGCACTTCGTCGGGGAAAAGCCGTTCTTTTATTCATATAAGAAGGGTATCGTGACGCAACTGCAAATCACCCGGCCATCTACCATCCTCCGGGTCCACCACGCCCACCTCCGCCGTGTTGTCCCGGACCTCCGAATCCCCTAGGTCCACCTCCACCGTGATGACCGCCCGGACCTCCCATCCCTCCACCACCATGATGCCCTCCTGGACCTCCCATTCCTCCACCTTGATGTCCTCCTGGTCCCCCCATTCCCCCACCAAAGCCGCCAGGTCCACCAGGTCCTCCCTGATGGCCGCCTCCCATGCCACCAAAGCCGCCTTGAGGTCCACCTCCTATCATACCGCCTCCTCCCTGGTGCCCTCCTCCCATGCCACCAGGCCCGCCACCGAAACCTCCCTGAGATCCACCTCCCATCATGCCACCTCCTCCCTGATAGCCGCCGCTATGATGACCACCATGTTGAAAGCCTCCTTGTGGTTGTCCTCCGAAACCGCCCTGTGGACCACCTTGGTTTTGGTATTGTTGTTGCTGCATGGGAGGTTGGTTGTTTGCGTAGTGTTGATTGTGCTTTGGATCCTTGTGGAGGACTTTCTCTTCCAGTTTGTGCAGGAGGCCCATGGTGATGAGATTGGCCGGTTACTGTTTTGTAGAGTTGAATAGGGAGATGGTCTTCCTGCGTGGAGTCGCAACGAGTCTTCTGTGTATACTGTGACGATTTCGGGTAATTGTGGGGGCAGTCGATGTAGTCAAAGTTTGGGTTGTGCGTGAAATGCTTTTTCCGACTTTGGTGTGGCACAGAGTCCCTAATAAACGACCGTTCAACGCCTGAACAAGAAATTGTATGTGCCGCGTCATCTGCCCTAACGGTGGCTTTTCTGGGAAAACAACGTCCTGAGGTGTTACGCGGCATGACGATGTAGCGCCATAGGTGCGCCACAGCACAGCGAAATGGACCCACTTAGTTCGGGTCGATCGGGTTGAGGCGCGCATGGGTACGCACGCGTGGTGCTGGAAACTTGATCCCCAGTGCTGGAATGTGGTCATAACATTCTCCCGAGCGGACTGAGTCTTTGCTTCATGCCGGCTTCGCTTGATGTTGTACATTACTTTGTTTGCTCTATATTCGGGCCGATTCATGGCAGGGAGCGATGATCATATTAGCACACCTTAAAACTGAGTACCGTACAAGACAAGCTTGTCATATGCTACTTTAGATAAGCCGACCATAATCTCGGAGTGCTGACTTCAATATTACTGCCAAACATTCACGGTTGAATTTGGTGTCGCATCGAGTTGAAGAAATTAGTGAACAGGGTGAGGTACGAGTTGCAAAGACAACTACTAAGTTGACATGAAGCGCAAGAGACCTCGTCCCATCAAGTTTTGTAATGCAGCAATCAAGAGAACATCTATCCGCGCGAGATGTTGCAGCCAGAATCCTTGCCCAGCATCCGTATCTTACTTTGGCTGCGCCCCCACGGGCAATTGGATGGTCCGGTAACCTCAATATTAAACATATCCATCGCTTCCTCCATCTCTCGACACCATGGCGTCTCTAGATCCAATACTTATCATTGGCGGCTTTGATAAGGTTTTTCACAATGACTAATACTTTCGACATCAGCAAAGCAAAGGCGTGACTTGGATATCCATCGTAGTGGACAACGTAGGAGGGTATAGACAACGCCATACATACGCTCCTGCAGTCTCAGGACAATAAGATATCTATGTGAATGACCAGAGTGCAGGGTGATCCCTCTATTCTTTTGAGGCACAAATGTGTATATGATAGACCGGACTATCCCAAGCTTGGGGAGACCTATCTACTAACGATTCGCTAATTCTTTTGGCGATTCCGATTTGGAGCCACATGAGTTTCCACCTGATAACGTTGTGTCGCCAGAGATGCTCCCTGTTCGGACCTCCTCGTTGTGTATCGTAGGTAAGCTAATGGTACGAAATTTGAACCGTGAAGCACCAAATGCAAGCAGTGCATGCTCCATCAGCGGCTTAAGGAACGGGGCACAAGCCGCAATGACCAGCCCGATCTCCTCGACGCGATACCACCACAAAAGTGGCACCCAATCCCTGAATTGCGCCTCTCGTGGGTTCCATGAATGGATGTGGTAGATTTTCATTGCGCTGGCGAGGGCTGCGATAAAGCCAAAGCTCATAAGTAGAATCCCAAGCATGCGCTCTAAGAAGGGGCGATTCAACGACCAAAACAGATGAACAGGCATGCTAGCAAAGACGAGGTCGCTCAATGTGCCAAAGCCTGCTGTGAGTCAGCGCTTGCCGAACAGTGGTGACTCCGGAAACGCACTTGCGTATAGGTATCCGTAAACCTGAGAGACCTTAGCTGACCAGCATACTGCGTTCGGCACCGGCTCCCACTGGGCACGGATGGGGCGGCACTGCAGTATTTCGAAGAGATTCGCACCAATGGGCATAATGATCTGGATGACGATCAGGATCCGGAGGGTAATTCGCCAGGCCTTAGAAATAGGAAAGCGAAGGAGCATGCTTCCTATCGATATCCGCGCCAGTGATGACGCCCAGAATGCTAAGAGACCCAGAGAAAAGAACAGCTTTCCGATTGTGATTCGGGCTGTTGGAGAAATGTATTCGTCGTACCCTGACACGCCAAGCGTGATGGCGCGTAGTAGAAGAGATATTGTGATCAGTTCGCATACCTACAGTCTCCGTTTAGAGTGGGAGCAGAGATGCGAATGTTGGAGTCGACTTACGAGCCCGATCGTCGCGAAGTAGTCGGGGGCAGCCAGCTTGAACGTAGGACGCATCCTAGTGTACATGCGAATGGCGTAGGTGAAAAGGGCGAATGAGAGTAGAAAAGATACTCCGACAAGTCCAGGAGTCGCATTGCTGGCATTCGGCTTCGTGTGCTGTTCTGTCGCCATGATTTGGACATACGTGAGATCTCTAAGTCAATTGATAGCTCATGGGGCATTCAAAGAGAGGGGGAGACGATTCTTTATGCATCACTGCGGAATGTGGTTCTCTTTTGGCACTTTGACCACGTGCTGGCAAGCGGAATGTGGTTGGATGTCGTTGCTGCATTCGTATGCGTCGGAGGGAGTGTCAGCACGTAGTCCGCAGCTTGGTCGGACTGCGAAGAACTGAAAAGTCTTCGCTTTCATGTAGACTTAGTTAGGGTATTCTCACATCCTAATCGCGGGGACTTGAGCGTGTAGACGCAAGCTCGGCATGCACACGTTCGAGACAATGAGAGATTAGCGCGCAATGTACTCCTATGACCAAACGATTACGCTGATCTACTGCGATAAGCTTGTAATGTACGCATTTTTGATTGGATAGTGGAAGACTCTCGACCGGGAGCATAGCATGTGACCAAGGAATGAGATCTTAGACAATAATCATTTTCAGTAATCATTTTCTGTCTAAGACTTACTGTTGCAGTGGTGACTGCTAACGGCTGAATTCTTCTAAGTCCTTAGGCTCCACAAGAAATACCACCCTATGACTGAGTTCATCTTGTATCACAGCGGCGTACTGCTGGTCCGTACTTGAGATACGTGTTGGGAAAAGGATACCGGTGTCAGTCTTGCCTAAGAACTTGGCAAACTCTCTGAACAGTGCAGACCTGGAGTAGACTACTTGGAGACAATGGGGAAGAGAAACTGCAGCAATGGCGACATAGATAGATTGCCAGCCTAGAATGCGAGAAAGCTACAGTTGTACAAATCGAACATATTCGGCTAAATCGCCACCAAAACCCATCTCCACCGCTACACTGCTATATGCACATCTTGTGACGTAGAATGTTTACGGCGAGCTTATTTGACAGTCCAACGCCCTGAGTACCCTCCGTCGATGTTTAAAAGACCCACGTTCTTGGACGAGTTAGAATTGCTAGCTTCCCAATTGCCGGCGGTGAAGGAAATCCGCGTATCGCCCACCACAAAATTGTCGATGATGAGTCCCAATTTATCCGGCGAGTTGTCGCCCAATGCGATCGCTTGATTTCCATTGGAGGCGTCTGTGAAAGATCTGAAAGCGCTCACGCCCACCTCAGTAGTAATAGGAGATAATTCCTCAATCCAAATGTTAGAGAAACTCATCGTGTCGATGTTCTGGAGAGGATTGATGCCCATGAGTGCTGGGCAAACCCCCTCACAGCGCCAGTTGCTAATCGTGTAGTTGGACAAATGCTTCGTTATGTCGGCGACGGATGTAGATTCTTGGTTAACGTAGCTGGCTGCAGACGCCACGAGAGCTCGGGGCCAGAGCGCTGACTGCGAATTATATCGAGTATGGATGACATCTACGCTATCAACGGTGACGTTGTCCACGTCTCGTTGGTACCAGCCGAACTGGACAATGGGCGCGTTGTTGGTCTTCCAGATCGTCATTCGCTCACAGAGCACGTTGCTATAGTACGTCTTGATGGCGTCGTCGCCAACGTGGTAGAAGACGTCACGGATGCGAGATCCCGGGTACATCTGGAGACCATCTGTCTGTCCGAAAAAGGCACCGACTTGCTTATAGTCGGATGCGTCCACAGTGAACGACTCGGGATCGGCTCCGTAGAAGTCCATGCTGTTGAAAGGGGGTGCGTTCATCGTTAAGCCATTGATAGTCCATTTGGCGCCACTTGCAGCCTGAGCTCGCCACATCTTCAAAGACGTGTCATCAGACTTGATGTTTTGGTAACCCTGAGCTGTATTGGCTTGGTAGAGGTACTGTTCACCAGACAGAACTCCAAAGCCTGTAGCCCGTAAGTCCAAGCTCTGACTGTTATATTCAAAGGCACCTTTCACGTAAGCTCCGGGAGCAAGGTAAATCCATGATACCGAACTGGAGAGGTTCATGTGCGCTGAGCCTGTGCACCAGTAAACGCCCGGACCGAAATAAAGTACTGACTCTTCTATGGTGTCCAAATCCGTGATCAAACCTGGCGTAACGTTGTAGGTATTCGTCGTGATGTCAGGCACGTACTGGTCGGCTGGAAATGGGCTCATAAAGACCATCAAGGCGTTAAGAGGCTCTACACCAACAACCGGCATGGAGCTGGTGTAAGACTCAACGTAATTCAGACCATCTGAATTCTTATTTTGCACATAGTGCGAGTCACCACCCCCGCCGGCATTGCGATACTCCCATAAGTTGTCCTTGAACTCGACAGAGAAACGATACCCAGTAGCACTATGCGGGACAGCGATAAGCAGGCTATCATTGCTACTCTGCATGCTGAAATCGAGGGTCTGCGGCCTGATGACAACATCTGACGGATTGACTAAGCCTTGGTCTGAGCGGGCGATTTTGACGATGCTTCCACCATTAGCGAGATACTGAGTCCAGGCCATGTCGGCGCCGATGTCTCCTTCGATGGTGATCTGATCATCTACATCGCAGCTAATTGAGGGCTTTGTGGGGTCACAGATGTTGCCATTGCCGTTTCGAGGGATGCTCTCGTACACAAATGAGTCATAGAAGTCGGTAGGAGTTGATGCGCTTGCGATTTGGACTGAGTACACGTGGGATTGGCGGACATTTTCCGGTCGCACAGCAGTCTTTGTGTTGATCTCTCCAGTGCTGTGCCACCAGGTTCGAAGGTTCTCTGAGTCTGCGGTCCGGTTCACGCTGGCAGCTGTAGCCTTGTTAGCCGTTCAACTTGGTCAAAATGTTCTCATCTGCACGTACCACGCTCCGAAAATTTGTTGGTATGGGCATTGGCAGTAGGAGCGCTCGCCAATATCAAAGCAATGCCAAAGGCTTGAGAGTAGGGTTTGAAGTGCATTTCGAAACCAAACGTTGCAGTGATTTAGTGTGCGTGGCCCAATATTGACATCTGGTGATGACTGTGAGCAAAAGCTCCGATGGTCGCAAGACTACATTTGACCGGAGTTCACGTTGCCATCGGTCCTGAGCTTTTCCAGATATCGTGCTTTGGCGGCGTTTCAAGCTCGAGCTAGTTCATCTTCCGCTAATTTTGGGCCTCCCATCCTCTGATTCTCTTCCGGACTCGATCACATACAAAGGTGGAGGCGCAATTAAAGCGATGAGGCCCACCTAAATCTTGTTTCGCGCTGTCCGGAGATCATTATCGGGCAATGGAGGGGTGGCTGTGCCCATGTTATAGTCCTAGATCGGATTCCACGACCAATCGGGTCCCTGGCCGTCGATCTCGTTTCAGATTTTGTTTGGCCCCCATCTGCTCATCGTGGTACCAAGGAAGCTTCGCCTGCGGATAGGGGCGCACGTACAGCGAGTTCCTGCGTCGAGGCGCGCACGCCGTCGTCTGTTCTGGAATTACCCATTGGTGATGTAGTGGTTGCAGTTAGGTTGCGCAACGTTTGGCATATGCGTCTTCAAGTCCTGCTTCTGCTGCAACTCCTCTTGCGAACTCCACGCGCACCATATCTTGGCTAAGAGCACTTCAGCCCGTTTAATGCTCTGTTTAAAGATAGGAAATGCAAGAAGCTCATTTACCCATACCTTGCCACTGGGCGCCTTGTACGGTGAAGTTGATCGCTAGGTCTGGGCTTTCGGCTGATTTCATTGGTGGAGAGATCATGGACTGTAAGTTTAGAAGATCAGCCTGTGACTGGAAGATGACGAATGATTTCCGGGCTAATGCCATTCTTTGGAAGGACATAGTATGAGCGAGATTATCCAGGTATTGAGAACTCAGAAGAGATGGAGCTTGAGTGAAACAAGACCCAAGTGCTTGAGCTTGTCTTTCTATACCCATCTTATCGTGCGCAGATAGAACGATGACCTGCAGATGTCTTTAGGGACTCTCGGAAGCCTTTCTTGTGCCATTTTTCAGAGCATGTTGTACAATCTCAACTGTCCATTCGGGAGCTGGATCCTTCACGGTCAGATGAGGTGCTGTTACTCTGTGTTCCTCCAGGACTGGAGAACAAGAAAAACATCATCAAGCACCACGTGCTATAGTGACATTAGGCTTGTTCAGATTCTGTTTGATTCGGGAACGAATGTGGCTTGTAAAATTTGTTCCCGCCTTACAGAGAGGGTCTACAGAAGCCCGAAGAAGGCCTTTGATAGGCTATGGCATAGGCTCAAGCGGGAATTAAGATCACTTGACTTCTGTGGAGAAGCCCAGGGTGCGCATGACCGCACATGCTCTACTGATTACAACGCCCGGTAATTGAGACTCTCAAATTTGAATGACTGCGCAAAACTCTCGTGCCATGGAAGATGGCGGAAAGGCAACCGCAGTCTGTACATTTCGTAGTGAGGGGGGCAGGGTGAGTATATATGTACAACAATGTGAGGGCCGCTAACAGTATGGCAAACTGAGTACAACTACACAAAAAGACAGATGACTGATTTGCATCTAAGACGTTTTTATTTCTATCAGCTTGAATAATGCATATTTAGATTTTCATCCTAGTAATCCCCGGCTCTTGACTCAGATTTCGACACTCCATTCATAATCTGCTGTGCCATCCATGCAGCCCAACTGTCCACATCTCTCGTATCCTCCGCTTCTCCATCCCGCAACGGCGGAATCACATTACTCCCCTTGAGCCTTTGCACAGTAGCCCCCTTCTCTGCGCGGACGAGATAAGCCAAGCTTTGACGCGGTAGTTGCGCCTGAGTTCCTGGAGGGGACACAACGCGATGGAGTGAGCTTCGAAGCAATCCACCAGTCCACTCTGTCAACGTATCTGCAATGTTGATGAGAGCACAGCCCGGCTGTGGCCGAATGTAACGCCAGTTCTCATCTACATTCTCCGACCCAGCGGGTAGGACTTGAAGGCCACCAGCGACATTGAAAAGGAGCGTGATGATGCCGATATCTGTGTGGCCTCCAAAGTTGATGCGACGAGGGTCTTTGAATGGCTGCGCCGGGCTCAATAGTAGACGCACAGTCGTAGCGGATGGTTTGTTCAAATTGCAACGTGCGGCCAGCGTGCCTGGCTGGAGATCTAGGCGTTTGTCTAAGTGACTCAAAATAACACTGACCGCAGCAAACGCAGCTTGAAAGAAGCCGCGACAGTTATTGCGGCTGGTTTCGATGGGCTCGGGATTGGATAAAGGGAGGATGTTCCCTAGGATATCGTCTTGGCTTAGGGTATACACCTCTATGCTGTCTCTCGTATTGTCATCCACCCTCAGCATGCCCTTACGCTTGTACCTGGTTGATGCGTGTTAGTCGAAATTCCTTTTGCTCTTGTACTGCACTTTTCTATGTACATACCCTATCAAGCTACGCGGAGCGTCGCAAGCATACTTTTCGAGAGTTTGCTGATCGAGAGTCAAGGTTTCCTCGATGAGATCGAACATCTTTCCACCATATTGCAACAATGTCTTCCCCTGCTGAGATTCATTCAGGTTGAGGAAAAGGAACCCCTCTTTCCTACATGCCTGATAGAGTCTCAAGGATTCTTCGTCCGACCCTGTCTGAAGCTTTTTCAGTGATATCGTAGGGATGTCGGCTACAGGAATAGCGGAACCAGACGGGAAAACGGGATATTTGGAAAAGTGTGTTGATGTCGGCATGGTGTATACGAGGAAGCGGTTGTGCTTTTGATGGAATCAATGCACGGCAGGTGGTGGATAGGAACCAGCTTCGCCACCTGGGCACTGCGGCGTAGGCACTTTGCGGGTATTGACAGCTTAAAACAGAGACAAAGCTCACCCGCCCCACCATCAAATGATAGCATGATGTGTTCTTGTCTTATGCAGTGTAACAGGGCAGTGCCACACGCCTACGCCCACCTCAACGGCCACCCCTCGTCAGAATCTACGTACTCGCACGTGCAACACAGCCTGCAAGAGAATCTCGCCCGATCAGGGAACGTAAACTAAGTAGATTAGGGTTAGCGCGTCGCTGGGCTTGTCAGCAGGCAACTCACGCACCGTGCCGCCGCCCAAGCATTGGCTTCCAAAGCTTTACCCACCAAGCACTACCGGTGGCTTACGGAAGCTTGCGCTCACTCACTTTGGATGACAATTAACGCAGTCGTGACCTGAAAGCAATCTTGCTCTGCGATACAACACCAAGATTCTCAGCTTGTCACCAGTCAATCAACCATGCCACCAAAACTCCCGATCAGCCCAACGGAGGTGATGAATCTTGAGTCTTCGTCTTCCTCGTCGAGATTGATCACACTACCAACAGATATATGCATTGGCTCCGGTATTTACCCTTCGTCCTGTTCGAGGTTCGCTTCGCTAACACCGGGAAAGGAAGTTCTGGGGGTCTACTTGCGTGCTTAATGACGAAGCATGCTGCCTTACACGCAGCCCAAAATCCCAAAACGAAGTATCAGACAGACGTCCGTGCGGCTCATATCCAGTTTTATCGCCCCATGTTCCCAGCTAAAGACCCTCGCGTTCAACTTCAGCTTCGAGAGGTCAGCATTGGCAAAGGATGGTCGACCTTTCGCTAGAGTTAACTCAAGGACCGGACGCAAAGGTGGCAGCTTCAGCAGACGTCATGTAAGTCTCACTGCCGCGAACTCCAGGATGCGGCGTAATTGACCGGTCTCAGAGTCACTCATTTTGCGATACCCAGGAAGACACTGCCAACGAACTGGGAGCTATCGCCTCCCGCCCATAGAGTAGACCTTTCCAAGCTCGAGACTTTAGAAGACCCCGCGTGGGCGTGCTACCATACTGCGTTCCATCCTAACGGGTTCCGAAGAGGTATGGCCTACATCAAATATCATATTCCAGTTAAGATACCATCTCAAGTCAAGTTCGTTGAGCAATGGGTATCGCCGGGCTGGGACTGCATTCCAGGCGGATCCCGGGACGCCAACACCGAGAAAGCGATATGGACAAACGAATTGATCCAGTTCGCAGTGGACCTCAGTCTGCCCGTGCAGGAGAACTTCTGGCCTCCACCTGGTGTTAAAACCTCCCTCGGGAGTATTGTCGCTACTTTGGCATTTTCCGCAAGACAGGAATAAGCACGGATGAATGGTCATTCCAACTGGAGGGAGCTGGCCGATGATGGGTATCTACCTGAAGTGGGACCCGGGTTGTTCAAGAATGCCATGATAAACGTGACACTAAGCATTTCTACTGAGATCAAGAAAAAGCTGCCGAAAGAAGGGGTTCGGTGGCTGTACATGCGTACGGAAGCCAAGAGACTTGAAGGAAGCCGGATGGACTTGGAAGTTCTTTCGCTTGATGAAATTATGGATCTCGTCGCAATCAGTCATCAGGTCGCTTGGATTGTCACGGGCGTCGAGAAAACCCAGAGAACCTCTAGCCTTTAGCATACACAGGCGCACTTGTATCTGTATAGTTAACTCGATGATCCTGCTCATACCGCTCTCGACATCCGGCTTAGACTCGGTTACATGGCCAAGGACGGAGCATTTCGCTGCATGACACCGATCTCCTTTTCCCATTCTGCTTTTTCTTCACTCTACCCGCACTGGCTGGGACGTAGCCAACGGTGTCCCACCCCTCGGTTTGAACCTCTCCTTTCGCACGAAGCATACGTTACCCTGGCGAAGGGCCCGCGAACCGGGCCTGGCCCATGTCGAGTATGGTCCAGGAGCCGCTGAACCACACAGCGTTTCGACCTCTGCGTAGCACAGCCCTTTGGAACGTGCTGGGCCGTGACTCAAAAGAAGGCCCTACGTGATTGCGGGCTCCTCTCCTGGACCCCAGCAAGACTCTATACTGGGCCCAATCTATGTCCGTTCCCGGTTCCCAATGTCCGACTCCGGCCGAATTGTATAGATCTCTCTTGGTTGTCTCTTTTCGCGTCGCCGAGGAGGATTCGTTATGGATTCGCTGCGAGAAGACGTCGCGAAAGCCGTCGAGGAGTCGATGGTAAGTGAACCGGCGGCAGCACTCATCGCGGCGATCGCAACGAGCGGGCAGCTATGTATTCGTCGGAGGATCTGGGCCATCGCATCCCGAACTGAAGTTTAGGACCTTCTCATACAGCGGCGGAAGGGAGCGATCCAGCGTAAGACGACGGATTGAGGAAGGGTGATCGCTAAAGTCACATTGCATTACTGAGCAAATTGCGAGCTACGGTCAGAGCATCCGATAAGATCGTATCAAACGAAGGAGGGAATCGTGGTGTACGTGAAACTGGGAAGAGTCGGCGCGGACTGAATGCTCACAACACGCCCCGCTTTAGCGTACGGGTGGCTTGGCAGATTGTGCGCCACCCCAACATGATCGCTCGGCCAACACTATGAGGCTATAAGACGCGTACAAACAATATCATTACGAGATCTGCTAGATTTAAGGTCTCTAAAGCCTGTTGATGATTGCTAGCTACTTATGTCATATATTCTTACTTGCTGTTTTAGGGATACGACCTTTGCGCGTTGATGAAGTCCACGGGTTGGTGGAGCCGACGTAGCCTTAGTACCATCTCGGATAAGTACTTGATCATTCATATCGCTTCGGGCAGTATGATATGCGAGCTCATCTTCTTCGGCCTCTTGCGAAGGCCGAAAGGCGACTGCTGTGGCGAAGCGCCTTGCGCTAGCCAACATCTCCAGGGCTGCTACCCTTGGCTCACACCAAACCGCAGGACGAACTTTGGAACGCATGGGTTCCATTTACCTCCGCGATCCCTGATAATTATCTCAAAGATAGCAAGCACAAACGCCTATTACCCCAACTTCTCCGGCAACTTTTGCATCAAGCACTTCGACGAGGCCAACGGAAGCGAAAATGTCTACGTCAAGCATACTGCTGAAGGGCGGTTCAGTTCTTATTCCAGACGAATGGCTACACTATTAGACCTAGCTTCTATCCTTTACTGTCTTGGCTGCGTCCAGTATCGCTGTTGACGCTTTGAGAGCAATTTCCGAACCTAATCATTGGGTCCAAGATGTGAGAGGGTATTTCGAGAGGCACGGCCTCTACGTAAACGAGCCGGTACCTACCATTGTTTGTGTATCTTGCCACAGTTCTCTAGGTGCTTCTCCGGCCGCTATGGCGTATCGCCTTGCCGAGAAGCACAACTTAACGACTTCGACCATCAAAGAGACGACGCGTCTGCTACGTCATTATACCTTCCTAGGACCAGAATATCTGCCCCTGCGACCGGCTGGATCACCTCCGCATCCACATCTCCACGCGCAACCTGAGCCGCCATCTGTGAAAGGTCCACAGAGTAAAACGGAAGTCGTCGATTTGGCTCAATGACCATGTGTTAGGCAGCTTGGTCCTACAAAGCTTGAATAGCACAACTTTCTCCAACACCGCAACAAACTCGAGACAGCCCTTCCTGACCTGCTGTGCTGGGGTAACACGGCTGGCTTGAGACTAACAAACGCAATGCCCGCCAGCCTGGAAGAGTGTTGCTTGAGGGACGGCTGCATAAATTACTTGGGTCGTGTGTGGTAGGAGGAAGTTACAATCGAGGAAGTCTGGCACTGGATGCAGCAGATATCAAAGATGAACTCCCCGCCCCATCAAACGCTATTCGGACACAGGATGTACGAGTCGAGTTATTCGCAGTGGAACAAGGAACACCGTGGGATGCCCATAGATGTTTGCATAGCACAAGGTTGGTCCGAGAGACTTCAACGTCGGACTGGCGGAAATCGACGACCCAGAGCACGTGAAGGACAGAATAATGGAGTCATCCGAAGGCTGATTAACACACATAAACGTATTTGGGCCAGTTGGAAGTTCGCAGAAGAGACTAATCACTGTACAACTTTATGTTCTAGCGCTATCTTGATGCATAAGAGATAATGAGCGTATACGGTAATAGCAATGAGTAGATGTAAGAGATTTCAGACCGAACAGTATCCGACAATCTACTCTCTCCTAACACTGCCCCATCACCTAAGAAAGCAAGCCTAGCGTGTTCCTGCCGAGCACTGGGTAACACCTCTTCTTCACTCGTCCACTCGTCTCAGCAGGCGGCGGTCCAGGTCCAACATTCGTGATGATTAATTGCAGGTATCATCGTTGCCCGTGCCATTATCATTGCAGCCATGCTTGCAGCCCTTCTTGAACTTGATGACGCCGCTTTCTCCGCCTACGCAGTGGAACAGACTATTTGCGCCGTCCCAACCTCCGTGTCCAGCATCGTGCAAAGACTGATCGATCTGTTCTCGATAGTTGCCTAAAATGTAACAATTGCATGTCAATGAAAAAGGCACAGGGCAGAGAGACTGTGGGATGTATGGAATTACCAATGTCCAAGAGGGTGTGGCCACAGTAGTTCAAGCCGGGAGTGCAGTTTCGGCCAACGACGCCAGTGGCGAGGAGAGCGATGATGGGAGCGATGATGGAGAACTTCATTTTCGTTGAATGTCCAGTGAATGGTGGAGCTAATGCGATGTGTGGATATGTGGTCAACTGAATGAGGACCCGTGTGAGGTCTTTGCAGTGGAGTGACTTGTTGAGTGCGACATTCTGGGGGTTTATATACACCTGAAGATACTAATAGTACATAACATTACGTGAACAAGGCCTTTTATTTTGTGTCATTTATCAGGTAACTTCTGGGACGATTGATGCGCTGTGTGTTAGGCTTCCCACGGCGACCTCCATGTGAGTGTACTTAGGTACTCGGCAGGTACATCACTACATTACTAAGGCTGCAGGTCAAACGAAACAGGACAGACTAGACTACTTCGATATAACGAATTCCCTCTCTTTGGCGCCGTTCACAAGATTCCTTCCAAGTTGTTTCCCCGGCTATGGAACTTGGTAAGGCGCGCCAGGCTACCCATCTTGGACGCACGGTACCTTGCATGGAAACTCTATTTGGGGCCACGCTGATCCCAGGCTGCCACGAGGCAACCGCAAGTCGGGATCTCTGTGCTATGATTTGCTGAAGAGCACGTCTCGTAATAACCTGCCCCGTAGACGCCCATATGACACAATCCGCCAGTGGGGGTAAAACTTTCCTGCTTCGTCGATTCAACCACACGGTAATAATAACTGTTGCAAAAACATATCCATGACGTAGATAAGAAAGAAGATAGGAGCATTGAGAAGAAGAAAGTATGCCGCGTGCGGTGCGTGTCGCTGACTAATGCGTCATTCGCTTGATGTCGCGAAGGCTATCTAGAACGAAGCTATAATATTTAAAGGAACAGGTCAAGACACGGGGCGAGTTCTACGGGCGCAATGTAAGGCTGTACCGGAAATTGGATCGTAAGCCGGTCAGACATATACCAAGAAACACCATGTAGAACAAAGGCAGTAGGCCACAGCTGCAGCAACCCCTAACGAAACAGCAGTGAACATGAAGACTGGCATCTATTGCTCGCACAATCTTGTAGAGTGCTCCTATACAGTAGCAGATACCTACGCTAAACAATCCTCACCGTCCTCACCTCAGCTCCACAGTCCTGCCTATAAGTCGCTTCCACCATGATATCCCCATCACACCCATGCCTACCACCACTCCCCTTGACCAACCCCCTGAACCACACCACACCCTCATCATAAACCCGCATGATCGCCAGCCCAAACACCGTTCCCCACACCCACACCCACAGCACCGCCAGCGTCGCCATCGCCACCGCCACCCAGCCCTTTTCCTCCCAAATGCTCAGCATTTCAGTCAAGGTCGCTCGCCGCACCTCTTCCCCGACGCAGAAATACCCGAACCACGAGCAGTTGCTCCATGTCGCGATGCCCACGCGGCGGAATGTGTGCGGGTCATCAGCCGTCGCCTGCAGCGCGAGCGTGTAGATCAAGCGGCGGGACGCTGTTACCGTTGCGGTGGTGTAGCGCCTGGCGAGGGATGAGGGGAAGTTGGCGGCGGGCGTGGAGGCGAGGGCGAGGAAGGTGACGTTGCGTGAGATGTCGAGAATTTCGTCGGGGAAGAACTCCACTGGTACAGGGGCGAGTCTATGGCGCCAGGAGGGGTGTTTTGAGGAGGTGTAGGTGAGGTGGTGGCGCCAGGAGTTGTTTGTTTTGAAGGATGAGGGGTTGTGGGGAGGAGGGGTTGGGGATCGTGGTACCGGTGAAGTGGAGGTTTTGGTAGTACGGTGACACGAAGAGGGTGCGTGTCATACCTATGTGTGAGTACGGAGTCAGTTAACTGGGATAAGACGGTTAGATACGAAGTGTATGTCTTAGACATCGCGACTTCGTATCGAGGTATCGTACCGCGGAGGATGAGCGTGCCGCTTGCGTTGAACGGGGTGCCGTGGGCGTCTGCGTGAAGGACGTTGCATGTAGGCGTTATGCGTTTGTCGTATAGGGGAAACCAGTTCACGGGGAACGTGGTCGAGGCCCAGGACCTGAGGCGAGATTAGAAAAGGGCCTGCAGGTCTGTGAGGGTGCGTACCATGAAGGCGCAAACACTTGCTCATGTCGACTGGAAAGGTACGTTTTTGCTTCCTTCTCCAAGGCATGCCACGGCCCGCTCTTCGCCAAAGTCCAGGGTATGTACCACATGAAACCAAGCGGGAGTCCTTGTGCCCAGAGGCCAGCGATATAACGGTCAGACGTGCGAGTCTGAACACTTTGCGCGATACCGTCAATAGCAATGAGACGGTCCGACGACTTCGTGATGCCGCGGCGTGTGTAGTTTTTCACCAGCTCGTACCATTCCAAGCCATGATATGCATCGTTTACGGAGTCGTCACAATTATCTGCAACCAAGGTCATCGAACCACCGATCACATCCCATATCTTCTTACCATCCAACGGCCGCTGTTCAGACCCACTCATCGTCACACATTCCCAATGGACCTGCTCCCCGAAGAATATCAGTTTCGCCCGACTGTTGAACTGCTCCTGGAGCACCCACGCTCTAGTGAACAAAACGGGATTAAACTTTGGCATCAGCCCCTGCCCATGATCAGGTAGTTGGAAGCACGCATCCCAAGCCTCCGACTTATCCGGTGCGTTGAACCGCAGTGTCAACGGTAGCCCCGCGAGGCCATCTCTCGTCACGAAACAACCTTTGTCGCCGCCACTTGCGTGAGCAGCCATGATCGTGAAGAGTGCGCGCTCGTAGATGGTGCACATCTGCACGCTCTCTTTCATCCAGTCGTCCACGGAGTCTTGTATGATACAGAGACTGTCGATCCAAAGATAGCGCAGTCCCAATCTGTGAGTGGTAACCACGGCATCTTGGAAGGTCTTGGAGAGGTCGCGGAAATCGATGCCGCGTTTTCGGTCTGCGAGTGTAGATGTGGTAGTGGTGATGATTTGCTTTGAGCCCCAGCAGTGCGAGAGAGCCACAAAGACGAGGGTATTTGACGATTCAGACTTGGAAGACGGAAGATCCGCGGTCTCCAACAGTCGAGGCGGATCCTTGCCATCCGCATCGCCAATATCGATAACACGCGTGGGCAGCCACCCTAGATTGTCCCTCGCACAGTTTGGGTGACCCACCAAACACTCTTCCAGCCAGAACCTAGCCATTTCTAAACTTGCCGCTGACCCTGTAGAATCATTCTCCAACCTTGCGCATTCTTGTAGCGTTACAACGAGCGGATCCTGATGTTCCAAGCCCTTTAGGTACTCCCCCAGACAATTGAGCTTCCTCGTGCTCTTGACCGGATTTTTGGCCGTCATGCGAATGGACTTGATTGGCGGGTCAGTGTCGAGCATGGCCTTCAGGGTGGGCTTTCCCTTTGTTTTTTCAAGCATGAGTACGGTTCGGACGGCCTTGAAAGTCTTGAGCGAAGCCCAATCGCCCCGGTCGATACATTTGAACACGCGGCGACATAGTGGACACGGGGTATTGTAGGCTGCGCGGAGTTCCTCTATATTGTGGAAGAGAACTGCTTCGTGGGATGGGCAGTACGTGGACAGGTCTGGGGCTTTCCGAGGGCTTGTATGTGCGGCCTCCGTTTGATCCTCTCCATAAACGAGGCGGTTCTGGTGTATCAAGGCTCCGATGTCGTCTTGGAAGCGCGAGCATCGCTGGCAATACATTGTTGATATCTTTTACATTCTTCGGGAATATAGACGTTGGTACCTAGCGTCTTTGTCAATCTGCACATGTGACCGACAGTCTCGTATATATGCTTGGCGGGGTAGCCTCATTGGAGTTGTCCCAATAACGTGACTGTTTATCGTGGATTCTGCTATCATCAACAGCTATACGCGCATGAGAAGAAATGGCTGAGCCCGGAATCATGTGCATGACCCAGCCCTGAAAATGGGCCGAGTAGGAGCGGAACAGGGTGTCGCGAAGTCGAACTACCGATGCCTACCTATATAGTATGGTATGCTTGCGGCATACAGATCCAACGGAGAGCGATGAACATTGAGGCACTAAGCCATGTGCCATTTTCGTGTACAGAAATATTACTCACGCTCACAAACTACATGCACTGCCTTGCACAGCACGATTGGCGCGTGCCAACGGCCCGGTCGGACTCTTCGCCAAATGCATGGCGCATGTTCTTGAAACAACTTCGCATCTTGACCCGCTTCCATATGGCTGAAGTATAGCGCATTAATGTCTTGACTGAGTTCCCCGTAAGATGGTCACCACACAATTTACTGTGTTCGGCGCGTAAGGGCAGCTTAATGATTGGCACTAATAAGCTAATGTTAAGGTGTATATCGTAGTATCATAAGGCTTCCGGAACTCCGAAACTGTGTGCTATGATTACCTGAAGAGTACGTCTCGTGATATCCCGCCCAGTAGACGCCCATACGACAAAATCCGCCAGTGGGGGGATTTCTCCGAGTGGTCGATTCAACCACACGGTCATAATAACCGTAGCATAAACACCCCCACACTAGAATAGCTCATGCAAAACGACGCCATGTGGCTTATAACGCCGCACGCGAGTGTGCGTTTGCGTGTCTGCAGCGAGTTGGACCCCTCCCATACCGCTTCCCGTTCGACCGCCTTGCTCGCTAGACTTATTGCGATATGGTCCATGAATGCTTCGGGCTTTGCGGGGTAGCCGTAACCAGCGCCCCAGCCCAATTGCGGCTTAGCACTTGCTTCTCACCTGTCGATAGTCGCTTCGCATCATCACCTTCCGCCGACAACTATAGTAGGACTATAGTCCCCGACCCCTTGAAATCTCGTGTTCTTTCGCAAGGGCTGCAACTTATGGGCTTTGTTCAGAACCCTCCACCTAATCACTTCGCGTAAACAGACCGCACCAGGTATATCCATGGAACACTCTCGCGGCTCTTATTCGAATTTACTAATATGCTGACCGAGAAGCGTACGCAGCGCCCGTCGGCGACAGTCTACAGAAACCCCACATCCGCCCCTACCTCCATGCCAGAATCTAGTCACAGCACTCGGAGCACTCTTGGTCCTGGAATTTCTTTCCTTTCTAGTGGCGTAATGAGATCTATGCCGCCCTTCTAACGCGACACAAGTCTCTGACACAAGAGGAGGCACTCGCAGCCGAAAAGCACCTCCTTCAATGGCCTTCTCTAGCAGTATCTCCTCATTCGCTTCTTCAGCGCCTATGAGGATTGTTCCATGTATTCCTCCAACGTCCAAGCCCAAGCCGGAATTTCAAGGACAAGTTGACGGCGACAACAAAGACTGCAATGTAAATTGTTCATGATTCAGCTCCTTGGAAGATGGAGACTCACCCTATGTCGACGATTTCACATGTCGTGCCCGAGCTCAGCTCCGAAATCCACTGCTAGCATTCAGGTATTGAGTGTTTTATTGAGAGTAGACCGATATTTCTACTAAGGGGAGTTGAACTGTTACCAAGGCGAATCTTACCAATGGCGAACGAGTCGGACGGATGTATGGCAGTTACGATACTCCTAGCTCACTCCTCACAGATAATCTTCATAAAATCCTGTGTCACCAGACACGTCCAGGCGCATGTCTGTGTGCTTCAACACCAAGTGGCTCCAGCTATTCTGATGTGGGCCAATGAGCTCACCGAACGCTGTGCGCAAGACAGGCAACCTAATGGTGCACCCCGCAGTCAAGTCTCTGGAAGTTTGACAAGATCCACGAATGCATTGCTTAGGCGCGCCTTGGGTAGGCCTCTTCACCCTAGTCCGGAAAACAGCAGGGGATGAAAACCACCAATAAGCGGTGTCCCCAGGCATGACGACAGCACGCTATGTTTTTAGACCTTGGACGTTCTACGGAAAATAAATAGTCCAAATCAGCAGATCAATACACGGAACATATCAAAATCTCGTCTAGGGTATAAAGGTTCTTGCTGGCGAGGCAGTCGCTGCTTATAACAATTCTGAACTCGCACACTTTCTGATCTCGGCTTCTTTGCTATTACTTTTTGCTACCTCCGGTATCAGCTATGTTCCTCAAGCGAATCCTAACATTTGCTTCATTCGCTTTGGCCCGGTATGCTGCGGCAGCCGGTGTCACCGGCGCGGCAGAGGGTTTCGCCAAGGGCGTGACCGGCGGTGGCTCAGCAACCGCGGTCACTCCGTCTACCAACGCGGAATTGGTCTCCTATCTGGGTGACAGCTCCGCCCGAGTAATCATCCTGACGAAGACCTTTGACTTTACTGGCAGTGAGGGAACCGTGTCGGGGACCGGATGTGCACCGTGGGGAACCGGCAGCGCATGTCAGACCGCTATCAATCAGAACAGTTGGTGCACGAACTATGAGGCCTCAGCTCCAAGTGTTTCCGTCTCTTACGACAAGGCTGGTGTCCTGGGTATTACAGTTGGCTCGAACAAGTCGCTGGTTGGCCAAGGATCTTCGGGTGTTATAAAGGTATCAGGATCCCACCGGAGTGATTTGACCATTGTTCGATCATTCGCTAATACAGTCCCACAGGGTAAAGGCTTAAGGATCATAAACGCAAAAAATGTTATCATCCAGAATGTGAAGATCACGAATTTGAATCCCAAATATGTGTGGGGCGGCGACGCTATAACCCTCGATAACACTGACTTAAGTAAGACTCCATACACAACCCCTCCCCAAGAAGTCAGGTTGCTCACGCCGAATGGCTGAGGGCATCTTTCATCAGTTCTCAAGATCTTGCTGACTTGCTGATTAATACAGTCTGGATTGATCATGTATCTACGTCACTCATCGGTCGACAGCACATTGTTCTGGGCACCAGTGCTAGCAATCGTGTAACGATTTCGAACTGCGATATTGATGGCACAACTTCATGGTCGACAAACTGCGATAGCTACCACTACTGGAATGTCCTGTTCCTGGGATCCCAGGACTTGGTCACTTTCAAGAACAACTACATTCACCACTTCTCAGGCCGCGCTCCCAAGGTTGGTGGCAACACCCTTGCCCATGTGGTGAACAACTACTTCTATCAAACCGATAGCTCAGGACATGCTTTCGAGATTGATTCCGGCGGCATGGTTCTAGCTGAAGGGAATGTTTTCCAGAACGTAGTCAATGTGGTGACTTCGCCCGTCGGAGGCCAAGCTTTCACGAGCCCCGACAGTTCGAGCAATGCCGCTTGCTCGTCTTATCTCGGCCGCGCCTGCGTCGTTAACGCCTTTGGGAGTTCCGGCGCTTTCAACATCAAAGACACGGGTTTCCTTACTAACTTCTCGGGTAAGAACATCGCTTCTGCTTCCAGCGCTACCGACGCAAAGAACGTAGTGAACACTGCTGGTTACGGGAAGATCTAATGTTATGGGGGGAGACAGGAGCACCTATTATATATACCATACCACGCCTAGGAGAAGGGCCAGAATCATGAATAAAACGTCTCCATTTGCCATATCTTTTTCCTGTTTCCGATACTCTAGTATAGATTCATGCAGCGCCTTCGCCACAAGGCTAGTATCGGCAATATTCCCTCCTCCAAACAATTTCTTATAGAACCCCCCGCGCGATTTCTCCCGCTGCAGTGTAATCTGCAGGCCAGATCGAGCCAATAACGTGCGGGAAGCCAATCTTCTGAAAGGAATTGGTGAGATGGATGGACTCGTCTCGAAGTGCGCCATCACCGATTTCCGCAGTAGAACACGCAGATAGACAGGCCAAGTACACGATGTTGAGATCTAGCTTCTTAAGAGTCGATACAGTGAGCACGGCTACTTCGGATGCTTTGTCGTCTTCGAGGAGGATGACGCCGCTTCGTGCAGGGTCCTGGTGGATGGACACACGATGGCAGGCGAGGTGGATGAAGGGGAAGTCATACTTGCATGGGTCGTTCTGCTGATGGTAGTTGGCGCAGACAGGCTTCTACATGCAACACATTTCGTCGTTAGTAGCTCTTTGTGCATAGTTTCTAACGCAAAGCTTAACCTAACGTTGTTTACAACATTTACAACCTTCACGTAATTTAGAGTAAAGGCGCTGGGAACTAGTGGCCTGGCGTATTATCACGGAGGGGCTTTTGGTCTTGTATCTTATAAAGTAAATAAGTATTTCAGATGGCGGCCGCGAAAGGAATTCGAAGTGTCTTGATTTGGACACAGCCACGCATGCAGCCATCTTCTAGTGCTATGAGTATCCCCGTGCCGATCAGGCCCACACCCGCGATATCACTTCAGTTTATGGGAACTGCTTGTTAATTCGTTGTGACTTTGGGCTTTCGGTATCCAAGGTTCAAAGAGACTAACAGAGGTGCTGGACTAGTTGTTCTATCTAGACCTTACCGCCTTAAAGTCACTTTATGTATCAATTTGTCTCCTAAATATCTCAATTATCAATAGGTAATATCATGTACTTAGAGATATGGTTATAGAGTATGAAATCTATCTTTGAATGCTGTTTGAGCCTCTGTTGAAAGATCGAAGTCTACCAAATTCTAATGAAGCTTTGCAGACATGCCTCCTTTTTGGAATGGCTTGAGAACTGGTTCGGAGCTTTTATCAAGGAGTTGGGTTACATCTTCGCCGAGCCAGTAAGGTCTCAACGTACGGTAACCTTCCTCGGCCTCAAATACCCGTCCGTCAACTAGAAAGACCCCACTGCCATTCAGACCGTCAGACAGTCCAAAAAATGCAATTGTCTCGGCAACCCTTCTCGCGGTATTGATGGGAAGGTTCAAGTCCTTAAACATCTTCAACGCAGGACCTGCAAAAGGCGTGTCGATCATAGCGGAGGCAATCAGATTGATACTCACGCCATAGCTTGGTGCGACAGTTGCAAACGATCGGAGTAGTCCCACGAGCGCGTGCTTACCACCGCCATAGGCGCATACAGGAGTCGCGTCAGCGTACCCGCTGAAAGATCCCGTGATGACAATTGAACCAGATTTCCTCGCGCGGCGGAATGAGAGCAACGACAATTGAATGGCTTTCAAGGTTAGTGGCGAACAGACGGCAAACATTTGTCTGAATTTTCTACTTACTGTTCAACGTGCCAATGAAGTTGATGTGCGCGGACTTCCAGCTGTGCTCGCGGGCAAGGAATCCTTCGCAGAACCAGTCTTCCTCGTCGTGAACGCCGGCATTGGCACAGATGATATCGGGAGCTCCCAAGGTCTTAGTGCTAAGTTGGAAGAGCGCCTCTAGGTCACCGAAGCGCGCTATGTCCGTCTTACAGAATAGAGCCTCTCTTTGAATGCCATACACTTGTCAGTTTCCGTCGCGGTCGCGCAGTTGGTGCTGTCAAACCTACGATCCGTTGCTCTTGAGTTTCTCTGCGAGCGCAGAGCCCTTAGTTTCGTCAATGTCCGCAATGGTCACCCTTGCACCAGCATCTGCAAACAGCAGGACAGCCTCGCTTCCTACACCTGAAGCGCCGCCAGTAACGAGAACATGCTTCCCTTTTGCAGTCTCGAAGATTGCGGGGTCAATGATGTATTCCTTCGACGGTCTTGTATGTTGTTGAGCCATGCTCGTGGCTTGTCAACTTAGTGGACGAAAGATGAAGCGGCGCAACAAAGCGCAAAGCAGAGCTCGCATCATATATGCCTTGGAACTTCGGACGTGCTCTACATCGCAGATGCAAGGCCCGATCCACACGCGCTAGACCGGATTCGATGTGGGGTAACATCTGCAGCAGATCCATGTCTACTTCTACCTACCGTGCTACCATAGTAAATGTCCAGCGGCCGGCTCATTCTGACGCTTGGGGCTGGCAGTTCCGGGATCCGGAATCGAGTGCGGGGCCCCGCACCCAGTCCATGGATCGGGATTCCAATCCATGAACCACCAGAGCTCTGCATCTTTTCCTTACTTTGCTTCCGCTTCAGTTTGCGACGTGAACCCGCAGTATGCTGGAGACACTGCCCAACTCCGGCTCGAGACCGCGCCGCCATGTTGACACTGGTCTCCCGGCCAGCAAGTCTCACAAGTGCCCCAAGTGCCCCAAAGTCTTCAGAAGAAGCGAGCACTGCGCGAGACATGAACTTGCCCACACAAAGGAGAGACCTTTCGAATGCCAGTTCTGTCACAAGACGTATGCTCGAAAGTATGCTGCCCCCCTCCCCTCCCGTAACAGCCGTCGCGCACGAACTGTCGTTCTGACGTGATGCCTTCGTCCCTGCAGGGACCTTGCGAAGCGCCACGAGAAGACCATTCACACCGAACAGTACCAGACAATCACAAATTCCAATGCCCCTCGCGGACCAAGCCGCCCTGATATTGACTCTCGTACGCATTCACAGCAAACTTGGAACACCATCTTCGTGGATGACTTTGCACTTTCCTCTGTCAATCTTCCCAAGACGCAGGCATTGTGGCCGTCGCGAAGAAATACCCTCGCCGGACAAGTCGCTGAAGGATCCATCGGTCATGCAGGATGGCAGGCACCAGCGCAAACCCATGCGGTATCTACTGACATTTCTCCACATGCCCGCGGGGCTTCGGGCCTGAGTAACTTACCTCAAGACTTGCCCACACGCGACCTGGACGCCATCGAGATCGATCATGGAGAGACCGCCCCATTGGTCCCCATAGCCTTCGACTCCTCCACAGTAGCTGATTCCACCAAGTCAAGCGAAATGTACCTCCTAAACGAGTCTGGGGACAGGCCAGAAAAGCGGCCTCGCCTACAACTCGAATCGCCCGGTATGCTTTCAGCCTTGCTAGACCCAGCGCCTCCCACGCTAAGCGCAAGCTCTCTTTTACCTAGCGATCAACTGAACTTGTATGGAACGCTCGATTATCTGGGAGATGGCTTGATGTTGGGCGAGATTACGGACGATTTCTTCTTCCATCAGCTTGCGGGAGAAGATACAGCCACGTTGGGCATGAATAGTAGATTCAGCAATCCCTTCGACTCTTCCAGCAGGAGCGCAGCCTCGAGCACCGATTCTCCGGATACATCCCGGGCTTCTCATGCCGGAGAAAGCACCTCCAAGTTGAACAGAGCGTCTGCGCGACTGCCGACCATTCTAAGGGAAAAGTTTGAACATGCTACGCGGATCATAGTGGACGATGACACGTACGAAATGATCTGTTCTGATGCTCGCCGCCGTCGCAATGTAGAGGGCCAGCGGCTACTGCCTAGTTCGGCACGTGAGATGCAATATTTACTGAACGGTTACCTCGGGTGCTTCCATCAGCATCTGCCAATCTTGCATATCTCTTCTTTAAAGATGGCGGAGACACCAAGTCCGTTGATCTTCGCAATGTGTTGTATCGGCGCCCTGTATAGACTCGAGAGGCGGAAGGCTCGCAAGCTGTTCGACATCGCGGATGCAATGGTCGACTTTGAGATGACACAGAAAAGCCCTTCATCTTTTGGCAAGCCAAAACAGATGTCGACTTCCGAATCGGTTTCGTCAAATCTAGCAATATTAGCTCCTCTGTGGGTAATGCAAGCCCGCATGCTCTTGTCCCTTTATGGCGCTCTCAGTGACGATGAGGCGACTATGAGGGCCGAAATCGACAAGGCGGCACGTTTTGGAACGGTAAGCAACAAGGCTCCCAGTCACGGTCTTACGATGTCTCTGCTGACTATAAGATTGCACGAAGGATTATCGTTCTCGTCGAAGCATTCTCGCAGCTGGTATCTGCCAAGACCAAAAAGTGTCCTGGGAGGAATGGACGTTGATCGAATCGAATAAAAGACTGCTGTGTGCCATCTTCATCTACAGCAACATGCTTGTAGTTGCATTCGACATACCACCCGTGTTCGGCATCATGCAGGATCTCGAAATTCCTTTACTAGAAGAAGAGGTGCTATGGAATGCTCCAACCGCCGAAGCATGGCAGAGCCTGCGAGATTCCAGGCCACCAACACCTTTCAAGACGATCAGAAACTTCATGGTTGATCTGTTGGCTGGCGAAGACGACAACGACTCTAAACCATGCACCGTTTCAGGCTTTACGGCGCTCATAACTGTACATGCCGTGAATATCCTCGCCTGGAACTTGAGCCAGTTCTCACAACTGCCTATCCTTTTGGCTATGGAGTCGTGTGGCAATGCAGCTCATGCGCTTCTCTCGAACACGTTAATGACGTTCTTGAGGTGCCAGGAAGCATTACGGCGAGCTAAACCCGAAGGCATCGAATCTCTCTGGAGCACCTCAGAAGGGCCATTGCTTCTGAATTGCGAGGCTATGCTTCGCGTCGCATATACGCGAATCCTTCTTACCAAACACTTGCCCGATAGACTCGAACTTCTGTGTTCTACTGGTCAAAGAAATTTAGATTCGCTCAAGCAATTCGTCCATTCGTACCTAGAGAGAAGCCCGTCCTTTACTAAAGTAATGGCGAGTATGTGCGA